TTTTGTCTGCTATTGCTATGTTTACAAGGAAGTGAAAAAAATTGAATTTATAATAATAAGTGAGCTGCCCGCTTTAATCGTATATAAAAATTTTTGGAGGAATATGCCGGATTTCAGTCGAATAGAGAAAAAGTTCTAAACCCGTGTTGTCTTATCAGTGGTGGAAATATTATTATCAGTGAATATATTAACCTCTTTTTAGACAAGCGATCGTTCCGATGTTACATGACTATCTGTTATTTCTATCATTTTATTTGCAGAAATTCTTAATTTGTCTCTCTGTAGATGCGTAGCTGCTGAATCAACACGGTCTGTTGCCGCTTATCAAGAAATTCCTATCTAACAGATAAGCCTGTGTAGTATACATTCTTTAATAAAAGCTGCTCCCTGATTCCATTCAGGAGCAAAATTAATTTGTAATCTTTGAATTAATTTGTAGCGAAAGGGAAAGATTGAAATGTGCAAAAGAGTAACTATGATTTCAGTAGAATTCACTGGAAAATCAGTATTTTTTTTTTCATTTTTCAGGTATTGTTGACGAAAACATTGCTTTGCAGTTTTCTTATCACATATGCGAAGAATAATTTATTCGAAGTGAAAATCACTTCGAATAAGTGAGATTATTATAATCCCTGATGAAGGAGATTAGGCGACGGTATCTTCATATTTGTCAAAAACCATGTTTGATTTTTATAAATTTTTAAAATGTACCAGGTTTAAAATTTTTATAAATTTTTAAAAAAATTTAAAATGTAATCAAGTTGTGATGTATGATGTATGGTTGAATACACCAAGAGATTTTCCTACATTACTTCATCAGGAAAAAGCTTATCAGAGTTTTTTATTACATTTGTTTCATCTTTTGAATTTGAAGAACAAGAACCAACTGCTTTAGCACAACCTACTTCACCAATGATTTTGGAAATCCTTTTTTTCTGACATTTCTAAGGAATCATAGCTATGTTTGAAAGTTGCTGACTATTTCATCACCTGCAGACGATAACGATTTGAATTTCTTGTTTAAAAATGCATGATATTGTGATTATTGATCATTTGACGACCACAGGTTGGTGTTTACTGAATAGCGTATAAGGAATAACTGAAGTAAGAAATAAGGATTTTTCGATTCGACTTGTTGGGAATCAAGTAATATTGTTAGTTTTGAAGTTGCTTTTTCATGTTATTTAATACGTTTTTCGGGATCTTTTATATTTCTATGAACCTTAGGAACAAAATGATTTATAGAATTAAAGTATTTTTATGCTTAGTGCTTCAATCCATTTAGTGTGATGTAACCATTGTCACTTCAATTCCATTTCCCAAATTCCGTTATTGCTATTGTAGTTGCTACTAGCTTTTCTTAATTTATCTCTTTCTACATTTGCTACTATTTTCATACGTGATTTGTTCATTGCTTTATATGGTTTATCCCACTGATTACTTCTCATGGACAGAAATTGATGGGTTGTGGGCTTGTATCTTCGTCAGAATCAGTAACTACTTTTTTCTTTTTGATCGTAATAAGCGAGGTGCACTTTCAAAATCTTTGAACTCCGAGTGATCATTACTCTCACTTACGTGATTTAAAATTAAATTAAATTCAAATATTCCGGCGAATGAAATGACCACATTATTTATTTGTAGGATTTAATTCAATGGAATCCAGTGTAAAAACTACTGATTGCTTCAAAAAAGAATGTTGTATTCTTGATAACTCTTTCACAGCTCTTTGCTATAGCTTTACTTATTTGCAATTGCTTGCTGCTATAAAGTCATTAATGTAAGTGAATAGATTACAACATAAGGATGAGAAGCTTCTTTGCTTCCTGAAATTATTGCCTTCAGTTTTATTACATTGATTACTGTCCTATACTTTAGACACTCTCACAAATCTAAATTTCGTTTGCTTTTGTACGGTCCATTTTATTTGGATTTACAGCTTTTCTAATTCATGTTTCCTTAGGAATTATTAAATTGTTTTACTCATAAAATTCATATTCGTCATTCTTTCAGTTACCATACTGGAGAGAACAATTGTATGTATGAAATATTGGTTTTGAAGATGTATGTTGTTCAGATTAATTGGCTCTTCATAACTCTCTGATATATTCGTCATGTTTATGCCATGGTTCCTTGTATAATGTTTTGCTTTATTCTCTACTTTCTATTTTTGGTTTATTTCGCTTCTTTGATCTTATAGTTTTACTAGTAAATTTAAATAATTATGAAGTAATTTGATTATACTATCATTTAGATTTGAACACTGAAATATTAGGAACATCTCAGCCAAATTATAATTTAGACTTTGTTTTGAGATTTTCAGGAAGAATTTTTGCAAGAATTTTTATAGAAAGATTCTAATTTTCTGTTCAGTGTTTTCTCTTTCGAATCCAAAAGGCTCCAAAAGCTGTTTTTTGATTTTTCTCAGCCATATTTTTTCTAGCATTTGTATCGCTTTCCACAAAGGATGCTTTTAGCAACGGTTTTTGTTGCGTGGCTTGGATGAAGTTGGTCATTTTTATAGCCGAACTGTGACAAGTACTTATTAACTGTGTTTTTTGATTTTCATTTATTTTAAGTACTGCTTCATCTTTGGAAACTTCCAAATCGTTTTGTTTGACCCATGTAATAGATAATCGGTGATATCTCATTCTTGTAGGTTACTTATCAGTTATGACAAGTGTTATAATGAGAAAGTAGTTAATGAAGAGCTTCTGAAATTCAAAAAAATATTAATACGGAAGTAAAATTTCGAAAGTAAGCTGAAAATAGCGGATTCAAGTTTAGTTTCATCTATTCTGTTGTTTTTTGGTGACAGTTCTCTTTTAATAAATTCGAGTTAATTGTGGACTTCTTCCATACTGTGGCTAGAAACTTAGCATAGAGGTACAAGATTAATTCCATAGACATATCCATGCTTGTCATATGTGCACTTACTGAAAAAAATCCGATGACTGAGTGTTTTTTAATACTAAATTTAATTTCGTGGAGATTATTTCACTTAGATTAAAACATCACGAGTATATTTTCCAATGATGTTTGGATTCTCCGTCCTGATTTTCTATTGGAGAACTATTGTAAATTTAATGCTCTTCAAATTTCTTGCATAATCTGGGTGTAAGACGAGCACTCGTATCTGATGTACTGACTTTACTGCTTTATCTTTCATTTTATAGATATCCCAAATCACCAACACATATTTATGAACTACTTTCTGTACATTATTTGATAAGAGAAGGGAGGCATAGAGTTGGTTTGCTTTTTCCTAGCGAGCAACTGAGATGATTTCTTTTCATACCGATACCATCTAGCAATAGCTGAGATGCGAAATAATGCATTGAGTGAGAATGCTTTCTCGTTCAGTGGTTCGTTTGTTTTGTGTAATTCACATGAGGTTAAGGGATACTTTTGTGATTAGATGATATGAATAGAGTACCGCTTCAAGGTTACATCACTTCCTTTCTGAAACACCCTAAAAGCCTGATCCATCCTGTGGTGCATGTGATAAGGTAGTGTTTATCTGCTTCATATGAGTGGTGGGAGTTGAAATAGTATTGCTGAAGCAGTGTCAAAAAGGATAAAGAACATTGGTTTAAATGAATGTGTTGGATAGCATTAGAAATCCGATTTGGTCGCTATCCAGGTTTTAGTTTTACCAGTTAAACGGTCTTGTTTTAAACAAAACCTCTTAAATGTGAACTTCTTCCACCTTATTCTCCTCACTGCTTGGTGTTACTCATTTTAGTTGTTTGTAAGATTCTTTACCACCACTTAATGTATGCTCAGTGTTATTTGTGGTCCATTTAAATATTGAGAAGCTGATGTTCAACGAATATGTAAAAATTTTGAGGTATTATATTCCATTAATGATAGTTTAATAATACTGTACGCTTTCGATTTCTAAATTTCTAGATTCTAGATAATATTATATTCAAAAAACACAGTGCTTTCTTGCGTTTGATTGAATCGAATAATTGATAAGGCGAATGGCGCTGTAGAAGATATGATGTTGTAATACTGAACTACTTCATACTGAACGTTGTGCGGTTTCAGATGGTTTGAACCTCCCTTCTTTCTTTAAATCTCGATGTAGGAAATTTGTATTCTCATTAAACTTATTATGGAATAGTAAAAGTACATTTCGCACTATTCTTCAAATAACAGGAAACGGACGTTGTTTGCTTTTGATGTGAATGTTTGCATCACTGAAAAATGGCTCCACTGTTTCAGTGGCAGTCTTCTTTTATGAAGAATGGCGTTCGTAATATGCGATTTATAGAGTTAACATTTAAAGAGGAGAAAAGGTTGGTACTGATAGGGAATTGTCTACTTTGTACAGCGCATTTTACGGAATCAGATATCTCATTTGCTTATTATTTTAATGCGGTTTGTTATGTTTGTATTTGGTTTCTATGTAGTATTATAAATACAGATATGTTTATTATTGAACCTTATATTGATTGATTTTTCTTGCAATAAGAAATGAATAGATATTCAGGAGTTTCCGAATAATCAGGAAATTCGTTAGAAGTCATCAGAACGTGAATACAAGCATTACCAGGAAGTTGTCCTGCTTAAAATCAGTAACACTAAATCAGTTTCCAGGACGTTTATTTCATTGGTTTTTCTCGTGTCATTTGCCTCCAATAACGCAATATTTTCTCATCCTTGTTAAAACTTGCAGCATTTCAAAATCATATATGGCATCAGTTGCATAAATAATCACTGGCCCAATTTAAGACCATTTATAGACATAATACTCAGATGTTTAAATTATAAGACTCTTCCATGTGTTGAAGAGATGTAAGATTTTCATTTCTGAAGATATTTTTTTTTTTTTGTTTTTATGACATTCAAAACATGCGGAGCGTTTACAAATGGTATAAGAGGATGGATTCTGAAATAAAAAAACCTTTTTTCAGGACTAATAGTCATTAATAGCAGGGAAAAGTGAAGCAAAGTGTGATTGAAAACCACTGTTTTTTGATAACTTAGGCGCTATGTCTAAGAAGGCGGTAAGTTTCTCTATTTATATTTCTTCCCAATTGTGAAGTTGTTCAAGCTGTAATGTTTTTTTTTTTCCTAATCTAAAATTTTTTGGATATAGCATGCGGTTATATGACATGCGTTTACGACAGCCAAATTATTAAATGTTATACGTATAAATCGACGATATAGATTGTCATTTTGGGGGTATAATGTTCCATAAGATGAAAGCACAAAATCCTAGCGCGGTGTCATATTGCAGTAATGTTCATTTATCATCATTTACCAGGGGTAATTCGTCATCAGAGCATTCTGAAGGACTGAAACTAAGCAGGTACTGTAGGGAAAAGGTAGAAGTCACGGACAAGGCGATAAATGTTTTGAAATGGTTTTCAACTGAATAAAACTAGGTGAATGTTCGATCTGATTGAAATCAAGAAAGCATGTTTAGGTTATCCAAAAAATGATGCGTGGTTATTACTATCTTTCTTTATCTTCTTTGATATCTTGAAAAAAACTGAAATATTTTGAGAAGAAATTAAAGTATGATGAGTTGATATTATTGCTAGGCCTTTTTGTAGTTTAATTATACAAATGGAGTTTTCTCAGCATTTTTTTTTTTTCAGAGTAGTTCTTGTAATTCTGTTTCATTTTTCAAAATATTTCTTTGTTTCATTGGTTCTTTCTTGTAATCTGGGATATTATTAAAAATGTTATTTCCAGATAAACGTACGGGTGACGACGATGGACGCGGAGCTGGAATTTGCCATTCAACCAAGCACAACCGGTAAGCAACTATTCGACCAGGTCGTCAAAACAGTTGGCCTTCGTGAGATTTGGTATTTCGGATTGCAGTACACGGATACAAAGGGTTTCCTTACATGGCTTAAGCTGAACAAAAAGGTTTGCTTCGCTAGTTTTTTTTTTTGATAAATTCTTTTTTAATAATTTTAGAAAGTAATTAAAAAGACAGAATCTTTTAGTAATAATTTGTTCCAGGTCACAGCGCAGGATGTAAAAAAAGAACAAACTTTGTTGTTCAAATTCCGAGCCAAGTTCTATCCAGAGGATGTTCAGGAAGAAATAATCCAAGATATTACCCTTGTAAATCTTTCTAGATATTGTTGGGAATAATGGTTATATAACATGGAAGTGATATCTGATTTTGATTTTTTTGTAAATAAAAAATTCACAGGATTCTAAAGGATTTCGCAACCCTTTGAGTGTTTCAGAGACTTTTTTATTTGCAAGTAAAGGATGCTGTACTTTCGGATGAAATTTACTGTCCACCAGAAACTTCAGTTCTACTTGCATCGTTTGCAATGCAAGCTAAATATGGCGACTACAATCCGGAATCGCATAAGCCGGGCTGTCTTACTTCTGATCGGTTACTACCACAAAGGGTTATTGGACAGTTCAAATTAAGGTTTTCTTCTTTTTTGGATTTTTTATCATACCGATGAACTTTTGACAAGTGATATTCACTCTTCTGACTTATATTTTTAATCCAAAAAAAAAAAAAAATGTACTCATTTTTTCTCTCAAACTGTCGTTCAAACTATAATGAAATTGCTAACGGATAAGTCATATTTAATGTTTCTTTTGCATATTTGTCACAGTTAGAATTTTGCCGAATTTATTCCGAAATTACTTGGTTTGAGAATATTAGTGGTTTAATTATCTGAACCAGAAGTTTTTGTCTATATAATGCCAAAATAATAGTTTTGTCAAAATTTAGATTTGTTTGGAAAATATGATTTAAATTAAATTCATTATCTTTTCAGTCCTGAAGAATGGGAGAAGCGTATAATGGTTTGGTGGGCGGACCATAAGAATACGAATAGAGAACAAGCAATGGTGGAATACCTAAAAATAGCGCAAGATCTTGAGATGTATGGTGTCAATGTTAGTTACACTTTATATGAAGTTCTGTTTATTCTCAAACTTGGTTTTTATCTTTTAATTGAATTGGATTTAGTTCTCAAATAAGTCCTACAACATGAAGGAAAATTATGCATTTAATGGGACTTCGGTTATTTTCGACACATTGAGATCATTTTTAATGCTATTTTGTGTAAGATTGGATGCATAGTAATTTACTGTACAGTATAATGATTCATGTAGTGTAATTTAAAGTGGTACATCTCATTTAACATTGCAGTGCACTATAATATATTTTTTACTACATTAAAAACCTTTTTTGTCCTTATCTAGCATACTATTTAACACAGTAGGAGGATAAAAAAGTGGAGCACATATAAATCAGTCCAAAAAACGCTAAATCAGTTAGTCCTCCAAATTCATCTTTTCGTTCGTGTTATTGTAAAAATTCTGTAAATTATTTTCTGCGTTCTAGATTTGTTAATTCAATTATGCACATGTATAAATAATTTTAACGTGTACAACTAGCTGGTATAAATTATTTAATTTCCACTATTTGCAGTATTTCGAAATTCGTAATAAGAAGGGAACAGAGTTGTTTTTGGGTGTTGATGCCCTTGGACTTAACATATACGAAAAGAATGATCGCCTTACACCCAAAGTTGGCTTTCCGTGGTCCGAAATACGAAATATTTCATTTAATGACAAAAAATTTGTTATTAAACCAATCGACAAAAAGGCAAATGTAGGTGTTTCCAGTCAGTTATTGTACTCTCAGTAATTTTTTTATTTCCGATGAGACATAAAAGAAGTGTTTTTAGATACATAAGATGAAACTTTAATTGTTCATTACGTTTCTTTATTTCTTTTTTAATGTAATACATTACTAATTATATTAATTACACCAAATGTGACGTTTGTGGCATTTTATATAAATACTTTGGTGCTTCATACTGAAAGTTTGATACTAAATTGTGTAAGTTTATTAGTGCTGATGATTTCCAGGACTTTGTATTCTATGCTCCACGTCTGCGAATAAACAAACGGATACTGGCACTATGTATGGGCAATCATGAGCTATATATGCGCAGAAGGAAGCCAGATACGATTGAAGTGCAGCAAATGAAACAACAAGCCAAGGAAGAACGGATGCAGAGACAACTTGAGCAAGAACGCCTGACAAAAGTTGGTTACTAATTAAAATAGAACCGTAAAACTAATGTTAAAGTTAATAAGCGGTATCTTGTTCACTTTTTTTTTTTTTCAACATATTTGGCTTTAAAGAATTGATTTACGTGCGGTATGGGTAGTGTGGACATTATTATCGTAACCAGATATGTTTAGTTACAGCTGAGAATGTTAATTATATTTCGGTCCTAATATTTTTATGGTACTTATTTTGTAATATTTTTCAACTTTGAGAGTTGGACTATGCAGCACTAATAATATCGTTTCAAGAGGGATACATAGTAAATGCAAATAATCGTATCACTTTATTGTCTTCATTAAAATTTTTCCCCAAAACTGTAGGAGATGACGGCACGCGAAGCTGCTGAGCAAAAACAGAAGGAATATGAAGAAAGGATGGAGAAAATGAGGGAGGAAATGGAAAGGGCCCAACGAGAGTTGTTGCATGCACAGGATACTATTCGACGTCTTGAGCAGCAGCTTGCAGAACTTCAGGTTGGGTTTAATTTCATGGTGCCTCTGCGTGAAGACTTCTTTGTTGTTGATTATTTAACGAGAATTAAGTTGATTAACGATTTATTAGAAAGGGGGTAAAGGCATGAATGAGTTATGTTAAGGAATAAAAGGCGAATTTAACAAATGGAGTTTGCAGATCGCTAAGGAACAGCTAGAATCAAAGGAAGATGAATTACGAAGGTTAAATGAACAATTGCGATCAGAACGAGAAATGAGTTCTGAAGAGCGTGAACGCTTAGAGCAGGAAGTGCGAAGACGTGAACAGCAAGTAGCTGAAATGCGCGAACAAGTTGATATGAAGACTCAGGAAACAGAACGCTTGCAGAGAGAAGTCGAAGAAGCACGAGCTGTTCAAGAACGCGAAAGTAGTCGTCAGCTGAATACATTTAGCGTTAAGGAAGTAGATCTGGATGAAAATGCTAGTGAAAATGGACAAGTTGCCACAGGTGCGTTGAAACTCATATCAGTAAATGAATATATACTCATGGAATTGCATTCGTGCCTCGTGTTGCTATTGCTCAAAATGTTTAATTTTAATGCAATGATTCAAACTTATCTTAGTAGAAATTCAAATATATATAGTATTGTTTCTGTATATTGATTCAATTGCAGAATTGACTGCTCGTGGTGACGAGAACGTTCCACAAAGAGAACTTGAACGAATAACCGCTGCCGAACAGAATCTCTCGTTGAAGCACAAACTTGATGTAATTTTATTTAGTTTTTCTTCGCTCTTGTTTTGTTATGTTTATAAAAGTTATGAAAGTGCTTGATGTGATTTACAATTTACTAAACAATTTTTTTTTCCTTTTTTTTATAGGCTCTAACAGCAGATTTGGAAGCGGTAAAGGATAAACAGCAGTTGACGGAATACGATCTATTACATATGGAAAATAAACGAGCTGGCCGAGATAAATATAAAACATTACGACAAATTCGTGGTGGGAACACAAAACGTCGTATAGACCAATATGAAAATATGTGAAAATGATTCATCGCTTATTTTCCTTAATTGTCCTTATTCTGTGCTGGTTATATTTTGTGTTGTCACGATTTTGATTTTTTTCAGTAGCCAGTGCACTGATTTGCTTATTTTTAGCTTACTGAAATATTATAACCCCGAACCACTTATCATTGGGAAGTATTATTGTTTCCAACCAATCTTAATTAAGTTATGGATTTAGCTTTTTCTTGATAGAAACTGAGTGGAAACTGCAACCTGATGTGAAAAAAGATTCATTTAAGTCGAAATTGAATTTTCGGAATACTAGTTATTTTTCGTAGGTGATGCTACTCTTCACGCTTTAAGTTATTCGGGCAGTTATCAAATTGTTATGGCATAGAGTGCATTGCATATAGACTGATGTGTTTGTTTTGTGTGTTTTATCATCGCATGACTTTGTGCCGCACGTCATTCACAAAACATATTGTTTTCTCGTCAAAATTCATTCCCACCTTCAGCATCCTCACTTGGTCTGCTTTTGCTTTTACCAACGCCAATTATATTGCTGTCTTGGAAGATCTTCATGCCCTTTACATGTGGAATTTCTGCTTTGAAAGTTGTGGATGTATACTGTTAATCAATCAACTGCATTGTGCCTTTTATGAGAAATTTTTTTTTCTTTTATTAGTTGCAAATTATCCTCTGCTCAAGTGAAGAAATGACTGAGCGAGTTTGGAATCTATCACTAAGTTCCAGTAGGCTGCTTCCTTCACCCTCTCATGATTTAGCTATGTATTAAACAGTTTTCGATCAGTTTTTGCTGGAAAAAACTGTCTGTATTCAAGGAAAGAGAAAGTGGTTGTGTATTGCCTGTTAAGTTTTAAACTATGGATTTGTCTTGAATTTTTTTCTTGTTTCCAGTTTTTCAGATCCAATTTGTTTATGTCCTTTTCATCCATTTTATTTGCCATTCATATAAATGGTGATGCGCAATTAAATAATCATTTGCCTTACTCGGGAAATAAAATGTGCTGGATTTTGCAGCCAGTTTGGTTATGTTTTTTAGGGAGCTTTTCGACTTAGTAGAATTTGGTTTGTTGATGTGCACTTTGCTAAATTAGGGATTAAAGATGGGGCGAATAGCAGATATTAGGCAAACCTAGTCATAGAACAGTTACCATCTGAGGTAAATATTTCGGGAAAGCAATTTGTCTCCCATTTATTCCTTTATTAGAATTGGGTTGGTTATAACATCTAGCCTGTATCATCTTCATAGGCGACCATAGAAGTGCCAGTTATGATGCTGATTTCTGAGGTTTGTGATGCATCATGCATGTTAGCCATGAGGATAAGCAACTGTTTACAATAAGGGCTTCAGTTTCTTTAAGATAGTAAATGCTGGAACTACCTTAAAAGTGGTAAGTATTGAAATATGTGTCCTATAACAGGTAAACATTAATGCAACCTTTCCAGGAATAATGATTGTACTGTACAAGAATTTATTGTTGTACAAAAGTGCCTGTAGCAAGGTTGACGGGTATCGAAATATATATCTTATAATGGTAAAACGACAGAGTAGTAGGCCTAGATTTCCATTCTTTAATAAACACATGAGAGTGGATGATCCAGCTTGCCATGACCCGGATCATTTCGAGAAACTAGCACATAAAGTTCCACTCGGTTAGTTTCTTTATCTTTTCCTTCGATTCCTATGTTAGGTTGTTGAAGGCAGTTATAATTAGTGTATTTGTAAAGAGTGCCAATATACCATCGATGGAATATAGGTATGGAAGTCTGCAAAAAGAATGTTACTCGGTTTCAAACAAATTCTGAAACATCAATGAATTGGAACTTTATTTCAAGATGAACGGTATGTAGATACGCTATCGCTTTTATGGAAAGAAAAAATAGGAAGTGAACGAGAAGTAACATTAAAAGGCGATGATCGAATGTTTGGAAAGAAACCGCAAAACTGGGTACCAAATATTAACGAGAATTCACCTAAAGCTAATTATGCAGAACTGGACTGGGAAGGAATACCGGAACCGGTGAGGAAGATTTTTAGGTAGGAAGAACTAAATTAGTATTTTATTGGTTTAATCATCAATACATGTGGTGATTACATTTGAAAATGTACTGGTTGGTCATTCTATTCAAATATGTTACTTGCTGTTGTGCGTTTTGCTATGCCATAAGAGATGCTTCGCCATCAGTTGGAATTGGTAGATATATATATCATTAAAAATGACGGAATTTTATATTGTTATAATTACTTTGGCTTAGTTTCAGTATACGTTATTACCTTTTCATAGTGATCGATTTTTTTTTAAAATGAAGCATTTAAAAATAATTATGTTTCAAATTTTAGTTTGATATGGCAATTATTGCCGACCGTAAATTTGCTGTCGTCATGTGCTTAAAAGCTGATACAAACTAACATAAAGGTCGGAATGAATGTACAATGACAAAGAGTTTTATGATAATTATTTTACTGGATTCCAAATTTTCTATATTAAAAATAAAATTGATATTTTCAAGGTTCCGGTTTTCAGCATTAAATTTGGCGAACGGCGAGATTATTCTGATGCGTGGAAAAAAGCTCTGATTGATAAAGTACGAAAGCATGAACTCGATATAAATTCATTAGAAGTAAAAAGTGAGTTGGTAAAGTAAAACCAAACTTGTAGGACTTTGTATTGCGTTTGATGGATATTTGTCAAAGCAATCTAAAATTTGTAGAAAAAAGGAGAAAACAGTGTAGAAAGCAAAAAGTTAAAATCTCAATTCCATAAAAATGTTAGAAAGATATAATGTTATTTGTATGCAAATTTTTGGAACAGAGGGATGGATGAAGAAAAATTGTTGTGCTCATGCAGTTCAGAGTCCCATCAATTTAAATAAAAAATCATTTTAGTTGCTTGGACAACCAGTGTGATACGTTCATGGACTTTGCTGGTAAAACAAATAGATAACAAACCAAAAGTATAGTGCTGTATTTATTTTTTGATTTGCTTTAGTCAGAAATTTCTGTGGGAATAGCTGAGTTGATTTTGTAAGGAATTATGGGATTTAGTGTTGATTTAGTGTTGTAATAGGCCTGGTATTACTGCTCACCTGTTTATGTAGAATAGATAACTCAGAAACTTTTTGTTGATAGGAAGTAATGTGATGTGCAATTGCAATAATTTTAAGCTTTTAGCAAATAATAAAATGAAGTTTTTACAGAAGCCAGCTCATATCGTACACCCTCTTCACTTAATGATAGCATTTCGTCGAAAACTCTTGCGGCAGTTACGCGAAGTAGACACAGCAGCTTTTGAAAAGGTTTCATTTCATAAATAGCGAAACGACATTCTTTCTGTTAACATTCATTATTACTTCTATTCTCTTTCTAAACGATTATTTGGTCATAAACGAGTATTTAGATGACCTAATTTAAGGTATTATCGGAATTAAAAATCGCTTATCATGTACCAAAGCGTCCGGAAGAACAGATTGAAAAAAAACGAAAAGCGTGGGTGGAAGCTCTGTTGAAGGAAAGGATTGCCATAGAAAAAGATATTAAAATGGAAGAATTAAACAAAAGATTTATTATTGAACGGATACAGTGTGGACGTGAAGTAATTTGACAGTTATAGACAATTTGTAGGAAAAGAATTTTTTTTAAAGAATTTTGTTTTTTTCCTTAAAAAAGATTTTGTCGATACAAAGTAATCGAAAAATTTCTTTTAATTCTGTAACGCTGTTGTTTGAATTCTGTGAATATCCGTGCAAACCTTACAGATAAAAAAGCGTCTAGAAGAATTGGACAGTGAAGAAACAGAAATCAAGACACGTCTGAAGGAACTTGCAAGAATTCAAGGGGAAATGCCAAAAAATGTACCAATATATCAGCCAAAATTGATAGAAGAATTATCGGAAATAGCAGCGCACGCAATTTTGTATCATCGTCCCGATGATTCTCACCGAAGAGATAAATTACTTACTGCATAAGTGAATTAAAATTGCACAGTTGTCGATGACTTTTGTTTTTTGATAGGCACAACAGTCTAGACTTCAAACAGAATTAACAGAAGGAGTTTTATTCCATAAAGTTCTCACATTTCTAATGTAAATCTCTTAACCACTGAAATTCGTATCAGATTTTAAAGATAAGAGTATTCTGTATTGTCTGTTCAGGAAGTAATTGTTATTTCCGTATCAGATTGTTATGTTCAATTCTGTTATAACGCATTTTTGTGTTTTTTTCAAGTACGATTATGTAAATAAATTCATTTCTATAGAAAATCTTTCACAGCAAATATGAATATTTACGTCCCCCCGTTTGAAATTCCCTCTCTTTCTTATTTGTCGAATAAATAATGGTTTAAATAATGGGTGAGTAGTAGTTCCCATCACTGTGCATATGCGCGAGAGGTGTGGTTTTACATCTTCGCGTATTTGTAGGTCAGTGAAAAGCCATCCTACTGCCAGTGTTGGTTGACATCATTGCTCTCGGATGTGGTCACCGACCCTATCCTATCAAGCTCTTTTCTTTTGGAATCTTCTCTACCTCTCTTCTTTATCACTTGACTTTTTATTAATTCCACGAAATGGATTACTGTGTAGTTTAGGGGGGTGGCATATCTAAAATACCTAGGGAAATGATTGTCTCAAGTTAGACAAATGCTGTATTGAAAGTTCGAGGGAGAATTTTTGCGCTGTTTGGATGGTTCTTCCTTTGTTTTATAGAACTCATATCCAAATAGGGAAAATTTTCCAAATAGGAAAAGTTGGTAGAAAAAAATCATATCCAAATAGGAAAAGTTGGTAGAAAAAATGCGGCACACGAAAATGTCTGATGATTTAAGAAGTTTGATACACATTTTTTGTTCAAATCGTAAGCTTCTTATTTCACTGCATTTTTTTTCTCAAGATCGTAAACTTTCAAAATTCTAGCACTTGTTACTATAATCTCATTATTCGATGTTTCTAAGCTGATTTTGTTAAATTAAATTATCACCTAATTAATTTTAAAAGATATAGCTAGCCATACTTTCTAAGTACTTTCAAGTATTTGGGTTCGTTCAGAAGGTTAACTTCAGTGCTTCAGTGCAATCATGTCATTTATGCTTGCAGCTTGCATTTATCAACAGATTGCATGTATGCGGACGTTCGACTGTATCGAAAGGCCGCTATCTCGACTGTTCTATCGGTACGGCCAATACGTTGCGCAACATCCGCTACCATTCATTGCTATCCCAGTTCTAATTACTGCGCTCTGTTCAATTAGCCTCCTTCACATTCATCCCGTTACTGATCCTGTTTATCTTTTCACTCCCCGAAATGCTCCGAGTAAATACGAACGACAAATTATTCATAATCTTTGGCCTTTGTATTATAATAATTATATTCCTGGCCGAGCAGTAACACAGTCCCGAGAAGTACAGGTACCGTTATTGCATTTATTCCATAAAGCAAATAAGTTATTAGTATTGAAATTGGGACAATTTAAGAACTTTTATTCCTTTTTCATCTATTCTTCTTTGTTTTTATTTCGAAATTTTTCCTTTTTTTTTTTCCTTATTTGATGTGTAAAATTTAAATTTCTTGGAGAAAAATATATTACATGGCGAAATGTCTCAAAGCTTCTTCAACATTTATTTCTTATTTGTGTATTATAGCTACTATTCAAATGTCAGTACGAATAGTGGAAAATTCATCAATTAAAAGGAAAGTATTAAAAAGAAATTAATTGGCAGGTAATAGTGGTAAGCCGAGATGGCGGTAATATTCTGGAACGACCATATTCTGAAGCAGTGCGACGTTTGGATTTTTTTATTCAGAATCGTGTCAGATTATATTATATGGGCAAAACATACAGGTAGTGAGTATTTTTAAACCGCATTATTAAATTATGTTCATTTAGATTTATTATTATTCTTGAAATCATTTATGATATGACTAATGCTTCTAATTAAAGACAAGCAGTCTTAGAAAATTTTAGCTACCAATTACAAATGAACATGAACTTCAAGTTTGCTGGGATTGTTTAAATTATCTTAGTTATTTACAAATTTATTAACATCTTAATTTTAATTCATTCAATAACAGGTATCATGATTTATGTCTAAAATGGCGTAATGAAGGATGTCCGGGAAATAAGCATATCCACATTGTCAGTGATCTTTATCAACATGGCATCAATGTCACGTATCCAACTGTGCGATTTGGCTCTGCGTATGTGTTATTTTGTAAATATTTCAAAGTTTCTTTGTCACTCTTTGGAATTTAAGCATGACCGAAACAAATTTTAGAATATCTGAAGTTTTGTTAAGTAATAAGTAATTGAGTGGTGAAAATTGCCAACTCATGTAAATAATTGAAATTCAGGCAACATATATCGAAGTATGCACTCCCTTTTTTATCGTTTAATGGGAAAGAGGATGTGGAAGGCAAGGAAATGAAACTGTTTGAAGTTAACCTTGCAGTGAGCTTTTAAAACAATAAGATCTTGTTCCACTTACTTTATTCACCAGTAAAGTTTTGAGTATTAAGAATGAAAATGCTAATATATTTTTTCAATCCCAATTTTTCCACAAACGAGAAACTTTATTAGCTCTTATAAAACTTCCTGTAAAAACCAATCTAATTTTTCCATTTCCAACTGCCAAAGTCTTATGTGAGACGTTACATATTACTATCGTCAGCATTTTTCGTTATTGTCATTAAGAACTCAAATAAAGATGACAATTCCGACTTTGCTCAAACTTAATCTTATCAGACTCTAATATAAATGGCAAATTGTCGCCTTTCAAAGTAATGTAAACAGGTAAAGTGACCACTATCTTAAAAGATACAGTTCATTTTCTATAATTTCTTAGAAAACTGAAAGAACTTTTTTGACATTTTCAGTGAACATATTTGTTGCTCGGAGGTAGTGAAGATGGGGGCAATAAGAAAGAAGAGATGGTAATAGATTACTTGTGTTTTATTATTCTATACAGCCAGAATCGGGTTGTTTGAAGGTGTTTCATTATCACAAATAATAGTACTGCTTTCTTTTAAAATAAGCTAGTACTGCTTTCTTTTGTAAATTTATTTGTAAATTGACGGAGCAAATCCTTACCATCGAAAATAATTCCTATTTCAAAGTGTTTATTTTCGATCTTTTAATTAGCAGTTTTGGGATAATTGGTTAATGTAACATTATCCATGTTATTTTTAGTTGCCAATAGCTTTAATTAACAAATTTACACCACATTATAAAAATCACTCTTTTTTTGCATAAAATGTTAGCGGGATAAAAAAATCTTTTTGAATCTTGAAGCAGACTCCAAATAGATAGTCAGGATAGTTGGACCTAAATATTCAAGCGGCTAATAAATATGATTTAACGATGACAATATGAGCTTGCTTCAAAAAATTCATTGCTGCGATTGTCGTGGAATGTATTGACTGCCATATATTTTATTTTGCCTCAAACTTGGTGACTAAACCGACAAATCAACAATGATAACAACGCGTAAAGAAAGATATAATTATAAAACACTAAAATAATATCAAAAACCAACCCCAAAATGTAGAATGAATAACTGTAATGGAGGATGGTTGGTTTATATACAGAACTAAGCTGACAACCAGATATCCGGTAGAGGGCATTTAACTGATGTGAAACAAAGATTGTTAACAAATTGTTTTTTATTGTGTGAGAAAAAGGAATTAGCATAATGGCTTAAATGATCTACACATAGATTAGTTACAAATGCGAAATTATTTGGTAAATGACTTATCAGACATCTTGCAGAAGTATTAGAATTTGAATGTAATTTAAATGTATCGTTTTTTACGACAGCGATCAATAGGTATAATAATTATGGTAAATTGAAAACTTGAGATATACAGGAGATTGTTCGCATTTCATATGCAAATATTTTGTTAAAAATGTTATGACCAATTCTGTAAGTATCCAGTATCAACTAATAGTGAGTGAGAGAAGTATCAGATAGTACAAAATATTAACTGTTAGTAAATGATCAGTTAGAACGTCCTCTTCAACTTAAAAAATCTTTACAGAAGTGGTTATATTGGCGGTGCACTTGGCGGGGTATCACTTTTCCGTGAAGCTAACGGTACTACTTCATTAGCTGGTGGTCTTGCTTGGTTCATGATATATCATCTGAAGTTCTTCCCGCGTAATGTTAGTTACATCTCTGGATTGTGGGAGAAGGTAATTTTTTAAGTTCTTTAACATTTGCATCAAAAATCTTGAATTTGAGATATGAGCAAATGGGCATAATTCTCTTTATGGATTATTCAGAGATATTATGCAGTAATAATATTTTATTCTTGATTTCTTAGCTTTTCTCATTTATCTTCCAAATTATAAATGCTAAGTACATACTAAGCATATTGGGGATGAAATTATCTGATGAAATAAAAAACTATAACTTTAATCTGGGAATTACTGAGTAAAACATTATTGAAAAATAACGATTTTGGTATTTCGAAAATGTCTGGTTCGAAAATCAAAATGACATGCATGATATTACTTAATACACATAAATTATGTTATGTGTTAATATTTTTATTTGCAGAAATTACAAGAAGCACTGGACAATTATCCATTTGACCCTTCCATTACTTTCACTTACTTGCATTCACAAACATTAACGGAAGAGTTGAAACGTAATGCAAATTCATTGATTCCACGATTCGTGATAGCATTTTCTATTCTCGTTTTCTTCTCTCTTCTGTGTTCCTTAATGTTTATCGATGGAACGCTCTATGTAGATTGGGTCCTTTCTAAGCCGGTATTATCACTGCTTGGCGTTATCAATGCTGGAATGGGCATCGTTACCGGTATTGGAATCACTAATTTCTGCGGTAATTTTTTCTTAAGATTACATTACTTATATTCATTTATGAAGATTGTAGTAAAATTTTCTCTTTAATAATGAGCCTTTCTGCTTGGTTTATTTTCCCTGAATCTAATCTACACTCTAGCCTAACTCAATTCGCAGTTGTTGTCGAAATATCACTTGCACGGAACTGTTAGAAAAATACTAGCTTACTGAAATAAGCCATTTTAGTACTAAACCAGGTAATTTCAGGCGTGCCATATAGTGATATCGTTGGTGTGATGCCATTTCTTCTAGTGGCTGTAGGTACTGATAATATGTTCTTGATGGTAGCAGCTGTTCGACACACTAATCGGGCCTTTCCGGTGCAAAAACGGATTGGAGAATCTATGAGTGATGCAGCTATATCGATTCTGATAACCTCACTCACCGATGCCTTTTCCTTTGGCGTTGGTGCAATTACTAGGTAGCAATGTTTTATTCAAGTACCTTAATTTCTAAGTGCTCTTCGATTTCTCGATTATTTGATATTCGATAATTGGGATACCATAAAATGTGGCATAAGAATGTGTTATAAGCTCTACTTCAAGTACTTTAGTATTTCTTCGACTTAGTTTTGTCAAAAAAATTCTATCATTATAGCACAAAATGATTCACTCCAGAATTCGGTTTCAATTGTGTTGAATTTTGATTAATAATATATTTTACAGCATTCCAGCAGTACAAATTTTCTGCATTTACACTGGTGTTGCAATAACAGTTACATTTATTTATCAAGTAAATTATTCCTTATTTGCCTTGAAGTGAACATAAAATGGTAGAATAATCCTGGAACTACCAAGACTGTGAAATTTTTTTTTTTCTTTTTAAATATTTTCTAAAGTATCTACTGGTCAAATAGAGGAAAAAAAATCTACAAACAGATATCCTTCTTTTGTGCACTGCTGTCGTTGGCTACAGAATGGGAAGCAGCAGGACTTCATTGTGTTTGGCTTCAACCAACCGTACCAGATACATTTATTAAATCAACACCATTTAAATATCGATTGTTTTGGATGGGTTCTAGAGCAGATCAGGATCCAAAAAATCTGGAGAGAAATCTGAAAGATACAACTACAAAAACGTTCTTCAAGGAATGGTTAGCAAAGAGTAATTTGCAATTCAAGTTTTAGTTAAATTTCAGTGCCCAGTAAACTGTACTTCCACTTCTATGTTGTCTGTTTCAGGTTTGCCCCAGTATTAATGAATCCGGTAGTGAAGATCCTTGTTGTCATGTGGTTTTTCATTTATATTTGTCTATCTATGTACGGCTGCCTTCACTTACGAGAGGGCCTTGAACCAATTAATCTATTAGTGCAAGATTCGTATGCCATACCGCATTATCGTTATTTGGAAAAGTACTTCTGGAATTATGGTGCTCCTCTTCAGGTACTTATTTATAATCTAGATGAAGATGTTGTTACCACCTTTTCATAACGATCGAGGTTCATTAGCTTGCAATAAATAAATTAGCTTAGGCTTGGCCAGTATTTTGATGCTTTCACTTCTAAATGATGTCAGGGGGTCAAGGAGTAAATATCTATCCTCTATAACATGCAGTAATATATCTATGGTGAATTTAATTTCCAGATTGTGGTAAACAATGCGCCTGATCTGAGAGACAGAAGTGAAAGGAGGCGAGTGCAGTCCATGGTACATGCTTTTGCTAACACAAAATATTCGATTGGTAAGTGAATTTACAGATAAGAGTTTCGAGTTTCATCAGCATATTAAAATTATCCTGGAGTTCTTTTAGTTCATTCTTAAATTTTTCAAGATTTGAATGAGTTTTGAAATATAACGCTGTTAATTTAATACTTGCTTATAATCAACTATTACTTAATATTTTTAAGGTGACGATAGCATACAGTTCTGGCTGAAGGAAATGGAAATTTACTATGAGAAGGAATTGGAAATGAACATTGTTGATTCAGAAATATACGGAATGGCAGAACATTTTTTTTCGGCAAAAGCTCAGGATGTTTGGAATGAAGATGTCATTTGGGAAATCAATAAACAGGGACTATACAGCATTCGAAGTTTTAGGTATATGGAGATTTTATCGATTTTTCATGACGCTTTATTTTTTTTATTTTTATCATTAACTGAAAAGCATTGCGTTTAAGATGGAATTTCTTTTGTTCAATTTCAGAAACTCTTATATGTGCAGTTTTCATTCATTGTAAAAAAAAAGAATAAACTTAATTCCGGCATTCCCAGTTTCCCTCAATCTTCACTAAAGTGCAATATAACAGATTCTTGGTGGGTATGAAACACATTTCGAAAACATATTATCAAGAAGAGGCAACAAAAACATTTCGAGAAGTGGCTGAACGTTATTCATCCTATAATGTCACCACATTTTCACCGCTATGGCTCTTCACTGACCAATATGCCATTGTAATTTCCAACACTATACAAAATATTCGTTAGTTTCTTGATTTTAATACTTCAATTTTTAGATGTTTGATCCAGTTTAGTATTCGTATAATTTGGTTGCTTACAGTGATAGCACTAGTGGTGATGATCATAATTGCGATGCTCTTAATACCGCAGCCGCTTTGCTCGGTCTGGGTAGCATTCTCTATCGCGTCCATCGATCTGGGCGTCATTGGTTTCATGACATTATGGGATGTCAATCTGGTAATGGTTTTTTAATATCAGATTCGAGATAAATTATAAATGTGCGTAAAGTGTAAGTTTTATATGTGAAAAAATAGGATAGGAAAAATGAGAATATTGGGAAGTAACGCGGTGGATAGGAAAAAACTTAAAGTTTCTTAAAAACAAAATTTTAACAGGATGCAATATCAATGATTACGATAATAATGTCAATTGGCTTTTCGGTTGATTATTCGGCACATATCACCTATGGATATGTTATCTCTGCTGAGTCTACCCCGGAGCAGCGAGTTAAAACAGCGCTTGGAGCGCTTGGATGGCCTGTCACGCAGGGAGCGATGTCAACAATTCTGGCTGTTGTTGTTTTGGCTGATATACCGGCTTACATGATCGTTACTTTCTTCAAAGTATCATATATCATTTTACTATTTATTCACTCCAATTCCTACATCGCAATTAATTCAGGTTTCATGACATCCAAATTTAATAAATCGTAGAAAACATTGCTATTTCAATTAATCAGAGGAAACTGTGTAACTTAATCCTTTAACACTTCCAGACAGTGTCGTTGTCAATTGTGCTTGGTCTTCTTCATGGCCTCGTATTTCTACCAGTGATGCTTTCTTGGTTTGTTGGTGGTTCTTGCGTTCTTCCTTCCATCGACGATAAGGCTTGTTTCGTGTCTCACATAAATGTTGTAACGGGTCAAACAGAGTATCACTCATCTATTTTTGGAAATTCTAGATTTAATAGTTCCAGTCTTTTGGGAGATGATAAGACGGTTTTGTTCTGCATTATAGAGGAAGTTGTTTAACTCAATAGAAACTGTGAAATATCATAGATTTCCTGGACTAAATAGTTTTGTTGACTTAAAGAATAACGTTTAGTAATTATTTAAGGTGAATGAATCAGTAAAGAATCAGTCAGGAGAACAGAATTTGCATAATGCGTCAATAACTGGGCAACCTGAAGATATTAGAGAAGTGACAGAGACTGTAGTGCAACCGTACGGTCCCTATGGTATTTATTTATCTCGAAATATTCCTACTCGACGAAGCTACCCTCGCCAGATAAAGCCTAGTCCGGATTGCATAAGTCCATTAGCAAAACCATCTCGGAAGCTTACTGAAGCTAATTCAAATCCATTTTAACTACGTGTATTGTGCTTTACAAAAACTGCAAAATTCTCGGTGTATGTGCTATGACAATTTCGATGCAACTTTTTATAGAATATATATGTTATCATTCTGTTGGTCATTAAGAGAAGATATTAATTCTCGAAGTCCTACGAAATTTAAAAACCAAGTCGACCGGTCTCTATAAGAAGTTCCAGAAAATGTTTGTCGAAAAAGTGAGAACTTGCATTTAAAGCAGCTTCATCTCTTCGTCGAAAGATTACGATCATAATATTTTAGCTGTAAATGATTGCTAGATTTACAGGTTCTTACATGCACACAGATTTATTCTGAAAAAAATTTCAATTTAGATTCTCTTATAATTTTTTCTTTATTCTCTGTTGAGAAAAAAAAAAGAGAAAAATTAGGCTAATAGCATTGTAAAAAGAGATGCAAATGTTTTTTTTTTGTTTAAAACATCAAAGCTACTAATTATATTCAAATTTAATTGGTAGGAATTCTTAGCCTTTGTATATTTCAATCCTTAATCACAACTAGTCATTTTCATCATCTTTTCATACTTGTTATTTATATATGTATATGAAAACAATACAGTTCATTCGCTCCTTTCTTTCTGCTTCATTCCATATAATTAGAATCGTATTTGTCTCTATTCATGCTAATAGTATATTGGTTTTTTCATCAAAATTTGCAAACCGTTATTCACTGATGATGTGCTGAAGTATTTATTTATTGTCACTGTAAGTAAATTAAGGAAATAAACATGATTCACACAAAAACTTAAAGTAGAAAAGTTCATATCCAATCAGATCAGAAATAAGGTTAATGTGAAGCTTACAAGTTCTTGTATGCACTCAGATGTACTTTGTGAATACTAGCAGCACATAGATAAAAAAACAAGACGAAGGTACCCGCCATAAGCAGCTAGTCCGAGTCGTTATCATTTTTTAAAACCAATCTCCGTTTATTGAATCAGTTATCCGGGTTACTGCTCGGTCACTATAAAAGGTGAAATGAGGTGATTCAGGAAGATCCCATCACTGCAATGAGAGTGGGAGGAGTGATTTTCATTCAGTGTGTTGATGAATTCAGTTAGCTACTTGTTCTGACTGTGGCGCAAGTGTCGCGAACATTGTGTCCTTGCAGGGCTTGGTTCTGCTGTAACTTATTAGTGTGCAGTTACGGTGTTGCATTTTTCGAGAGTAGTATATTAGAGCATATTGGTTGACTGTGCTGGACAATTTTGTTCGAGGAGGATCTGGTGTTAGGTGATGTTCGATGAAGGTATTGTACTTATCCTTATTCCATATTGTTATTAAAATTGCTGTAAGTTATTTCTTTCGTGTTCCACTTTCAATAATTTCAGTTTGATTCAAAATTCCAAATTATTTTGCTATCATAAATTGTTGTAAATTTGGAAGTTTTGTTATAAGTTTCTAGGCTAAAATTTAGATGACTTACAGCATGTGAACATAGTCCAACAGGGCATATCACTACTGATCCTGAAGACCTGCTTGGTCGTCGTTACAAACGAGGAAATTCTGAATCAGGTATGATATATGCATGAGATAAGCAGTTGTAGAATTATATTCACGTTGAACATTGTAAGAGTTGTCACGAACATTTTTCACATTGGCATAAAACATTTTGAGATGCTTTTAATTGTGATTTCTAACATTAGCACACATTATAGATAGGTCTAAGTTGACTTTTAATACTCTACTTTTTATTTATATGGTACTTATATCTATATTTCATCTCGTGCTGTGAATAATCTTTGTTTCAGTTCGACATCTTTCGGTACGAGTTCGTGTTGCGGAAGAAGAAATTAAAAAATATCGATTGCAAAATGAAGTCCTGAAGAAAACCGTCACAAAAATGACCAAAGAATTATATGATAAGCAATGTGAGATAGAAAGTTTACGGAAAGCATTCGAACAACAAATTGATGATCTTCAACATCAGTTATCAAAGAAGGAACATGAGGTTAAGTAATTGAAATATTGGAGAAATTTTTTGCTATATTTTGTTGTTTCTCAGTGGATTCTCAACTTCTACATTTGAAAGGTTGACTGAAGGGTGGGTTCGACATGTATCAGTATGTTGGAATTTATACAAACTGTTGCTACTGAAACTTTTACAGGATAAAATAAGCAAATTTGAAACTGTAATGTCGCTTTTACAAGGTAGTTCAGGTGTGTTTTGCTTGGTTCTCTTTTCATACGAAATTTTTAATTGCTTGTTAAAGAAAGTTTAGTATCTTATGTATTTCACGGATTTTATTTAGATATAATTGATCAGATATTGTCATGAGAATTTTTTAGAAACATGTATCCAACAGTCTTTTTTTTTTTAACTTATGTTTTAGGTCCTTTCAAGACATATGAACCTCCATTTTCATTTCTTGATGAACCGAAACAGGAGACGGTGAATGCAGAAGCTCAGACAGATGATTGGATGCTACGATTTGTACAAAAGTCAATTAATGCAGGTAACGGAGTCGTGAGTTGAGAACATATATAGAAATTACATTATATATTTGGTAGCTAGTAGTATAAAAAAATCGCGTTATATATTTTTGATGTAAGATTTTTCCTTACTTATGCTTGGTTATGCTTGGATTTTATTTTTTTGAACAAAGTTCTGGTCGCTTTACATCCTTTTCTCGCAATGTTTTTTATTTAGTAAATATTCAACTAGATTTGTAGCAGTTGCTGGACCTAGCATAATTGTAAAACATTTGGCTGCTAATGAAAATAACAGTTCCGAAAGATATGAAAAACTGACAGAAGAAATCGCAAAGCTGGAGAATGAGAAATTTTTTCTGATTACGCAGCTAAAATTAACCAGGTATGATGGCCATATTTATTTGATTACTATGATTCTTCCATTGTTGTATCCAAAATTTACAATGTTGTTTATAAGTCGGAACAAGTTGTTGATTTTTTTGTAAAATCTACAAATTATTTGGTGATAGGCATTTATTACTGAACAAGGAATTTTAATCAAAAAAAAAAAAAAAAATCAGTTTCTATCACTGACAGAAACAAACTGGAAAGTTTCGAACTGCAAGAAGCGCAAAAAATGAGTTTGGAAAATCGACTGGTAATTCTGACCGAAATGAATGAATGTCTTGTTGTAAGTTGCTCTTTCATATTATTCAAACCTCTTTATGAATGAAACTATTCCAATAAAGATTGGGATTAGTCGGTAGGCTCTGTCTATTTCAACAGCTTAACAGGCTCTATTTCAGCTAATTTTTCGTATCTTATTCTTTTTTATATAGCAGTAATTACTGTGACACCTTTCTAAGCTAGTTTGAAAAGAATTTTTAAGATCAAATGCGACAGTTGAGAATCAGTTGTTTTTTAGAAAAAGTATGACCAAAAACTTTGGAAAGATCATCGAAAGTTAGGTTGTTAATTATATAGTTCAAGCATCTTCGTAGGATAATTTCATGATAGTGATTTTCAGTTCTCGTGTTGGCATATTCTAGTTAAAAAAAAAAGTAGTAAGCTATATCATTAAAGTAATATCATTAAGCAGAAGTTATCGTCTTTCTTTATTTTAGAAAGAGAATGAGCGTATTAAAGAAATAGCCGCATCAAAAATGGCTGGAGACAGTGGCACGATGGAAGAGAAGCGTAAAATTATTGATTTAACATTAAAGTGTCAGGCAAAGTTAGTTGCTTTTTTCTAATGCATTCAACTGAGAAAAGAACTTTCAGTATTTTTATATATGGCAAAATTTATATGTAGCAACAAAAACATCTCCTTTTTTAGAGTGGATGAGTTACAGATAGAATTGGATTGGAAGTCACAGAAATTGCAAGAGCAACTACAAATCAATCGGGTTTTGTGAGTGAACTGTGTCTTCTGTTACTTCTCTATTGGTTTTTATTGTTATTGCCAAAGAAATCCTTTTTTGAAAGACCTAGTGAAATATCTGAATCATGGAATTCTTAGTGTAGGTCAACAAACTTGGAAAATGTGAAAGAGCAATTAAGTGCAGGGGATTGCGAGGTTGTGGATGTAATTGGAAATGGTGCGGAAATTTTAAAAAGATATGAAAATGAAATCAATGAATTAAAAAAGAAGCTCGCTCAATATGTATGTTTTTTTTTTTTTTTTTTCGGTTTGATGTCTTTTTATGTCCCGTCAGGCGTTCAAGAAGACTGTCTTCTTATACTGGAAAGTATTCGAGCACTTTCTCTTATCTTTCAATGTGTATCTATTTTTTTTTTCTGCTTACTTATTTATTTTTGGATGAAAATTTTTATATGATCTTCTAGCAATGAAGCAGATTGGTTGGAAATAAAATTACTTAAAGATTTATGCTTAACTTACTTAAAAAAAACTCCATTTCAGGACGAATTGCCTGATCCATCTGTAAAAATTTTGCACATGAAGATGAATCCTCTGCAGACAGCTCATCAGGATTATAAAGAATTTCAAGCTAAGAAAAAGCGAAAATTGGTATTTCAAATACTTAATTTATTAGTTCTGCAAAATCACACCAAAGAAAAAAAATTCTTTACAACATCTCTACATCAGTTTGATCCTGTCTCGTCCTTTATTTATGATTTTTTCTTCAGAACGAGTCTTTACCCTTTTTGAATGAAGATAACGATAATTTGATTCCTACATTACGGAAAAAGCAGCGTACTGAGATGACGAAACAGTTAGCAGGTAAGCAAACGGTATTTATATTCCTTAGTAGCTAATAGACTATAAAATCAAATTGTTAAAAAATAGTCAAATTTCTATTCGTTTTCTTAAATTGTTTTACAAAAGGTATTTGTACACTGGAATTAGCGAAGCGGGAAGGCATGTTGAGTTTTACAAGAAGGATAAAATAAAGTCACCTGAAGTTATGTAAATGTAAATATAATCATTAAAAATAAATTCATTTTCAGATATGCAATTCCAATTACACAAAGTAAAGAAAGAAAAGGAGAGAGCTCTAAAAATACAGAGTAATTTGGTTAAAAAGTATCGCGCTTTTGTGACTGCTCTCTCCGGATTACAAATAAAAATGAAAGAGGATGATCTGGTACAGGTTGAAAGCATTTTTGATCCGGGAAATTATTTTATTTTCAAGGTCATGTTTTGTAATGCTTTGTGTTTTAAACTGTAAACTGCGTGTAGAATTTCTTATTTATACCGTTCTTTCAGGTCTATTTTTCAAGGCTTGAAAAACCGGACTCTTTAACTTTCGCACTGAAACTTTAAATTTTTCATCACTCAAATAAATCTAAATCATACATTTTTCGAGCTCCCATCGTAATTATGTTTAAGATATGTTATTTTAATTATGTCATCTTAATTATTTATTTTTTAGGTGCATGATTATGGAAAAACGATTAGTTTATTGGAAACAGATTATGCGACTCAGTGGTCGGCACAAATTCGTGAATATCTGCAAGGGAGAAATTCAACTCCCGCTTTTTTAGCAGCTATTACCTTAATACTTGATGAGCGAGCTGAAAGCACAACTACTATGCCATTTTATCCCTCTGATTAAAAGCGAAATATTTTACGCACGTTGTTTTGTTAGCAATATTACAATATCTGTGCGTTAATTTTCTAAGCGAAGAATAACTTTATCTCGAAAGTCATGATTTTTCCTTTTCTATCATCAGGTTAAAAATTTAGCTCAGTGCAAGAAAGTGAATTTCCAGACTTAAAGAAAAGATTTCGTATCACTACATATTTCTTCAAATTTTATATTGTTGAGTTTTCTTGTTGAATTTTGCATGTTTGCAGATATATTTTAGTAAGAAAGTTTGTTTCGTCATTTTCTCTAATATTTCGTGCCATCAGTAATTTTATTTTCGAAACTTTAAATCTTTTCTGATGTGTTTTTCATTTCTCATTCTAGGATATTAAAATGATTCTATGCATTCTGTTATATAATTGGAAGTTCAACTTGGAATACTGTTTGAATTTCCGTGCTGTAAAAACAAAATGGAGTATGTGACTACAAATTTGATACATTTGGCATCATATGTTAGTTCAGATAAGAAGGGAAAATCTAAAGCATCCATTATGGTACACTACAATATAGTAATTTTTTTCTTTTTATGCAAAGTCTTCAGTAAAAATGCTTTCAGCATTGTTTATTAGTAGTTTGATGTTACTGTGAATTACTAATAACTAGTGTTATATCATGAATATTTCTTTGTAAATAAAGCCAGGTATGAGAGAACGTGAATTTCAATTTGACAAAGAGTCAAATGTGATGGCTACGAATTCATCAGAATTATGAGAGTCATAATCCCGAGGACTGAGTATCACAATGAAATGCAGAAACATTGGTACGAATATATACGGCAAGTAGAGTAAGAATGATGTAAATTAGGACTTGGTGAGGCTCTAGTGCTGTTTTGATCTCGACATTCTACCATTACTTGAAAATTCAAAAACTTATTGGAAATAAAGGTTCAGTGTTGCTCTTATAAAGAAAAAACTTGTTGGGAATGGAATTATCACCAACAATATTTCTCAATCATTTCCATTGTTGTGATAATTGTGCATGATTGTTGGGGAACACATCTTCAACCAGTAGCAGTGGTAAGGACACTGATATAATACTCAAATGTAGGAAAGGTGAGTGGCGAATAGTTTAAATTGGATGCAAACAGACTGTTATCATTGTTTCCGGTTTAGAATCGTATCACTGCTATTATCACACTGACATCATCAATAACACAGAGAGGTGTAAGGCATTTCTGCAGAACAGTCTCTGTTTAGTTCGGATTGATCATTGCAACTCATTGCATTCTCTCCACCTCTCATCTTCCTCATCCTTATTTAATTCATTTCTAAAAATTCCAACTTCTCTCAAGAACTAATCTTTGTCTGAACTCATCCTGCTCCTTTGTCCCCAGCAACGACAGCAATATCTACTTGCATCGATCAATTAACCTTAACAACTTCTCGTTCACATCCATGTAACTAGCTAGGTGTTTATTTGTCTCCAATATTCTTAATATGCCAAGATTTGCAAAACATTTAGCAGCAGTAACCTCTAGAAGATTAGCTTCTCACTGTAGTGTGTAGCAATGTTTACAGACAGACAGGATGAGCCAGCAGAACGAAGATAATAACCATTGTCCTCTGTTCAACGAAAAACAGAATATTAGCATTGTCAAATAGAAGAAGAGCACACTTGAGCCTTACTACTCATTTTATCGTCTTTCCCTCGGTACCTTTATGTCACAAGTACTAGTAAAGACCAATCATCAAAATATTAGCAGCAGACACGTTTCACGCCCTCTTATCTGCCTTCCTTACCTTTCCTAATTCTATTCCAATATTTATAATAATTCGTGCAAGGCTCAAGTATCTTGATTTATTCATCTTTGCTCTACTCTGCTGATCGCTAGGTTTAATCATTAAAAACATTCGTACTAGGTTACGTAAGGACACGAGCCACGTTCACGCTCTCCCTAGTTTGTTTTAATCGTTATAGAGGTTTGTTTTCACTACATATATACAAGTACACAACTGATTCCTTAACAATCCGCCTTGTGTCATGCTGCAGCTGTGCACTTCATCATCAGAACATAGGCTGGTAATTTGTAGCAGCAATAAATAACTAGAATTATCTATCGTTAACTTACTTTCATTCATTAATTAGTGGTCACGAAAGTTTTTTATACCAAGAACCTGTATTCTCGGCATTGCTCAGTCGCGAAACATTCATTTTATCCCACCTGGAGTTAAGTATCACTGCTAACATAGGAAGCTTTCAGCATTTATTCATGAGATCCATGGGTCTTGCTCTCTCTGTCGATATTCATTCTTGCGTGATATTTGTCACGCAGTATCTCAGTCACCTGGTACTTCCATCACTGCAAAGAAATTGCGGGAGAATTATACTGCACGCGGTAGAATAATAATATGTGCTGTGATTATCGCTGATAATTGCTTCTATTTTAAAAACAAGTCAAAATTAGCTGTTCATATTGTGATAATTCTTTAAAGACAGTTTTTCTCATAAATGCTTTCTATGAAAGCGATTCAATTATTCAGCCTTACTGGTGTGTTCTGAATAACGATGAATGGTTTGAATTTATAAACAAGTTCCATTTTACTGAAGTTGAGAACAGTGATTGGATTCGTGCTTTCATATTCAGAAATTAGAATTCATTAACGATGACAAAGCTAATGATCCTTTTTGAAATTTTTGAGATTTCTATTTTATTTCCATTTTCTTCTTTGTGTATAATGTCATCTCGCGTTATAGGTCGTATGCATCATCATTTAATGTTTAAGTCAAACTTTTAGAAGTTGCTATTTATGATATTATTTTATTGCTTAATAATAATTCGGTGCAGATGTAAGAAGTTTAATGCTATTTTATCAAAAAGATATTCAATTTAATGGAAAAGAATGGCGGATGATATGACAATGATGAAGTAAGCTGTTATTCCAAACTGAAATTGCGGCTGCATAAGATTGGTGGAAGAAAGTACAAATAATGTTGACTGCTTGCCTAGAGAAAATACCTAAAAGCTGAATTTGAGTAAAACCGATTTGATGGTCTGCCATGTACTGTTCAGAAAGTTATGTATATTTGTTTTGCTTTTTTTTGATAAAATTTAGACTGAGTGAGAACTCAAATGGAACGATGAAATAATATGTAAGTGATAAATTCAAAGGAATCATTATAATCCATTTATGAAGTTGCCTAATCTAATGTGATCATTGTCAAACAATTCATTGCAAGTTGTTGCTTTAGAAGAAAATTTCCTTTTGTCGATCCTTTTTACAGTTATGATTGAATGTATTCTTGTACTTTACACTTCTCGATCAACTTTAACTTGACAAAAGTCATCGATTGGAAGTGCTGGGCCACCTTAATATTTTCTTCCCTTCCTATTTCCTTTTCTTCTCCAAAAATTATTTCTATAGCATTTTTCTCTGATTCAAAGTTATAATCTGTTGACCCTTAACCAGTTAAAAGTTTCAACTACCACTTTTATCTTAGCCAAAGATGCGGCTGACATGATTACACCATAATAACAAGTGATGACCATATTGCAGCTCTACTCACTTCCGTCGTTCCAAATCAGGAAGGATGTCACGATGCAATGAGCTAGGAATGCGTTGCGTTGCGTTGCGTAGCGGTGGCAAGAAGAAGGCGTAGCAGAAGATAAACGCCACATTTCGAGCAGCCTTTTACGCCTGTGAATGAGATGAGGGCTCTGGGTATGCGGTAGGAAGGGTGCAAAAGCTCGCTCACTACCACACTGATGATACCACGTAGATATTCCATTGCTTCATTGATTTAGTAGTCCCTACTCTTCCAGCTGCCTACTGCTACTACGACTACTACTAGTACTACTGCTAACTGCTAACTGCTAACTGCTTATACTACACCTTTCGAACATATGTAATAAGCATGTATTATTCTCTCGCTCTCTCTCTCTCGCTATGTATGTATATGTACAATGCATCAAGTTTTACAAGTATTTTCGCCTAAGCGTACATCACTTCAAACAGGCATTTCATTATTTCGTGGAGTTTAAACTATGAGTGATTGAGTGTAATGAGTGGAGGCTTTGTTAACTGCGAAGTGATATTTAATAGTCGATAGCTGTTAGGCTGTCCTCTTACATTCTTCCAGCCTACATTGTACACCTTTTATCTTCCTTTAGGCCAGAATACAATTTGTAGCCCACCAGCTGACTAATGAATCGCTGGATGTTATTCCAATTAGCACTGACTTTTTTTTGAATTCTATCAAAATAATTCGATTGAAATCGAATTTTATTGTGAAGGAAGGATTCTTACTTACTCATACTCCTATTTTGTCTTCATATCTTTCCACCTTCCTCTTGGTTTCATTTATAATCGTGAAAGATAGAGGGTTTCAGCTATGCCGATTTTGTCTAGATTTTCTTTCAAGTTACTCAATATTTATAAATACCGAGATGAAGCAAAAAGATGCATACGGATACGCAGATACGTGTCTACACACACGCATACGCACACACACACACACACACACACACACACACACACACACACACACACACACACACACACACACACACACACAACTACATACATACATATATATATATATACTACTCATAATCAGGCCACTGGAAGAGGAGGAAGAACACGGAGTAGCGCAGAAAGTAGTTGAAACTGCGCTAGCAATAACCAACTAGCGGTTGCTTTCTTCTGGATTAATCAATCCTCTTCGATTGCAATTGGGATTGAGAGGGAGTGAATAAATGGCAGTGTTAGAAATCTGGCTACCCTTGAAATTATCATCGATTATATCATCCCGAAGTAGAAGAAATTCCACAATGAACCACTGAACTTCACGTCTTGTCAAGATTTCTCTTTCTCTCCCTTTTTCTCCCTCTCTCTTTCCTTCTCTCTCCCTTTCCTTTCCTCCCTCTCTCTCTTTGTACGTTTGTATTGAACTGGATAAGTCATTTGAAAGTGTTGATCCATCTCATCCCCTCTCCCTTGTAACTTCCATCTTTCCCCTCCACTTAAATTCCACTTTTCCACATATTCTACGAGCATTTGCATTTCCAAGTTATCTTTTTCAAAGAATAGTCATTTTCAATTTTCACAACTAAAAGCAATGCATTTGTATGGGAAAGATATTTCAGTTTGAAGTAAAATAAGTAATTAGCTTTGACCTTCTAAAAAAGTCAGAAAGGAAGCAGTCAACCTCGAGTGTTAGCGCTTATTTTCTCTTACAAGTTATAAGAAAGTCACTAAAATTTTTGTTGGTAGTTGCTTGTTGCAAATTTCATTTTCAACCATTATAACTGATTAAAAATCCTGTAGCTCGAATCTTCAACTTTCGAATTTTTTTCTGTCACTTTAGTATTTCTCTTTATATTTAAAACTAACCATTTTTCATTTTGATGTATATTCAGGCAATCCTTTGATAATATATAAGTTTTCTTGTGATTCAAAATCTCATTTGCTATCTCCTACAAATATCATTTATCATAGTCTAGTTTTCTTGATTTTTTTAAAGACATGATTGTGACAGCCATTAGTTTAATTTTTTTTTACCAGTCTTTTAATAATAATTGTTATGAATAACACTTCTCATGCTGCTAATTTTACGACACCCTAATTTCCTGATTTGCAATTCCCACTTTCCCCTGCTATTTAAGATTATATTTCATTTCGCACGGCTCATTTTCTTTCAATTTTAACTATAAAAAATTTGTTCCATTTCTCGAAATGGACTAACTGCTTTTGTCTTTATCATTTAGAAAGGTTCGCTGTTTATTCTCATAGAAGTGCGGTGACTACTGAGCGCATTTGGGAGTCGCATTTCTGTCGTAGTCACTTTGTATCATATAAAATGCGATTTGCTCTAATGCAAGCAAACGGCAAGAATCTAGTGATACTTGAGCTGGAATTTCCATGCAAATGCACAAGTACTTTATATCAACAATAATAAACTCAAATGATCAGTGAATACTTATAATAGAAAGGAAAAGAGAGAATACACAGAAGAAGCGAGATATTTCCAGCAGGATAATATAGTTCGGAAATTTAACTATGATATAAATGTGTATTCATTAGGATATATCTGATTGAGCTGAGAAAGTATCTTCATTAAAAGATTTCAGTCCCTTTCCCTTCTATCGCAGTATCTTATTTCATTATTTGATGTTACATTAGCAAATATTTATTTTTTCTCTCTCCTTGTCATTACTTCTTGCAAAATTCGCGTGTTCCTCATCAATTGCCACATCTACCTTATCGGTGTTTCCACAATTACATAAGGGTGCAGTTACATCTGGTCGAAGTTCGATTAGTGGAAGCATTGGTTCCCGAATCTCATCATTGAAGTCAAGCTGCTATCTAATAATCAGTAGATGTATTGTCGGCGTACATTACAGCCTAAGTACTGGACTTCAGGCTACTGTAACTGGACGTATGTTATTTCTATCTTGAGTTATTCGGTCGAACATTTTTTAATATCAAATGATTGTTAACTGTTTTCTTATATTAGCATGTCCTATCCTTTGCAGAATGGAGCACTTCCTGTAATATTTTTGTAGTATTAACGATGCTGAGTATTAATTCAAATATTTAAACTAACTCTACAATATGGTTCATGTTATGTTCGGTCACCGAAAGTAAAACAGCTGGCAGCACCTTATTAAATTCAACAGAAATTCAGTAATTGCAAGAAGGAAATGACTACTTAAAAAAATTTACTGGAAGATGATATATATGGTTTGGATACTTCACAAATGGTATAGCGTGTTATTGAGAAAATGATCTGGAGGAAGGACCTTTTTCGACGTGACATTTTAACTGCTGAAATTGCTCTGCTTAAAACCTATTCAGAGCGGAGGAAGGTAGTCAGGAAATTTTCAACCCAATTTTTTCAAATCTGTCATTTTCTTGATCTCTGACGAATGCCTAATTTTGAACTATTGTTTTCAGTTATACTTCAGAAATAGAGAACAGTAAAGAGGAAATATGTCAAATAGGGGTAGCATGTCATTGTGTTATGAAAGTTGATTAGCGAGAAGTGATCATTCACTGATTATATAATCTAGAATAGTCATTGGAGAATCAGGTTGATATCCATGGTATGATAGCTTTCAAGGTAATGATAAAACACTTGCTCGTTGATTCCTAATTTCCTCTGATACGAAGAGAAATTCCGCTTAATATCTAACGATTGAGTTGATCAGTAAATCATCATTTCCAACTTACAATTTTATTTGCTGCTTACATTGGGCGAGTAAATATTCTTTAATATCTGATCGAATTGAAGATGCTTGATGAATTTCTTTTCTCTAATTCTTTGTTCTCTAAGATGTAAAAATTTCATTGTTCATTAAAGCATTATCTATTTCCAGTGATGTATAGGAATTTGGAAGAAAATTCGTTTAGTAAACAACAGCTAATATGCGTTGTTAATTGATTGTGTTTGTTGGTAATATCTTAAAATGTTGTTGCTTCGTCTTGAAATTAATTTTTTTTTTTTTCGATTCATAAAATTAATTTGATGAAATTACTGGACATCATTCCGTAGTATTCTATAAAAAGGATCTATTAAGCAAAAATATCAGCTTGCACTGCGTTAAATGATTATTAATTCCGGTAGCAGCCCTTAAAAACCACTATGGTATAACTGTTTAAGTGTCACACGAACGGCTAAAGGATACAATGAAATTTAAACTAGTATTTTCAGACATTCAGTTTATTTATTTATTTACATCTACGGTGACTTATTACTAAGCAGTCGCACATAGTGTTTAGACAGCAGTTATGTCAGCTCTGTGCCTTAACTATCCTGTTCATTTGACCTCTGCACAGCTACGATATATTCCACTTTATTCAAGATTTATTCACGTCTTTTCTGCAGAATCGAGTATGAGGTACGGTATGCTGATTGCGTTGAGATGAACGGTGGCAGATTTGACTTTGATGATGGCGGTACCTACTGCGGGGGTTGGGAAGAAGGCAAAGCTCACGGGCATGGTGTTTGCACGGGTCCACAAGGCAAAGGTGAATATGCCGGAGCTTGGCATTACGGTTTCGAGGTGCTTTTTTGAGAAATTTATTGACTAACGTCCAACTTAACCTCATTCATTTGATATTATGAATTTGTGAATATAATAAATTACAAAATATAGGAAAAGGCTTGCTAACGATTATGCTTGTATGAATGTCGTAATTAAATAAAAGAATCATGTTTGACGTATATTTCTTCATAAATGAGGGATAACTTCATAAATGGTCGGAATTCTCAACAAAATTAAATTTCATGAATAGTTTAACATGAAAGGTACTATGAGCATTCAAAAGTCATCCTAGTTGATCTATTTATTTTAGTTGTAATGCTTAGCTAAGTCTATGAGGCGTTTTGCGATGCATTTGAAAATTGAAAAATACAAAATAAAATTACGCTGAATTCATACAAAATTTTTGAAGATCGTAGAAAAAATACATCCTGAAAAGCCTTGGATGTCGGAAGTTGCAGGAGGGGGTATTTTGGCTTCTAAGGATTATCCAGCAACTCGTTTTCTTTTTTTTAGCAAACTGTTTAGCAATGTTTATTCCTACAATACTTTCTGTAGTATTTCTTGCTATCTTACTTGCTAGAAAATGGACTGTGTTGATGTTTAAATTTTTTTTCTGAAGACAGTTGTTGAATTATAATTTAATTATAAATATGAAGGTTTTCATTTCAAGTTTTCGTAATTCAGGTATCTGGGGTTTATACATGGCCGTCTGGGAATACTTACCAAGGGCAATGGCAGAATGGGAAACGCCATGGGCTCGGAGTCGAGCAGCGCGGTCGTTGGATTTATAAAGGTGAGTGGACTCAAGGATACAAAGGCAGATATGGACATCGGTTGTCGATAACTTCACAAGCTAGATATCAGGGTACCTGGTCCGCAGGTTTTCACGATGGTTATGGCACCGAAACTTATGTCGATGGAGGCAAGTGATAGTTTCGTAGTGTTCATTTCTGCTTTCATTTTTTTTTTCTTTGAAATGTTTTATGATTTGAGAAGTCAGTTATTGACAATACTGTTAGTTATTGCACAGTTAATGTCGAGTATTGACTCGAATAAGACCTTTAGCTATTCATTACTTTCTGAAATTATTTCCTAAATTCAAAATTTGATTTTACTTTTTGCTAGAAAGAGATGAGAAGAATTTCATAACTTTAAACTTTTAAAGTTAAGATTCAAGTAGGAAACGATGAAATAAAATGATGACATGCACAGAAAATTATAATATCAAGACATAAATTAGAAATTTAAGACACAAATAATAAGGAGTTGAAGTCTGCTAACAAGCAATATTGAAACTTACTTATTTTTTACTTATTTTTAAGAAGACAAGTTTTAAACCTTAAAAAGTTAATGATCATTAATTGCCATTTTGGTATACAGTATATACCTGTATAAATAATTATGCTAATTTGTTTTGTTTTTATAAGATTAAGTGATCTGAATAATAGTTTAATGGTGAATAATAGTTTTTACTAAAAATTTTTTTGTATTTTTTTTTTTCAAAATTTAGTCAAGTTAATACAAAAAGGATCATCTGGGAAATCTGGCTTTTATGATTTTGAGAGCTTTTCTTTTGATGATAATAATGCTAACCGAATTGTCTCACAAAAATCAATTTAATAGATTCATTTTTGATGAGACTGGCAGAACTTTATGGCTTCATATCAGCACATTAGTCAGATCAGGGATACGAAATAAAAGCAGTTAAAAGTTTTCTGGTTAACTTTTTAAACATTCAAATTTCTGATCTCGTTATTAAGGATCAAAGAACGTGCAAAAAGTGACATTTCGCTAGTGTGGAATCAATTAGTGCATTCAGGTGCTTATCAAGGACAATGGTTACGTGGTATGCGACATGGATATGGTATCCGGAAAAGTGCTCAGCATAGTGTAGCAGCTAAATTCCGATCTCGGTCACGTACTAATGCATCCCTAACTTCACTGAGATCTGAGTACGGCGAGGGTGAGGAGAGCGAGAAGAAGAATTATGGTACTTTTCTGTTCTAACCTCAGTTCCTGTTCTTATTAAATTGTATAACTGAGCAAATAATTTTAAGGCTATTGCTTCAGGCATTTATTGAGCAATTATGCATATAATTATTTCCAGTTGATGTTAACTTCTTTTATTTCAAAATTTTAACTGCAAAATTTTCATCACTCAATTTTGTGAGAATTTTAATTAGGTAAAATTGTTGATATAAGCATGTTACAGACATAGTAGTAATAGTGCCTTACTGGCTAAAATTATTTGATTTGGAATTTAATTTTGGCATCAGTGCCAACTTCAGCAGGTATAGTTCCATTTCTGAACAGAGTTCAATTGTTCAGAAATTCTTCTAGCACTAGACTGCAGAAAGAATGTAATAAATTGTTGTTGACAGTAACTCTTCCTTGTGGTGTCTACGTATGTGGTTCTCTTTAGTGCAGCATATTGACAAGATGATGTGGTAGTGTAGTAAATCTGGATGTACCTGTTTGCTAGAACAAATCAACAATGAAATGTGTTTTAAAGTGAGGGAGTATGCAATATGGGATAACAGCAGGGGAGGGGACCATTCTCACTGTCAGCTGGTGTTACTGCAGTTAGTGGAAAAATCAGTGGTGCGAAAAGCATATCAGTTCATTAATCATCTGAAAATTTTTCAAGCGAATTGAATAAATTTTTATGGATTAAAGTCTTTTCAGTATCTTAGAGTCATTAATTTTGTTCTGACATCATAGTTATATTGAAGCAGCTTTTCACAAAGCACTAATCAGTTCAAATTTGATATTGTGAGCTTTTCTTTAAAAAAAAAAAAAAAAAAAAAAAAAATCTGAATTTGATGAAAACTCAGAGTAAAGCATTTGGAATAAGAAATTGGACAGTTAAGCAGTTACAGATGTATCAAGATTTCATCTAAAAATATGTAATAATAAGATGCCATTGTTTCAGCATTTCAACATGGATGGCCTGTTCTACTTAAAAAAAAAAAAAAAAATAGGTTAACAAAAAATCTTATTTATATATTGAATACATCTCGTTGTTCTTTCCAGAAGCCAAAATTTTGTTTTTTTCCTCAGAAAACTTGTAGATGAAACAAACGAAAATCGAGGTGGCTTTGTGCTGAAAGCTTGTAGTAAAGCTCCTACTAGACGTCGGTCTCTTTCGGAACGCTCATTGGCTGTTAAGCGAACGATCCTAAGTGGTTTACGAATCAAAAAACAGCATTCAACCGGTGATATACATCAACATGTCACTACCGGTGAGTTCTTGTTCTTAGATAAAAGATAAAATAATTATTGAAAGCTGTTTATTTTCAAGGAAGTTATTTGTTGACATCAAATAGCTCTAAACTTGAATAAACTGATTTGTTTAAGGGCTAATAGTTCCTATGGGACGATTAATTTATAGTTTACAAATTAAATGAAATTGAGGATTAAGATGGTATTACATTTAATTTTTTCCTTATATTATTATTAATCATGATTATTACTGATGATGGTATTTCTGTTAATTTAGTGTAGTTTGCATTATGCGGTTGATACTTCGATGGTTTTGTAACCGCAGCTTTTTCTTTCTAGTCAAGAAAAATTAAAATCATTTGTTATAGGAAGTTTAAGATCAAGCGGTAGCACCGTCAGCTGCACATCAGATGAATCGGAACATCGGCAAGGACGGGAGAATCTGGTCGTGTCTGAAGTAATTCCTCGTCTGATTTATGATCTTTAAAATTCCCCAGCATTAAATGAACTGTTATAAATCTTTAAAAAATCGAATAGTTTGTAAGCATAATTTCCCTGTAGCTTATTTTTGCAACGGGATGCAAACAACAAATAAGTAGAAATGCAACTTCATTTATTAATTAAAATATCGTATTTTATTGTTGCATGATCTAGCATTAAGGTTTTTTTTTTTTCATTCCTCCCTTTTTTTCTGTTGTAATACTTGATTACGGTAGCATACTGTCTTCCCACTAGCAAGCTAAAATTTGATATACTAGTAAGCTTACAAAGTTGTATATTGTTTCAAAATTCTTTCTAAAATGATTTCACATCAATTAATTAAACATTCTATCCACTAATCCAGGAATCATTTCGCTGAAAAAGAAAATTTTAGGAAAAGCAAATTGAGCCGAATACGACTGAAATTTACAAGGGTGAGTGGAAAAATGATAAACGATGTGGATTTGGTGTTGGTGAACGAAGCGATGGCCTGAAATATGAAGGGGAATGGTTCAACAATCGAAAATGTGGCTATGGGATTACAACGTTTAGAGATGGCCGGTAAGTCAACCACTTGTGAAGAGCTGTTTGCAGTTTATGGATTAAGTCAGGTATGCGAATAATTATTGCCTTGATAGAAGAGTCCTATCATACAATAGTGGACTACAAATCTTTTAATGTCGTTAAGTAAAATGTCGATAGGTCAATGCTAAGTACACCTAAGAGCTATATCTTTTTTGGTCCTGATATTGATGAATACATATCAATATACACTGTATGTGTTGGTATGTTTCGAACAGATGAGCTCAATAAGTTTTGATTGCTTTGACAATTTTAAAAATATTAGGATTTCACTCTGCTATTCAAAATTAGTAACGTATTTTTTATTTCACTTTTCATGTCATATCTTTTTACCGCAGTCGTTTTACCGCTAATGTGTTATTTCTCGTAAGTTAGACGTCGGTTGGTAAGTCTTTCGTCCAGTGTTCCGAAACGTTATAGCAGTTAATTTATGCTGCTATTTTGCTTTCTCTGTTATTCCATCACTTAAGATCATGACTGTTATTACTAACCAAAAAATCCTATTTAATAATTGCCATACAGTAAGGTAAGAGTGAATGTTTATGCATGCTAGAGAATGAACGACCAAAAAATGCGGGTTAAGAAGAGATACATATTTTTCCTGAAAAATTTTAGCTGTTGTCATCTAATATTAAAATTAAAATGTATGTTGGCGTAAAGTTTCGTTCTAATAAAATCAGTGGAAAAATGAAGTGAAATTATCACTGGTCAAGTGCGGCTCATTTGCTTAGAAAACAATTCATTGTCCATTATCTGGCATTTAGCCATTTTGATTTCATTTACTTTTTGTTTTGACATTGTTTCAAGATAGTATGACTTGACTAACGCTTAAGCGACTAAAATATCCATAAAAGTCAGCGGCAGGAAAATGAATTATCAATAAAGTGTTTCATTTGTTGAGCAAAGAAAACACTTTATTGTTAATATAATGAGCAAGAAGTAAAATATGTTTATGGTGCAGGAGAGAAGAAGGAAAGTACAAAAATAATGTATTGATATGCTCAAATCGTAAGAAAGGGTTGCTGTTTGTACGCTCATCAAGGTTGAAAGAACGTGTTGGAAATGCTGTTGAAGCTGCCAATCGTGCTGCCACTATTGCTCAACAGAAGGTTTGCCTCTTCCATTATTTTGCAAAGAGTAATATGATAATCATTGTTCGCATGACTTTGTGGCACTATGTAGTTGATTGGATACGGATCTTAATTTGTTGTAATTCGTATCTCATTTCCAAGCATAATTATTTTTATCATAATTAATGAGAATATGAAAAAAAAAAAAATTAATGGGATTATCTAAGCAGTTTTGCTTATTATCATTAAGTTTATTGTCAGATCTCCTAAATAGTGAAGTCTGATGAAAAGTTGTCTTAATAGAATGGTATATTCTTGTCATAGTAATTTTTATTACGAAAGCTATATAAATAAAGAGACATAGGAGAATATTTGAGGAAGAATTTGAACGTTAATTTTGCATGGAACTAATCTTCATTGTTATGCTATTTTCGTTATCATTTTCCCAATCTCGTATCAATGTGTTGAAAAACATTTAAGAAATCAATGAATGAAATTTTGTCAGGTAACGATAAATTTTGTGAAGAATTCTAGGCAGACATAGCTGTATCACGAACAACAACAGCTAAGGAACGCTCTGAGCAAGCCGACTATATAGCACTACAAGCTCGTGAAGATGCTGATACAGCTAGGATGTGTGCGAAACAATTTGCTCCAGAGTTCAGGCAACCTGGTACAGAGGCGATTCGAGTTCAGATGAACTGCCTGCAACAGCAGCATAATACTACTACTACTACTACTAACACAAACCATGTCTCTTTCGATTCACCACCCACTTCCAAAAGTTCCCATGAATCGCGTGACCTCACCGATGAAATAGTCGTCTTGAATCCTCCTTCTTTACCAGGTGCCACATCGGAAGTCATTTATTCACCTTCGCAACAATCGCACACTCCAGGCGGTACATTATACCAACCTCAGCAGCTGGTCAATCTAGGTTCCTATCAGCAAGGAATTGTGGCTAACTCAGATGTTGATTACATATCTTCATCATTTCAGCAGCACCATCAGTCCAATCCTGGTGCCTATCAGAGTAGTTCTGGATTTCAGACTAGCAGTGTAACATCAATCTACCAGCAACAGCAACAATCACAACAGCAGCAGCACAATGTTAATTCAGTTGGCTATGCGGGTCAGCAACAAACTTCCACATTTGGTTCAACTTCATATCAAATGTTGCCAAATGTTTCTTCACATAAAGTTGCTGGCGGCTATCAGTCCAACACTCAGCTCCCTGTTATTTCGGGTACACCTCTACCGGTTGTTCATGTGCCCTACGTTTCCTCTTCATCATCGTATCACGCAAATGCAGTGCCTCATCATAATTTCAATGTATCACATCTATATCAGCAGAAACAGCAACAGAATTTGCTTGCTTCATACCCAGGTACAGGATTTGCAATACCAGAACAGCAGTCGTTCATCTTGCATTCCGATATAACCTCTTTAGACCAACCGAATAATACGACTTCTAATATTGCTGGTGAATTACAACAGCGTCAGTTCGGCAGTGGCACTATGGATCCACGTTCCATTGAAAATATCAGTCCAGCATCTTCCAGAAGTTTATTACAGGTATCCTATACCTCAAATTATTCTTAGTTTTCTGTTTCGATCGACAAGCATCGAATCAATTAGAGATTGAGGGTAAAAAATCGCTTTGTGCTCCCTGGAATCCATGGAATAATTTCATTTACGGCCAGATATCTTGCTGTTTAAATTATACAAGTATATTATTACTTCTTTATGAAGGAGTGATTTTAAAATTGACATGATTATTTGGCGTAAATGACACAGTGTAGGTTCTTATATTGGGGATTGTAAATAAGCAAGGAAAATTAATTTTGTGATCGTAATAAATTAAATATATCATTTTAATCATTTTGTAGAATACGAATGCTGCTCAAAGCAGCTCACGAATTTCTCTCAGTGATGATCACTACGACCAGTATATGATGTTTGCAAATACTAGCAGAAGTGGATTAATACATAGGAATAGGCCTTCACTCACGAGACAACCTTTCGCTGTGCATGATATTTCGCAGGCAAGAAATCTGCTCTCCCTATTTGGGCTAAAGGGCATCAAACATTGATACCTTTATTTTGATAGCAGAGAGAACGTCAGTAATTTTCTGCCAGCAACAATTATTCAGTGTATATATTCTGATGGTCAAAATAAATTAAGCAAAATTTCAAACAAAAGCTGTAATGATATTTGTTGACTTTATCCGCAACACATTAATGAGTACTGTTTCTGCAGATAAGATTTAGATTACCAAGATGGCTAAAATTTATTCTAAATTCAAATGAAACATAGACAAAATTAATCTTTTCTGGGTCGTGAACAAGTGAAATACAAGAGTACATATATTCTTTTGAACTTGTTGGTTAATCAGTATTTTTCATAAAGGTTCAAACCTTATTTCTTTCCATGTTATTCACGTCTCTTAATCTTAATATGATGTAAGCGAATTTTGCAAATGAAATGTTGCAGAATTTATATAGGCGTTCGACTTTGGCGACGGCTAGTGATAAACGATTAGAAAATGTAGTGAGGCGAGGACGAAGGGGTAGCGGTGGTGATGATGAATTCGAAGAGGCTGAAGGACGAGGCTCATTGCCAAATCTAGTCGAACTTAAAGTAACTGGAGTGCATCTAAGGAGAGAGGAAGCGGCTCGACTTGCTTCGCAACAACGCCAAGAATTGCAACGCCTTCTTGAGGAAGAACAGTTGTTGCGTAGTAATCCTCTTCGGTATTTATTCCATCCTGCTTTAAAGGTTAGTCGCTTTCTTTTTGCTATGGTAATTTCACGGCGTGTGGAGAGATTACTATTTTTCCACAGGTTTTAAAATTACAATCAATCGTCTTCTCATGTTTACTTAATCTTATTGAAAACGAATGTGATGAAATTCGATGAAACATATTTTTTCTACGATAAATTTTTAAAAACTTCAAATTTCCATGTTTTATATTTCTACTGCAGACTACTTGCCTTTCGCTTCGCCAGTAAGCAAGGAATGCGAAATAATGAAAAATTAACATTAACCCATTATTTTTACATTACGCTGAAACTACTGTTTGTAAATTTTTAGCATAGGAGTATATGCCATAACTATCCATTTACTACTGTTAGCTAACTTCGGATTCCTCATTATTGTATAATCGTGGTGATTTGGAATAAATTATTCATTTGATTTTTAATGTTGAAAACGAAACCTTATTTTTCAAAAAAAAAACATACAATCTATTATGTAGGCGTGGATAATACGATGGAAAATGCCGCTCGTGCTTTCGGTGGCCAATATTTTCCTATTAATGGTCTTCTATAATCTTCTCACTTACGAAAAACGAACGCGTGAACGCCGATGACACATACTATGCATGCGTATCTTTTCGGAATGGTGATGCAATAAAATGTTTTAAATCAGTGATACGGTGCTACCAAACCAGTGATATATGATTATTGAAATGGTGATTTACTGACAATCTAATCGTTCCAGTGTACATGTATTCACGATTTGGAAGAATATACGCTCGTTCAAATGCTCCATTTCAGGAGGCCGGTGATATCAGGTACACCTGGCACCTTTCTTTGTAAAATAATACAATTTTGTGGATAAACTTGGGAAATGAAAGCAAAAACCACTACCAGATTATTGCTGTTTAATGGACTAAACATCATATATTTAAAAATGGGGTCGAAAATAAGAAGAAAACTAAAAGAAAGAAATGAAAAAAAAATTACTTTGAGTACATTATGCAATCAAGTGTAGTGTTCTAGTGCAGTTGCGCAATTTATCTTAGTTACCGCTCATTTACAAATATAAATTGTGAGACTGGCCTTCTGAAAGAAACCTAGATAAGCAACATTTTTACTGCAAAAATGCCAAAACAATACCTGACCAATAAATACAGTGGTATTTTATTCAATCGATGGACGCTATCTGATTTGATCACAGTTTTGCTAAAATGCATCAGCGAAGCATATAGTAATAAGTAAAATAATAGAAGCAATAATTTAAATGACATAAACATAAAGAAGAGTAAGAAATATAAAAGACTTAGCCGATAAATAGACAAGAACAAGGAACGAAACATATTTGATTTGGTAGCACTGAGACCAAACTTCTTGGCAGCACTAGTTATGAGTGTGATTTGCTCTGATGTATATTTTAACGTAAACTTATTTAAAAGCTTTCGATTTTTGGGTTTCAAAGGAGCAGACGAAAGAATGCAGCACGAAAAATGCTTTTCTCTTAATCTTATGTATGATGTGAGGATTTTTTTTTTTTGTAAAGCTTCTTTTCCCAAGTTTCATTCTCTAATTACTACTGTTTTGTTATGACACGTGCATAACACTGCCAGGTCTTTCTAACTTACAAAAGAAAAATTCTGTACGACTATTTATACCAAAGTCCCGGAATTTTGGTATACTATCCGATTAATTTATGTTTTTTAACACTAAGGCCATCATGATGTCGTCTTCATTCTTTTGTGGTCATATGTGAAACAATTTAATGCCTTATCATTATTCTGGAAATCTTACGGTTTTCCAAAATTTATTTCCGTTTAACTTCCTTTCCTCTTTCATTAGTAATTTTCAATTTCATTACATATTTGCTATGTCGAGGCCTTATTGATAATATTATTTTTCAATGAACCAGAAAAGGTATAAAAGAACTGTAGGATGCTTTAAACATTCTACATTTTACAAATGCAAATATATGTTAACTGACCTTTAAAAGATGCAATTGATAGATCTCTCAGCATTTTTTAAACCGAGTCTGATGTTTCAGCATGAGCACAAGAAAAAGTTGCTAAAGTAAGGGAAGGACACACGGCATTTATAAAAAAGATTGATGGGGCTTCCTTGGTACTTAAGAATTGTTCGTAATTGCAGCCATGTGGCAGAAGTGTTTTTTAACGTGCAGCATATATGATTTTAGAAAAGATAACAAGAAGGCAGCAGGGGAACAGTGGAAGGAGAAGCCAGTGAATATATATATATACATATATATATATGTATAGGGAGGTCTCCAAAAGTCTCTTGGAGATCGCCATCACGAGAAGCATATATTTAGGAAGTATTCATAGGTAATAGAGTTACATTACGTATGTCATGGCTGCTAAGTGTTTACGCTTAACTTCACCCTTAACGATCGACATCCACACCGCTCTAGCTCTAAGTACCTCCACGCAAGACCTACCACTGCGCGTTTGGGAAGAATTGACAAACCTTGTGCCATCTAAATGAGGAGGGACGACGATTTTCATGTCGAGCTATCAACTTAGCCACATGAGGTTTGACTGATATGAAACGATTGGTATATGTTGTGGATGTCTTCTGGGAATTGGAAGTCTGCATGTGGTGGGTAAGATACTTTGCAGGGAAGTTTTGCAATGATTATGGCGGGTAACATTTGTGTTGTCTTCTCCAAATGGTTTATTGTGTTGAGGTAATTCATATCATTACTGATTTACAACCATTTGGCTTTCTTCTGATCAAGCAGAGTATTGTTGGATAACCAGTAACTCTCTGTCACTTTGTGCTGTGTTTCACAATACAATATTTTATCCCAGTTTTCTCTTTTAATATGTTACATTTTATGGTTTCAGAGCTCCTTTTTCTGATGTTAAATTAATTTGCTTCCAACTGTTATAAGTGCAATCATTACAGGAATTCGCTGTTAAATATGAACTAAATGGTTTATTGCAAATTTTTTCAGAAGCTGTAGAATGAGGGATTTTCTGTGAATATAGGATAGTTATTCTATCCATTTACTATCGGATCGCACTGTGCATAAATGACTTGATGAATAAGAATAGCAAAATAACCCACCTTAACTGTGCAATATTGTGCTAACCTGTGGTTTGTCGTTTTAGGGCAGCAAAAAAAGTATTGACTGTTTCTGACATAAATGGTTATATCATAAAAGAATGAGCAATAGTGCAAATCAATATGTTACTGCTGCACTAACTGATCTGATTGACTACGATAATATTTCCACTTCAAATGTCAATGATGAACGATTCATCGTGGTTTCAATTATGGAGTGGGTTTCTTCTAACATACTGACTTGGCTTTATGCTTAGATTTGTAAAGTCAGAAATCTGCATTACTTAAATTAATGATTATGAATTTAGTGTTAGTATTCTAGTTGAAAGGTGAGGTTATTATGAATTAGTTTCAGCAGCGAAATTATTGCAGGCTGCCACTCAATTACAGTGCCTTGAATTCGCCGGAAATACTTTATCTAGATGGAACAAATCAGATACTGCTTCGGTGTGTTAATGGTTTAACAATGATCTTTGATGCAACCTTTGAAAGCACATCACCTCTTGCCACATATCGTTTAAATCCAAATGCCCGGGTATGTAATCGATCAATGTTTAGGTTTATATTGTGCTGATTTTGAGAATTAAGTAGTCCAAGCCCAGCACTGCTGATATTTGACATTTTAATGTTTTAAAAACATATAGCATTGGGATGCTATGCAGCTCTTACGCACTTTATAAATTTATGTTTTGCAGATAGTTTACAATAAGCATAGTGGTACGTTGGCAGTTGCTGATTCCAAAATGCTTTGCTTTCGTCAGGATTATGGTGGTACATTTCTTCTTAAGACTGCGCTTAAGAGGCCATCGAATAAAACTGTTTCTGTTGAATTACCACTGGATGAGGTAGATCTTTGTCATTGTATGATTTATCACTTATATAAAATATACTAGATCATACTGAATCAAATGGTAGTGAAGGAAAGGCTAATTAAAATTTTGTGTGCTTGGAATATAGAAATATATTTATTAATCTTTAAATTTTTTATATATTTGGATATTTTCAGTATTTTCAAGACACATGTGTCTTTTTTTTTTGTAGGCTACGAAATTCCTACAGATAGTTACAAATGATACTGATTCAGAAGATATTCTTAAACAACGACCTGCCCTACGGAAATTTATATCACAGTTACGCATCGCAGTAGCAAATTTGTCTCCTAACACTGTATGTTTGTTTTTGAGTAACTGTAAATTTACATCACAATTTTTATGACTACAGAATGTTTTCTAGAATACACTGATGATGATCTTTTTGAACAATTTTTTTTTCAAAGTATGAAACGTCTCGAAATTATTGCAATTGGAAGTTATGAATTTTACATGCTATGCTTCAATCGGAATGAGACTTAGTGCCTTCTTATATGATATAAAAGTCGTCTAAAATAATTGCTAATTCTTCCCTTATATTACTTTTAAATTTTCATTAGGTTTTTGGTCATTTCTTTGCTTTTCTGTTGATGCTTTGATGGAAACTAATAGTGTGAATAAAGTCTTGTGGAAGGGTGCAGTGAAACTTGGTTTATCATGTTGGTGAATATAAATTACGAAGTATTCAACGTCTGAAGTTCAGTAGTGAATATTTTAGTTCACAGTTCATTTTGTAGATGGAATCAGTAGTAGTAGAAGCAAATGGCAAAGAATTACTTGAACAGTTACGGCCTTTGGAAACTCCTGGAGAAAACAATGGTACAGAGGTACCACCGGAATGGATGTCTTTCGTCTGGCCTTACATTTCAACACTTGGAGAACGCGTGCGTGTACGTTTTTATTCTGTCTCTGTTCACTATAACTTTGTTTGATATAAATTAATTGCAGAGCAAAATTTTGATTGGATTTTAGCTTCTGTGATTTGTTAAATTTTAATCTTTTTGCAGCTGATGTTAAATCCAGATCATCCCTATAACTTCGATTACTCACCGGAGTGGAAGGGTCTAAATAAGGATATGATGGCAAGTGAAGCAGCCCGTCGTCTTACATTTCAAAACTGGCCTCATATGGAATACAGGTCTGTTAAACCATACATTGTAAAATCGCAACAAAAGATATTCATACTGTCTCCACGTATTCTATTTTCAGATGGGCTCTGCCATGTCAGATGGCAGAAGCAGGGTTTTATCATCAACCAAATAGTGCTGGCGATGATCGAGTTCTCTGCTTCTCTTGTTTTGTTTGTCTGGTGTGTTGGGAACCGTCAGATGAACCCTGGTAACACTAAGATGTATACTTTGGACTTAGTATTTTTCAAAATTTACGAATAGAACAATTAAAATATAAGACAAACAGATCAAAGAAAATAGAAAAGAGCTTTTTTCTATCCATTAAATCATTTATGCATGAAATATTGAGGTTTACTCAGAATGCCGTGTGTTTGACGCTGAAATAGGTAGTGGTGGTTGGAAAATTTTTTAAAAAATTTTAGACATTTTTTCCAAACAACCATTCTCAAAAATTAACTTTAGTAGAAAAATAGAAAAATTTGGTAGGGAATAGAAACCAAAATAAAACTGATATTGTTTTATGCTTTTATATTTTGTATATGTGAGTCACAGTCATATTTCTATAAATAATACTGAAATAAAGCACGATAATAAAAATGTGCGTGGAATGAATTTTAGAGATCTATACAACATTACAGTGCATAAATTATCTAACTTAGTCACTTGTATCCTCAATGTTAATTATATATTCGAAGTCATCTGCATGGAGTACATAAGAGAAATTATATAGTAGGAATGATGAGGCATTACTTAAAAAGTCAAAAAAATCAGATTAAGTCAGGTCATTAGTGAAAATTGAGCTTTTTTTGTGAATAAATTGAAACCAGTGTTTTAATTTCTTGAAAATTTTATCAAAGAGGTTTTTTTCGGTTTTGTTTTTAGGTCTGAACACGAGCGTCATTCACCAAAGTGTCGTTTTGTGCATAACTACACGAATCCAAATGTACCATTGGTTTTAACAATGTCTGCTTTATCGCCATTTATTCATCACATACAAGTGAATCATACATCGTCGCTTATCTTCTCGGTAGGAAGTGGTGATTGGATCGCTGTAGCAAGCAAAGAATCTGCCGAAGTACATCTGTGGAGGATGGGTAGTGTTGTGCAGGTTAATGTTTTGCTTTGTTCCAGAAAATTTGCAACTTTTTCAAGATCTCTATATTGTTTGGGAAATGAAAGAGTAGTGAAGTATAACGGATTTTACATAAAATTATTTGATCAAACAGTCGCAAATTCTATCTTGAAGAATTGATTCTTTGTAGGTGAAACAATGGTTCACTTTGAATTCAGAGAAGTTCTTTTCTGCTGTTTTGGATTGTATGGTAGAGGAAAGCGATTCGCTTCCGCGTAGAACTCAGAGAGTTACCTGGAGTGATGATCTCACGTAAGTAAAATTTCGGGTTGGGTCTTCGAAATTATTGTACAATATTAAAGTTATTAGTTATTGTACAATATTAGACTACTTATTATACAATATTAAAGTTATTAAGATTTTGATTTTGAGCTATTTTGTTTTTTCTTTTTTTTTTTTCAGAAATTATTTGATAAATACTAGTGGAGATGAAGAAGCACAACAGAGCAGCGCTGTTAAAGGTTGCTTTTTGAAATGTTTCAACACTAAATTGTTTCATGGTTCTACAAAGTTATTGTGCTACAGTTTCGTTTGTAATCCTGGAGTATTTCAGGGTCCTCATCAGATGAATGTTTGTTGAAATCAGCACTGTCTGCTTTGCTGTTTGAATCTAATTGCGAAGTAATTTAGTTCATTTGCATTGCTCAGTTCCAATTATTTTTTTAAAAAAAAAGCGGATTAAACAAATACTTTTAATGAATTCTTCAACTTTTAGATATAAGAAAAATAAATTTACTTGTATGATATAAAATAGCATATAAACACAATGTTTTGATAGGATTCCAGATACTTTTTTGTAATTTGTAGAATTTTGTGGCATGACTTGCTATATTTTGCAGGTTGTCATTACAGCTCTCTGTACCACTGGAAAACCATGCCTTGGCGATTCTTCCATTGGTATCATGACAAGGAAGTCATTTGAACAGAATCAAACTTTAGTGGTTGTTGCTGTTTCCGTAGATGATACAAAACTGAACACTGGTATATTAAAATTTAAGCATTGTGAAAAATTTTTTAAATTTACTATACCGCAACTTTCAGTGTGCCTTAATATAGATCTTTACAGTTAATTCAAAAATAGTGTATTAATCAGTTGTAAATAAAAATTAGGATTCCCAATAATTATCACTCAGTAACTGTTTTCAAGCAGATCAGTGAAATATCGAATTGTTGTACTAATTCTAGTGTGTCAACAGAATCAAAGCAGCTTGGAATCTGAAATAAGCACATTAAATACAATGAATAGAGCTCATGAGTTTATCGATATGCCACCACGAATTGTTAGCGGACCACGTTCTGTCGATGATGCAATTAATTCTAGTGCATCATTCCGTCCATTTCTGGCTCTTTACCAACTTGACTGTGTGGATTCTTTTGGTTCGCGTAAGCGCACAACTTCGACCTGCCAAGGTTTCTTGAATAATTAAATGAATGTTACATTTTTATGCGCATTCTTGATTTTTGTTTTTGAATGGTGGTTTTCAAAAAGCAATGAAATTAATTGATGATATAGAGGATTATTGAAAATTTTTCGTCCTAAATTTTATTCCTTTTATCATAAATTGGATACTTTTTATCAGCCTGCTTTTCATTAGCATATTTTTATTGGAAGCATTTTATGCTTGATTAGATTAAAATGGATGTATGAAGTTGAACGGATTTTTCAATTTATTATCTGACCGGTCTGGAAATACTTAGGTAATATCTATACGTTATGTATAGATATGAGAAGATAAACTGAAACAAATTTCAGCCTCAGTTTTTTTTTTTTTTTTTTTCTGTAGTAATAATCTATATTTTAGAAGATTCAAAACCAGTCGGGAACAAATCGTTACATTTCTCAACTGCAGATGAAGCCGATTTCACGGAAGGAGTATTACTGATGGATACTGCTGATGGCACAGTCTTTGAATGGTCCGACTCTGCGTATGGCGAACACTCTGGCTTTGTTGATTTATCCACTGGTTTGTTTTACGATTTTGTCTACTTTTTTTTGACACATGTATTACAACAGGATTTTATGTTCATTCAGTGTTGTCAATTGCATATTACTGCATTTTAAGATCTCCTTTTTGTATCATGTTTATTATGTAGTTCTGCCTAATCTTTGTTAATAGATGCCCTACACTAAGTGTTTAAATAAAGAGCAGTTTCTAGGGGAGGAAAATGGAGCGATAGATGGACCATCAAAAACAGATGCAAAATATGATGAAAAAGGTTATGTATCTGTCAGTTACGAAGCGCCATCGATGGATGTTTCCTTCGTGCAGTGTTTCAGATTGCCAGCTGCAGTTGATAATACCTCAATGGAAGTAATTTTTTTACTTTTTATTTGTTTATTTTTGGTTTGAACTCATTCGTCTTCGCCGATGACTGCGTTTTTGTGTAATTTAATTATTAAGCGTTTTTCCAGGTTCTAGTTGCTTTGGACGCTATAGCTGCATTGTATCAGAAGTGCTAAAAAGAATAAAGTAAAGAATTAGTGGATTAAAATTCGGGATAGAAATTGAACATAATAGTTTCAGATATCAGCAATAATTCCAATGCAAAATATTTTCCTGGTCGTTGTAGTTAATAGCATAGAATCTACTGTGGATGGAATTCAGTCAGCAATATTAATATATCTTATTCATTTTGGAAAAATTACTGTCGATGTTCAGGTTGTTGTTTTAATAGTTTTTATCAAATTTTTAAGTTAGTAATTTTTGTTAAATTAGATGGACGTCAGCTCATTGCAATTACCTGAAATTTTCTTAAACCACTAGTGACTAAAAGAACTAAATTATATGTATGTCTTCACTCTAAAGAAACGTGTTTCTGAAAATCAAATTCTTGTATGATACAATCTCGAGAAAATTAAATTAGAGAATGATATTATTACATTCAGAATTTTCGTTAATCCTGAAATTTTTTTTAAGAGGGAGCCGCTAAAAGCTTATTACTATAAGAATTTTCGAATCATGCAGTTCTCTTTAACTAATATGGATTTCATTCACACAAGTTTAGAGTCATATACCAACAACGATTACTTTGATGGCGGAGTTATTGTAAGTCATTTATATAAGCGGATCTTTTTTTTTTTTTTTCCTTGATAAAGAATTTCTAAATAACTGCGCTGTTGAAATCAGAATTTTGTTCGTTTATTTTTTTATTTTCTTTTGATGACATGATGGAATTATTGTATTATTAATAAATTAATATTAGTTCCATCTCTTTCCGCAACAAAGAAAGACTACTGTACATAATCGTACAAATATGAATATCTCATGTATGAACTACTGATGCTTCTGGTTTAGAAAAGTGTATGGTATTATATTTGGTAAAATGATTTTCAGCGTACAATGGATGATATGGTTTATTTCATCAATCTTAACACTAATAAATTGTATCCTTTATGCGATGAGAAAGTGGCTCAATTTGCTGTTATGGATAATGGGAAAGTTACTCTACTGACGAGAAATTCAGGAAAGGTATGTGTTTTGCAAGATGAGTGTATTCGGCAGATCATTTTTATGGGCTCGAATATGGTTCCTCATTAAGTCGATATAGTCGGGTAAATTATTTCATTAATTACACATATAAACTAATAGGATAAGAAGTCTGAACTGATTGGTTAATGTTATTGATTCGATGAATTAGAATCCCATAAATTATTTTTACCATGTTTTCAGTTGATAACTGTTCAAGTTGAGCAGTCAAGTTCGCATCCTACAGCTTATGACGATGAGGATGTTGCGGTAGCTGCACTGTTCAGTAAAATGAGCAAAATGAGCGATTCGCAGCAGTCGAACGTACCAAAAAGTATTTTTATATTGTACAATAACAGTTTTATAATTAGTCTTATACTTAACTTTAGCAACACTTTATTTTGATAATGGTTCTTGGTACAACCATTTTTGGAAGAAAAATATCCGCGACTGAAGAGGAGAAGTGTTCTTAAGTTACATTCGTGTGTAGAAAGATCATTTGAGAATAAATGCAGATATTGACCGAGAAGCGGCACAAAATTTACCGTCTAGAAGTTATGATATGACAAGTATAATGGCATCGGAGTATCTGTCGACTGCAGGTTTACGGCGAATATGGAAATTAACGAGAAGTGATATTGGTGGGCCAACAAAGAATGCCACTTACCGACTTCCTTATCATTTGTAAGTCTTTGAAGCTTTTTTCTTGCTTTATGATTTATTGCGATAAAAAGATGAATAAGGTTGAGTATGGTGAGATATATATACTGGAATTAAATTGCGTCCATATGCTAATTTTGGTCCTCTCTTGATCCCTACTTTTTCTGAGCAGTAGATTTTTTATAATAATTGAAACCTGAAATGAAAGTTGAAAAAGAAAAGAATGAAGAAAATAAAATTATATTTCTACGTCACCGTTATTTGTTGTCTGGATGATTCTTGGTTAACTATAACTCTTTTGTTAATTAAGGTTTAAGGCTATTTACACTAACTTTGAAGCGGCTTGTCAAATGCGTAGAATCTGCTTGCTAAGTAAAACTATGGTTAACAATCTGCTAAAACTATGGTTGATACTTTAGTAGTGGGCAGTCTGGATATCATCTCATAGCTCCACCTGGTTGGAGCGAGGTGCCAGCAAATCAGCGTGCCAGAAAATATTTCACTGAAAATAGACCAGTAGAAGGGGTGAACCGCAAGTGGTTTTACCAGTCAGATTATCAACATTCGAATGATTTACATATTTTCGAATTACTCCACTTTCAGGTTCGTTATTTTTTTACATTTTTCATATTTATTAAAAATTTTCCTTATTTTTGGAACTACATATGGGAATTAAAATAAATTTTTTCTGCCATTCGTTTTCTCTATTTTGATAACTCTTGTTTTCTCCAGTTCACCTTTAGATAAATGTGCTCAAAAGCTCATGTTACAATATCGAATTATTTTTAGCATGGATTACGCGTTTCTCATATTGATATTTTTTTAAACTTCCATGAAACATGTCTAGCTTGTCCAGATATCGAATTAAGGTTGTACCGTCGGAAAAGTAATACTGATGGTATATCATCACCTTTGAAAATACATTCGCAAGCATCTCTTTCTGGAAGTGTTGATATGGAAGAAGTTGAAGCACAGGTAAACTCTGATTGATTAATACGTGCACTGTTAGGTTTTTTTTCATTATTATTCGAATTTCTACTGTTTCTAACTTCTCTATTTACGGCTTAATGCAAATATATATATTGTGATCATCAGTACTTGGTAGTTCAGGTGGTTGTTCTTTCTACTATTGATAGTCTTCCAAAATATACCTTATTTTATACAATTTAATATGAAAGTTGGTCGGCATTTAATCATTTTCAGTGTGATTTATTGGCCGGACCGTATCACTGTGCGGAATATGTTGATTTAAACAGCCATTCGGCAAAAATACAACTACCAGGGATTGTTTTCTTACCTCAACCTATCAAAAAAGGTATTTCTTCAGGGAATTTTCTAGATAAAATTCATTAAAACCGTTTTTTTTTTTTTAAATAATGTATGATTTTGAAGGACTTGTGTCCTCTTTTTATTTTAGACTTTTTATTCTTTCAAGATCTTTGAGAAGTACACAAGAATTCTAGGTGTTAATGTAATCGGTTTCAAATCGGTTTCTTATTATCTTGTCTTGAGAGCTCTATCTGATTTTTCTCTTGATCAGGCGATTACTGCTATGAAGATAAACGAACGAGATAAATTTAAAGCGTATGTTATGCTACTCGTCTTCTTTTATACTCTTTGCTTTTATTAAAATGATAAATATTCATGAAACAGTTGCTTCAAGTCAGTCTTGTCATTGTTAAAATAAATACGAGTTGTTAAGTACGAAATGATTGCTCATATTTTACGTAAATTTTACGTAAGAAAAAAAAGAAAAATGCTGAGAACTTGTAAAATAAATGCTTTGCAGTGACACTTCGCAATAATAACTCTAATTTGCAGAGCAGGTATCCAAAGTAAAACGAAATCATCTTCGAAACGTCGTATCGATGATATAGAATTTACAGAACTATCGCAACCTTCCATAACTGCAACTGGAGATTATTTTGTGCACGGTAAATATAACACTGTTTTAAAGAAATTATCAAATTTGAAAGTTTATCAGTGAAGTAGATTTAAGCTTACTGATCAGTAAAATGGGCTTACAGCTTAGTAGTTTACGGTGTGTTTCACTTTTTAATTTCTCAAATTTTATTAGACAAAACCATCTGAAAATATCAGCTTAATAATTACTGTCACTGTTGTGTTCATTCTCGATTTAACTTTACTGCAGGAAGGTTTTTCTTAAATATACAATTTTCGTTTGCTTAAATAAAAATTGTATATATATTTTAAAAAATATATACAAATTATTTGAGATTTAACTGATCGGCGTGGAGTACAGTGGATAGATGAACTGGTAATAACAGTGGTAAAAGCAAAAAGAGCAATTGATCCTAATGAAAGGTATTTTTGAAATACTAGAATTTAAAGTACATTCTTATCTTTGTTGAATGTCATTTGCTTGCCTTGTGTATGAATATTTTTGTACAATTCACATTACCATTTTTTCTTTCTTGGATTTTGCTATATCCGTATTATGTACTCTTATTGTATGATGTACTGCAGAATATTTCATCAAGGAGAACTCATGATTTTAGTAATAGTTTTCTTTTCAAAGTTTGCTTTTTTTAGCTAGGGCATTGAATTTTTTCGGAAATATTGGTTGTAGAAGAATAAGTTCTAGATTTTTCCTTTTTGAAGAATTGAAAGACATGCGCTTATTGAAACAACCGATCTACACAATAATATAGTGATGCTAGCTGCTGGAATTGCGCCAAAAATATTACCAGCTCAAAAAGCTCGGACAGAAGGTGAAAAGTTGCACCAGCAGAGTCTTGCAATTGGCATTATTGAGTGGCTGATCGATAACTGGGTCAATACTTCGTCGCAGTAAGTTCCAACCAATTGAGGCATAAATTATTTTAGAGGCAAAAGATTTTTATGACATTATTGAAGCAATAAGTTCTATTATCTTATATATATAACGTGTACTGACGAAATTAAAACATGCTCTTCAACGCGAAGTTAAATGATATGTCATTACGTGATTTTGTTAATAATTTCACAAATCCACTTTAATGATCGTATTTGTATAGCTAGCTTTTTATTTTTATTTACAGTCACTATAAAGCGGCCATTGCTGATTAGTTTTTTTAGAACATATCTGTCGTCTTTTGCTGAAATGATCATTGAAAATGTTGACGCAATCTTCGTTAACTGTTTCATAATTTCGCCACGCTCGATTTCTCACAAATGGAGTGCTACATTGATGTATTTGTTACGGTCAGATATTTGTTTTATAAAAGAATTTGAGTGGAAGGCAAAACACCAGCTTACTGGAAATTTAAATATTGAACTTATCCTGGTTTAGTGTGATTTTCTAAATATTTAGATTGAGGAACTTCATAAAACTTAAATAAAAGTATGAGTAACGTTTTTTTTTTTTTTTTTTTTTTTTTTTTTTTTTTTTTTTTTTTTTTTTTTTTTTTTTTCTATTTTTACAATATGAGCTATCATTTAAGTGTCTTACGAAAGTCAGATGATGTTGCTTTTTCGAAACTGTTACAAATTTTTTTGTCATGTTCAATTCGGATCGTGACAAATTTACATGCAGTTAGGAATGCTGGATCTCTTCACTGGTTATTTGTATTTATTTTCGCCCTGTTGAAGGTTTGTTTAAACTAAATGTAACCAATATTTTTTGTAAGTCTCAGTATGTTATACTGTTAATGATATCAGCATTTACTTTTATTTCATGCTAAATCCTGTTCTATTTCGTGAAACTTTAGTCACTGAAATTTCCAAAGTCCTTATTCTCGCGAAGTATTTCTGTTTCACTTTATCTTTTTGATGGACTAAAAGAATAGTCTGCTAGAAGTCTCGCAGATTTTTCCCTTTCGGCTTTACATATGTTTACTATTTAAAGATTTGAACAGAAATGTTTTAGATGGCAGTGATGAAAACAAACGATGTATCTTGTGGTGAGCTTTTGAATACTTTGTTAAATGCGTTTACAAATACGCTTACACTTGTTGGTATCGCATGGAAGCAATGTTGGGATGGTTCAGTGCATGATAAATTAGCTACTGAATATAATCTTAGTGGATTACCTACAGAGCTAGTACGTTTAAATTACTGCAATTACCAAAGGTTTCAGTATGCTGTGTTCAAACACTGATATTTATACTTTTTAATACTTCTTATCTGTAACTTATGTTAATTGTTCTAATTTTTTTTGAATTTATTTAACTATTAGAAATTTCTAATTATACGCTGTTTGAGGTTATGTATGAATGGCCTAGGTCAGTTCTTTCGATATGCCAAAGGACAGCTACTGTCACTACCAAACTGAACGGCCGTAAGTTTTATTATTTATCATACATATGTTATTAGATACAATGTCATTCTGAACTCGGAATAAGAATTAGATTTGAAATTAAGGTCAGCTAGGTTTGAAAACATATTATAAATAAATATGAATGAATTTGCACTGCACTGTTATAGCGAGTGAGTCAGCACATGCAACTGCATTTCCACCAGAAACACCAACATTGATTGCATACAAATGGTCATCTACTACTGATGGTGATGGAAAAGGAAATAATGCAATGAAACCATCACAAAATTCAGGAACGAGTCGTTACAAAAAGATTTCCACAGCCGATTCTAGGATTTTCATTAAGGATTGCGCTGATGCAAACACGAATATTAGTGAACTAACTGCAGAGGTTCGTTCATTGTTTTTACCGATCTGAAATGGTTAGTAGCAAGCACCAAACCTACGTATCTGACAAACGCAAATAATCCTTCTTGAAACTCTGCTACTTGAAATAGTAACGTTTAATGAACTGCAACAACTTTATCTCAAGAAGGTGTAGATAAATTGGAAATACATCGCTATATCCTGGTTAATGACAAAAGAAATAAAAAATATTTTACACCTCATTGTAACTCTTTTTAATGAAAGCCATACCAGGCCATCTTTAATGCTTAGCCATGTTTTCCATCAAATATAGTGCTGCAGTAGATTATTAAAATTCCTCGAGTTTAAAACCGTCGTGTTTTTAATGTTCAATAAATAAAATTTGAATTTTATACTTAATTTGTTTTTTTTTTCCTTAATTCACACAATTATTGCAAATTTTATACTAAATTTACATAATTATTGCAAATGAAAATGTCATAAATTGCTCATTTAAATCATTTAAATTTAATTTCTGTATTGTACTCTGTCGGTAGATTTTAGAATGAAATAGACTGGCTAGCAATGTTTAATATATCGACGGATTTTACAAAAGAAATATTTGAAAATATCACAGAAGGTAAATTCTTTTTTTCTGACTTTTACTCACTTATTTAAAGGGTTTTATTTAAGTTCGATAGTTTTGTCTTATCATTTCTGCTACTTAGCTGGGAAGTATTGCGCATTTTTCAATTTTTAAGTCATTTGTTTTACTATGTATCCTCGAGCTTTCTTACTAATAGTGGTATTACTTCTTTGTAGTCGAATCCATACTATTTATCTGCAAGTAATGATGAATTGACTTTCAGCAAATCCTGCATTAAATTCTCAACGAGAATGTAAGTATCAAACAGTAACGACATCAACGCAGTTGAGCGGTTTGTTAGAAACGGAGCCACTCACATTCAGTGTAATATATGCTTCAGATCACGTTAAAGTTGAGAACATGGAGACTGGTAGTATTTTATTTGCAAATTTTCTTTTTATGAGATAATATTCATTATTAACTCTAAATCATTTTGTTCCTATGTTAAAAATCACTTGTAATCTCAAAATTATAGGCTGTATAACAGAAGTTGATTGCACATCTGCACCTATTGGTCATACTGAAAATGAAGGTCCTGTTCCACTGAAAATTATGGATATTACTCAAACAATTTTAAATAAAGTTTGTTGATTCATCCAGTTCACATTTCGCATAAAAATTTGTAGGCAGTTCATTTGTAGACTGTGTAGCATGTATATTGAATCAGCTCATTCTAAATATGAGCAGCAATCAGATTGCAAGTACAGCAGTTCGATCGCTACGGAACTCATCTGAAGTTTATTTAGTGAAAGTGTTTTAGATTGTAGCTCAGAATTCTACTCCTGTTTAGTAATTTGTTTCAAAAGCTGCAGTTACTGGTTTCAGAAGTCGGAACAAAATACTGGAAATGATTCCGGAATTTCGAAATTAGGACTGCAAGATCTAAGTGCGGATTTAAATGCACGTATGACATTAATTGCAATGGAGCAAGCACAGACAAAAGATGATAGTGCAGTTGGAAATGCTGAGCAAAGTTCACAAAGTAAACTGTAGTATTTCTTGTGTTCATTTAGAACATGGAACCAAATGGTTTTCAGTACGACTCTATTCACAAATTTTTGAAAAAACAACGAAATTTCAAATACTGAGTGCTGTTTCATCATAAATTTTTGCTTATAAAAATTTTGCTACAATCTATGAAATTTAAGCAGTCGCGCAAGGTTTAGCAACCCAGGGATCATCAGCAAGTACATTTGGTATTCCAACTACACCGAAGACAACACCGTTCATGACACCAACTCCACTGTCCCCGTCACATCTCTCGCCTATAAACTCGGAGCCAAATCTCGCGTATATGATGGAAAATGAATCTGCTGTAAGAAATTTTTTAAGTACTTGTTTTAAGTTTTTAAGTACTGAGAAACTTGTGATCGAAACAACTCTTTCTGTTTGTCTTTTTGATTGCCTGATACCATTGTTTTGGTGTGTGTAACTTACTTTCTCAAAGTAATTTCGTGTGAAAGCGTTATGTTTTACTGTCCAAATTAAGGATTTTGTTTCTGCACTAATTGATTAGTACCTATGATTTTTGTCATCTATACTTTTTGCAGGACGCTAGTGAGGAATCCCAGGAAACTAGTGACAAAGGAGCTGAAATACGTTCTCATATTCCATCATTAGTGTCCATGATTTCGTCTGATATCTTCAAATTGCCTTCACAAAAATTCTTATTGATGGAAAGAATTTCTTTTGGTGACTTATAGCATGCTTTTTTGATAAATGTTGAAATTAATTAGTCCTCATCAGTTATCTCTGTTTTTTTTTTTTTCAGAAATAATATCGTAACAATCGCACTACTATACTAGATTCGTTCCTTCATAGAATGGAAATCATTTCTTGAATTTGATGTCATTGTAGGATCGAGAAAATTTGTCATATTGGATTTTGGAATGCCTGTTCTTCTAACAGATTTGTTCATCCCATCAGTAGCAGAAATAGCAGCAATTTCTATAGATGTATGGCTTCTGGGAGAAAATGTTGATGGACAGCGACTATTAGTGACAACAGATATATGTCGCAAAAGTATCTCCGTACAAGATTTGCAGCCTTTCATGCGAATAAGATTTGTAAAGGTAGAACCGATTTGTTAAAGTAAATACATGCGTTTTATCCAAAACTCTTCACAGTGTGAATACAAGATAGTTGAGCCGAATTTATTCTTTAATTATAAAAAAAAATAGTGCTGTTTACGTTGCTGCCAATTTGCCTTACAGATAACATATGTTGGACGGCAGCTGTATAGCACAGCTTGTAAAATTCCAGTAGGACTCTTTTTTGGTCATCGTTTCTTTTCATCATGGCAAGCTCACTCATATCCATTTATGCAAAAAGAATGTGTGCCAGTTAATCAACAAAAAAAGGTTTGTTATTAGTTCCTTGTAAAGTCGTTTTCGAATGTTATTTCGTAATAATAATTCTTTGACTAATTTTTTGTTTAAATAATTTATACTGTTGGTCCAAGAAATTTCGTATATCATATGCAATTGTGGAAATATCTTGAATAATTAACTGCAATTAATTGAAAGCCCTGTAATTAACTTCTTTTGAAATTCCTCTATGTTTCTGATCTTTATTCAGATATTATTATGCAGCCTTTTGAACAATGAGAATATGATTGAGAGCTTGACCACGATTTCATATCTTCATATTAATGATTTAGTCTTGGGAATCATCTTTCCTGCAGTTAAATCAAAGTTAAAGGTTTGGAAATCTTTGAATTTTAGATGGCAGTTGCTTTAAGCCATTTACGTCAGCTCTGTGAAGATTTACGATGCAAACATCAACTTGTGAGTGCGGAACTGCACCGTTTGGTGGATGAATGTGCTTGTGAGGAAGAAGTAAAACAAGTGTACCGCGAATGTGTCCAGCTCAGTCTGCAGTGGAATATTGTAGTAGGTGTCATACATCGATTGGAATTAGAGCACTTACCATCATGCGGTGCGTATTTCCATTAGTATTGATTTTAAGTAAATTGTATAAATTGTTCCGTTTTAGAACTCAGGTGCAAGAGAGTAAAGTACTCCGATTAGTTGATGAATGCTTATAGGAGCAATAGGTATCATTTGTTTAAAAAAAATTAAAATGTTAATGAAAATGTTAAATAAATACTAAAAAGTTTATTATAATGTGTAGATTCTGAACAAAATTTGGAGAAAACTCTACTCGGAAGTTGGAGTGAGTGCTCTCCGGATCAGCTGCAAACTATTGCGATCGAACTTTTTTCTCTGCTCACTCGAGCAACTCATTTGATTGATATCCGGACTGTTGCGTTGAAAACATTTGCCAATGAAAGCGATGCTTCAGCTCAGGTATTGACATTGTTGCTATACAGTTTAACAAATTATATCAGACGATGTTTACGTAAGTTGTTAAATCATTAATGGAAGGGCTTAAGAATTGGCTTGATTTGAGTCCTTCATAATTTGGGATAATATCGAGAATGAAGTGCAAAAAATTCACTAGACTGAAGAAAAATGAAGAACTGCATATTAATAAAGTGACGAGACATTTTTGTTGCTTTTCATAGATTTAGCTGTTAAATTCCGTTTGCAAAATAAATGCAATTAAAAATAAAATATTCATTTGTGTATCTTACACTTCTTTGAAATTAAAGAAAAAGCATGCTGCCAACTCCTCTGTAAGGCGATATGTAGATTTTATTGATCTGATTTTATAATAAATTTAAAATAATTTTGATTTCTTATTTTCAGAGCTGCTACCCAAGTGAAGCAAAATATGCTCGAATAAAGCGTAAGGAAATGCTAGAAGTAAATTTGCCGCCAACCGAGGAGATTGTTTTACTACCGAAGTTTAGTCTCGATGATGCCGTTACTCTATTTGTTCTATTTTGTGTCCCAGTCGTACCCAGATTACAGGTTAATCAAAGTTCAGTTTATTTATAGTCGTTTTAGAGAGCATTTTACAATCATTCTAAATTTAGGTGGGATGTATCACTTGGCTATTTCATCACGGATCCGAAAGTGAGTGGTGGCCATTATTCTTTCCTCGTGTTTTGAAGGAAATTTTTTCCACGCAGCTCAGAAAGCATGATCACAAGTTAGTTGTGAATTTCTTTATCATTTTCAAGGAATTATAATGAATTAGTTTATAAACATTATGTAAATACGATGTTAACTTTATTATGATTCACTGGTTTATATCATTAAGAAATTCATTCTGATTCAAATGCTATTCCAGTGGAATTGTCAAAGAATTATCTATATCATTTCAGGATCTTTTTGCAACTGTCATTTTTGTGTAATCACTCAGTAAAATCTAGTTCGAAACAGGTAATTTTGCATTCCATCTCAACTTATCAGAAATTTTGTCATTTAAATCTTATTTTTTTAAACTCAAGTATCAAAGTATTTTTTTCACACAATTGAGTGTATGACTCTCGGTTAATTTTACTTTTCAGATTTTTATCATCCTCGAACTTTTTAATCTCATCAAAGAAATAGCAGCTGGTGTCTTTGATAATTATGCAGTCGTTCGCCAGTGTCCTAATAACTTGAATGTTAATTTGCTCTGTTGGTCTCTGATGCTTCTTTCTAGCGCGTTTGATGTTATCGTTTACAGTAAGTATGAATCCTTCTATGTCTGAGGCAATTTTCGATTTTTTCTAAAAGTTTTATTTTTGATTTTATTCCCTTTGTTTCCTGTTATTTGCTACGGCAAAAATCCCTTCCCAATGTTCTCATTACATTAACTGCATTTATAATTATTTTCAGACAAAAAAAAAAATAATCGGTGGGCATTCATTGGAGGTGAATATTCGCGGATAATTACATCAAGCGAAAAGGATGATTCAGTGCCCAGATATCACAAGAAGAAATTGCTGAAGTTTGGAGATAATGGCGAGAAAACCACAGAATCCTTAAAGAATATTAGTTGTGCTACTTTGGTAATTAGTATTTCTATTTATTGAGAGATACCATACAAAATAGGTTGTAAAGTTTTCTGAAATTTGTCCGTTTGAACAACAATACCTTAGATTAAGCCATTTTTATAGATGTTACCGGTGGCCCTGATAGTTGTCTGAAACTTATTTCTTATGACTTTTTTGCACGAGTAAAAAAAATTTTAAATTGCATTTTTTGTTTACGATTCCCATCTAACACCACGTGTTTTTATACCGAATAATTTTTTTGCTAACATTAGCAGATCAAGAAAGCCATATAGGCAATGAAGACTAGGTCATGCAAAACACAGTTTTTGCAGCTACTGCACCTAAATGAAGTGCTGACTAATGAATTTTTTACACAACTGATACGCGTCTGTGTTCAGCATTGTGTTTCCTTCTAAGAAAGAACCTACTATATATGCTCTGTATGATTAGACTGGACAGTCATCACAGTACCACTTCATATTTTTCCCCTATTTTAGAAAAATCAACTCGAGACATTGTGGGAGAAGCACTTAAAGGTGATGGAAGCTATGAAAGCAAATATGAAGATGTCTAAGGCATTAAATACCAAAATGCAAAAGAAAGTTGAAATAGAGAAGAAAATCCATGATTTATCCCCACCTAATAAAATGGATCATTCGGTTCGCTTTTATGCATGAAATCAGTCTACTCCATATTGCGCCTCTGGGACTTGAAAAGTTTTATCTCCCTTTCGCTTTTGATCACACTTGGTTTCAACTTCTTTCATGGTTTATTTTCTATTAACATCGTGCAACACTGTTATTAACACAATAAGCTGTTAATTATCAGCCTTTGTTGCAATCGATTTAAGAAAACATGCTCAGCAAGCAAAGTCCTTTTTTTATTTTTAGCGCCAGCTGTTAACAACCGTATCGGGTTTTTTCAAACTGAAATTATTTCTGTTTATGTTTTGCCAGCTTAGCAGTATTACATGCCATTTTGAACATTATTTGGTAGAGTTAGGATTTATCCACTCTATTCCAAGAATTTTTGGAACGCAAATTTCGTGTTTTTTTTTATTGTTTCATTGTTTCATGAGAATTATTGGATAGAAATTCAGTTCCGAATCTCAGAGATCCTTTTCTTAGGTTTTTGATGGAACGGACTTTTCAACAGAATTGACAGAAGAGATGCATACGACACTGTTGCCGTTTCTGGATGAGCAACAAATAGAAGAAATTTTGGCTAAAGTAAGTATTTATCTATGCTTCACGTAAGCGAGTTATCGAAAAGAACTTTAGATGTTGTTTCAAAAAATAATGTAGTTTCATTTCAATATTTTACCTACCAAGGCATGGAAAGTTTTTCCTACCTTTTTTTTTTTACCTTGTTTACAGCTACTTAATCTTTCAAAGAAATCACTAATGCCATTTCATGCCATAATTATAAATGAAATTTAACGAATGGTCTTGTGTGGCAGCTCGAGTTAAAAACATGAGTTTTCAGAAATATATCCATCATCAAAGTCCAGATTTGAAGACATCACCTGATTCTTGTATGTTTCTCATTCTTTTCACATGAATTCAAAAACATCTGCATATGTTTCACATAAGATTGATTGTTGAAAAGCTACTGCATATTGATTAGTTCAAAAATTAGTAAAAAATTTGTTTTAGCTGAATTGGCTTTGAAAAAGGCAATATCTATGGCTAACAAGAGCAGTTCCCGATCCCGTTGCAGACAGTACAATATTCGCTTGAAACTTCCTCACGAACCATGTGTTGATGTTGCGCGAAAATTGATCACTCTGCTTTGCAACTTTGAAAAGCAACTTCCTACATTAACCAAATTAATAATATGTAAAGTAAGATTATTTTATGCCTGTTAAGTTCTTTAATGTTGTCTTCTGATTTATTTTCCTCTTTCTTCCGGTTTCGTTGTACTTTTTAGTCAAAATTTGAATGAAATGATTTCAATCAATGGAAGAAAAAACTGATGCGTTGAGTATTCTTTAAAAATGTTTTTTAGTTGATACTCATTGAATCGCTTCTGATTAATAATATTATCAGCATTACATTTTAGTCATTTTCAGGTTGTTGCTCGTATATGCATCAGTGCATCTCATCATGCTATTCCTTTGATTTGCGTTTTGGAAGGCCCAATTGACAAACTGATAAAAATTGGCTGGTTTTATAGATTCACGAAACTTGAAATATTATTAAATTACCAGTTTAAATGATTTGGGGTTTAATTGTTTTTATTGGAAATTGCACTAAAGTAGTTTAATTTGAAGTTTCCATTTTAAAAATTACTTTAATTTTTAATTTTGACGCAAAAAAAATATAATCAAAGGAATTAATAATTATGCTTTACAATAGCAGTGATGATGAGCCATTTATACTTCATCTCTTTGTTGGAGAGTTTTGCTGTCACTACAGATTGGTTTTTATTAGTTTTTGTGAGTTTACTTTATTTCAGGATTGGAGGAACAAGGAAGTGATTTGTTGAAATTTGCAGTTTTGCACTTGATTTTGGACGTTATTGAGGCAGAGTCACGTTCTGCCTCTAAGTTAAATGCATCTTCTAAAAATCAAATTTTCATGAAGACTAAGGATTCGGAAACTTCTGGGATTTCAGAAGAACTTGATTCACTTTGTATGCATCATACAGGGTGCCATTTTGTCGACATCATTCATCGCGGTGATTTTTATTTCGTTCATGTAAATCGTTCTATAACATTTTAGCTGCTAAAATTAATTAGTGAGATTATTTTTGTTGAACAGTGCAATATCATCATCATTAGTTGCAATGGAAATAATTTCACTTAGTTCTCTGAAAAGTGTCGTGAACGGTAAATTTGCTACTGGCGGATTCTTGTACTATTTTTAGCTTTCATGATCTGACTAAAATCTGGATAAGGGCAATTATACTTAGGTCCTACAGGGAATCACGAAGATCCAAAAGATTTAGGATTTCATATCATTCAAGCATAACTGATATTATTTGTAGCTAAATCTAAGAATGAAATAGCGGAGGACGTGAAAGGAAGGAAATCAACTGGCATTACGGCAATTGTGTGCTGTCTTCCCGAAGTTTTGTGCGGAGCAAAGACTTCTCGATCCTTTAGCATTGCAAAGTAGAGCTTATTCAATATTCTAGAGTGGATTTTAACTAATTTTACAATGGGCTGACTAAGCTTAAATGTAAAGGTGGTGGTCGGTGATATGAAGGATTTTGCGTAGACATTACATCTATTATGCTTATCAATGAAATAATAGATTGATTAAAATTCAGTAATGATTGTTAATAATACTAGACAGTAGGATGTGTTCTTTGCCATGCTAATTCAAAAATGCAACTGATAGCACTGTTAGAAAATTGCAGTAAATCTTTCTATTAATCTATCAACATCGCTGATGTTGAAGTAATAAGTAACTGAGATTTTTTTGGTATTGTGAGAACGGTTGTAACCAAACTGACAGGCAATTTAAATGCTTTTAACATGATGCAAGTGTTTCTTTCAGCTATGATGAACAACCCGAATTGGGATCTGAATTGTTAGAAACACTCATACATCAAATTCTGTTGAATACCAGGCAAGCTGTAGTGCCAAGTGGTCCTAATGATGAAATTCGAAGTCATACATATCAGAGGAAGTAAGCTTCTGCTCTTTCAGCGATTGATCATTATTTCATCATTCCATCTTTAAAACATTGACCGTTTTCATCTCTACCAAATTATTTGCTGTAGTCGATGGAATAAAAAAAAAGTCAGAAACGTAGCCGAACAAAGAATGGGCTAGTTTTTATTTTTTGGTTCTCGTTGCTGTTATTGTGTGCATTCTTAGAGCTAAGGAAATGATTACGGAAAAACTTGCGAAAGGTGAACGGTTTTGTTATGTGTTTCGCTGGATTGATGATCTTCTTGAAACTGATGAGCAAGCTGCACGTTCTTGTAACGGTGTATGTTAGTTATATTTTTAGTTTTATAAAATATTTATTTTTATTAACTTTTTGTTATATTTTGTTAACAATGGAAAGAGAGAATTCTCAAAGATTTTTCGGTTTATTTTCTTGTATTAAGGTTGGAAGTGAAGTGAAAGTTAAATTAATTCTAGGCTTGTTTGATTTAGTGTTCATGCTATACATTATGGAATATTCGGTCTTCATTTAATTAGTAATCGAGGTTTAAGTTAACGAAACAAGGGTGTTCAAATACTAGAGCAAAGCTATTGAACATCAATCTTTAATTGATATTTTCGTATGATATAGATCGAATTAGCCAATATATAAATCTGTTTATGTGAAAAAAATCCTTTAACTGAAACGGTGTTCCGTTTTTTACGCTCTGTTTATGTGCGTTATATACAATTTTAGGATGTAGAATCATATCTGGAGATAATGGAAACTCAAACATCAGATACTGCATATGAAAAACGCACAACTACATCAAAATCAGCATTTATCGCTTGTTGTATATCAGAATGCACGGCCTGTCTGAATAACAGAAAAGCTGGTTAGTCTTTTTCTCTTCTTTTCAAAAATTTCCAAAAGCTAGATAATAATAATATCAGCCTTTTTCAAGCTTCTGGAATTCTTAAAATTCACTTTAGATGAATTCATTCATGGTCTCTCGTCTTCCTCTCTGATAGCTGAACCAGAATCCAGTTCACCACCCTCGGCTCCTGAATCGCCGATGTTACGTATGGCCAATACAGAAATGAAAGAAAGTGGATATAAAACGGCTGAGAATGGTGAGGATATGGAAATGATAAAAAACACAGGTAATTTTGCAGATAATGTTTTACAAGGTATTGCAAAAAAAAAGATATTTTTGGACATGCAACTGATCGCTTCCAGCTTATGGAATCCTTTGATTGCGTTATTCACCACTAAGTTCAATTGTATTTGATGTACGCAATGTTTTGTATAATTTTTTATATGTTCATGAAAGATAATTTTTCAGTAACAGCGAATGATACTTTTGAATACGGGCAATTAGGAACACAATCTTTGTTCAACTTTGCAATCCAGTGTGGCGAAGCTTCCATGGAAACGGTTTTCTTGCTTAAATTTCGGATTGTTTTCTGTTAAAGAAATGATAAATTTTAAGACTTCTAAAATGAGTACTAAAATGAGTTACATAAACCGATTGATAATCTTTTTATTCAGCACTTAGGTCGGTTATAGCCTCCCTGTTTGAAATTGATTATATTTGCAGAACCGTCTGAAGTATTCTTTTTTTTTTTCTTTTTTCAGGAACCATGCTCTTCGGCTTCATCAGTCTTTTCGGAAAGTAAAGTTAAAAAACATATAGAAAAATGGGTGCCGGTGAAATGGATGCCTAAAATAGCCGTGAACAGAGAGATCTATGTTGAGCATACAATGGCTAACTTTCTAGTACGTTATACTATGAAAAAATTGCAGCATTCTAAATGATTATTAACCTAGAGATTTCTTCACTGTTTTTCGATGTATTTATCATTGTAATGCTTGCTCATAAACCATCAATCTTCTGTATTTTTAACCAGTGCTGTCAGTATTTATAGTTAATCTTATAATAATTTGAAGTTTTTATCTTAAAGCTGCAGACGCAAAACTGAAGTGGGAAGTTGAGTGTTTTCATATTTGAAATTTTCGGAATCTCTCAATATGTTTTGAGTTTATTGCCAATCAAATGCTTCCACTGCGAAAAATGCTTCAAGTTTTTTCTTAATGCAGTAATGAAGGTGGAATATTATTAATATACCTATTAAAAAATATTGGATGATAAGAAAGCTGTCAGGATAAGTTTGGTTGTGATTTTCAGAGTGAATTACGATTGACAAAAAATGATATCTTGATACAGCCTTGTTCTTTTTTGTATCCTGATCATTTGACGCAACAATTAGGCTTGAACCAACACATCCATTGCATGAATATGGATTTTCTTGCTGACGTTATCACAAGGTTTTTTTTTTACGATTTTTTAATAAATGAATTCGGGAAATGAGGAGGTGGGTAACGTTAATGTAAAACATGTTCAAAGGAGGCATATTTTTATCTAGCAGTGAATTAGCAAAAGCAGTTTTGGTAATTTTGCAGGTATTCAATTCGAGATCTGACTAGGTGGAGGCCCTGCTTGTTATCTCATCCTCGGTTGCCGGAGAATGAAACGACGCATGCACAATTTGGTGAAACGCTTAATGCTACCAGCGCTGCTCTTGGACGATTTGTTCAATCCATTTCACTTAATGATTCTGATGAAACTGTTCAGCAGCTTCTTACCTTTTGTTTGGATTTCGAAGCCGGACTGATTTGTAAGACATTTTATAGTTTTAGCATAAAATTTCTTCAGTTTCGCTAAAAATGAAATTTGAATAACATTATAGCTAAGAACAGCCTTTTTTCTAACAAAATAAATTCTGCGTTAGTTCCAAAATTTTAATTTTTTGGAGCACATAGTAGTGAATCTGCTTCGGCGAAGTTTTAAATAATAATCTGATGTTTACTAGATTCAACGAAGAAACTTCCTGCAATTGGCAGATGCATACTTCCTGCTGAAAACATAATTTCTATTGTGAACTTCGCGGTAATGTCGAATTCACTTTCTGAACATTTGTGGGTGCTCATATTGCGTACCCTGGACCTTATAATCAAAAACAATGTAAACATTTATAATTTAGTTCATCAGTTCAAAAATTTGGTGTAATTTTATGCGATCTAAGCATTATTTTGAATTTACTGCATCAGGAATAATTTCACATTATAATTGTATGCCTTTATTGTGATATATCGAAAAACGCCAGGAAGCGATCAGTATGTAATTATGAATTAACCTTTTCACTAGTAATAGGAAAAAGTTTGAAATGAATGTAGCAGAGCGACCTCTATGCAAAATAATTTTTATGATTCAATGCATATATTTTTAGTCCATAGCCACAACACTTCTGATTGAATCACCATATTTTTGCAAATTAATTAATAATTTCTTGGTCGAAAATATTTCAAGAATTAACCAATCATTAACGGTAAGTATTCGCCCAAATTTTAACCATAAAGGTATGAATATCTTTTTTGATAGGTCTGTAGTTTCACTTCACTCACTTGACTAAGGATTATGGCTTATGGCTATGCACTATGTCTCGAGAACAAGAATATTTAGACATATTGTTCACCCTTATTACTGCTAGAATTAAAAAAATTTTTCTTGACTGTAGAAAGTAAAGGAATTGTGCTAAATATTTTCTATTTTTTAGATTTTCAGAAAGTGAATTTTTTTTAGCATGAAATTGTATGTGCACATGTTTAGATCGGTCCTTCAACAGTGTATGCCTTCAAAAGTTTTATTACACGACTTCATGGCTCGCATGATGTTGCTCTTCGCGGTATTCTTTGTATCAAAATTCTCACTGTCCTGAAGGATATTTCTTCACAACAGTATGATATTATTTGCAAGTTATATTTTATTAAATTTAATGAACCTGTTCCCAGAATGTTTCTCTTTTTTTGTGAACAGTGGATTTAGAAGGAGTTACCATAATAGTGGCAAGAGATTCGATCTAATTTTTATAAAGTCATGATCAATTTCACTGTGAATGATTCCATGAAATCACTGGCATAAATTTGGAGATAATCGACTGCTATATCTCCTGGTGTGATGTATACAGCATTTTGCTTATAATTGTAGGAATTATTTGATTAATTTCTCATATCCAATCGATTGCCTGGTTGAATTATTGAATATTATGACTAATTATGCATCAGACTATGTCAGTGTGCCACGTAAGTGCATTCCTTAATTTTTTCTCAGTTTTAAACTAATTTGATGCAGTTTTGTAATTTTATGCTGAAGAAACTGAATGTATTTAGTAGTGAAGAACACTTAACTGCATACGTCGAGAAGTGTATTGGATATTGTAAAATTGGAGAGATACATTCTAAATAAGCATGTTTTTTACTGTTTGATGTTTTCCATTAAATAGAAAATGTAAGTATAGTACTTTTAGATAAGTAGTTTTAAATGAATTTAGGAAACTAAAATCAGTGGACAAATGGATGCTACTATATTTATTAGTTTGATTTTTTTACTTGAAAGGTCTGAATCGATCTAGTTATGTATTCTGCTGTTGTCTAGGTTATAATGAATAACATACAGATATTAAAAATAAATGATAAATTTCTAGCACAAGAGCTTGCTGGGTATATATCGTCATCAATTCATACAGCACGAAATTTCATCCACTATTACAAAACTTCGGGAAGTTGCTCCTTAGTTTCTAATGATTCATATCTTCGACCGAACACATGCTTCCAAGTTTGATTTTTGCTTCGATGTTTGAATATGATAAGTCAAGTCACAAAAACAACATTTTGTACATTTTCCTAATCATTCTCTGCTTCACTTACGATTAAAATAAGCATTTGTTGACCGCAATTTCTCATGTGTTAAACGTTGTTTTTGCCATGCTAATACAGTTTTCAGTATTAATTTGTTTTACCTTACAATTAAGTTAAAATTTGGCTTGATTTATTCCGAAAATCGTAATATCTTATGTAGCTTCGGTTGGTATACTGAAGATTGGCAGAAAGTTTAAAACAAGCAATGAAAAATAAAGCATTGAAAAATAAACAATAGCATCGAAGGGTGACATAAGTGGTTCATTTTCTATTACTGTAGAATCGGAAGAATCGTTTTGGCTTGCTCTGATTGCTTAAATTTCCATCAGGATACTTTTTTAGGCTACTCAAAAGATACCAGTCAGTGTACAATATGCGTGCGAGAATACTGATTTGCCATATTATCCATATGTGTTCGAATTGTGGGGACAATACGGTCCACATTATTCACAATTATCTGATGTAAGTTTTACTGAAGTATTACTTATTAGACAAGACAAATGGAGTTTTTTTTTTTGTATATTCTGCTACTGTTGTTTTCGAAACGGCTGTTGATAAATTGGCTTTACGCTGCAGACGTAACATAATCCAATAATCTTCTCAAGCTGATAATCCACGAATAATTTTTTGTATTCATTTTTTTGTTATAGCAGTTTGTTGATCCGAAACAGTCATCCGCTACACGCGTTCATTCACTGAATCGTCTTTCATCGCTTCCCTGTTGGCAAAATCAATCAAATATGTTTCGCCATGTAATGCTAAGTCAGGTAATTGTAACTTGTTTCGATGTTTTAGTTTTATAAGCCTGAAACTATCGAGCAAGGCCTGGTGAAAATTCGATCCATGTGTTGTTGACCCGCTTTTCATTATTGATTCTTGAGATGTTAGAGCATGCATTGTTTATATCACTTATTTCCCATACTGCTTAAAAGGAAGATTAAAGTTATGTAGAAATTATCTGCTAAGAAAATATTTTATTTGCGACTGTTATTATGCTGGTGAATAATTCTGACAGTTTTCCAGGTCGCTTGTTACTTGGATCGTTCAAGCGACGTATCAGATCATTTATTGAGCAGCTTTCCGATTGCAGTCGAAGAACTGTTTGAAATTGTCGCAGCATGTGAAAGTGCGATTCCAGATGTAAATTTAATTTCTCTGGAAAAGTGAGTATTTTCGACCTCAGTAAGTTCGACTGGCATTAAAGAAACCATTTAACAAATTACTGTAATCAATGCTGCATTTTTACAGTTAAAAGAGGATTGCTATGAGTGATTAACTGGTTTAACTTGACGTCTGCAGTTTTAGTGTTTTGAAATGGAAATGATAAGAATGGAGGATCTGTGTTAATTTTGAAATGAAAGATCTGTTTCAGTTGGAGTCACGTAACTTTGGGTGATCAAGCGCTATCCATATTATTGCAAATATCACAACGAGTATCTAGTGAAACAAAGCGTTTATTTGAAATAGCTGTACAAGTAATAAAGCGCTGTGTTATTCCATCGAACTACTCACTTTCCAAGCCACTCGCATTTGCATTTATACAAATGCTAGGTCTCAAGCATAACCAGATTTATTTTGCTGAACTTGGTTAGTTTTTTTTTTTTTTTTATTCGTGTTGTTTCTTTTATTTTTAATATATTTAATATAATTTATATGATTCTGTATTTTTTTGTCCAATATTTCGTTTTTTTTTTTTTATTTTATTTCGTGTCTAGAAAATTTCTTTGATATGAAAACTAAATTATTCCCGAACCATGAGGGTGAGACTTTTACAGATTAGTTAAATTTGAAGTTTTAAAAGAAAGTTTTCATTAGTTTTGTAAATATTATAAATTCATTTTCATCAGGTATATACCTCTTTAAATATTTCAGGAGGACATTTAATTGTGGCGCATGAATTGGAACGTTCTATATTGGCTTCAACAAATGATTGGACAGCTCCAATTTCTGTACCTCTTATGCGACAACTTGCTTCGTTGTCCACGCAAGTGGCTGGTGGCAATGACTATGGATGGCAAGTATCGAAGAAATTACAAACCGGTGTACGAGATGATGGACTGTACAATTACGCACCACTTTGTAATTTTTTTGGATTCAGCTGGCTGGAATGTGTCGAAATCTGAAATATTGAAGTGGAACAACCTGTAGAATGGAATTCTCTTGATATAAATTCTATTTTTTTCCAAAAATTTCCTGGTTCCTGAAATAAATTTATAACATTGCTATGTTATAACCAGTTGTTAACTTCCGATTCTTTTTTTTCTTCGCACACCATTCTTAACATCATTAAAATCATTTAAAACTCGTTTCCATTAGATTTTACTCAAACCACAAAGTACGCATTACTGGGATTGTTTTGAATTCATTTTTTGATTTCTAGGTACGATAAGTTCTGAACAGACACTAAATGTTAGTGGGCAGCTGTTATCTTTGATTGCGGTTGCTGCACCACATCGTACTCGATCCGCTAATTGGAGCTATCATTTTAATGAAGGTAGCAAAGAATGGTTCGATATTACCCTTAGTCTTCCATATCACATAGTTCTTCACGAAGTGCAGATCCGACCGCATGTTCCTGCCTTAAGCAGTAAGTTTGCTTTATTGTTATTTTGCGAATTCTATAAAAATTTCAGACTTATTATTTTGAATCTTTATTTCCCATTGAGTTGTTTTTTTTTTTTTTTTTCAAATTTGTAATATTTTGATTCAGACATTCTCAAAATGTTCAAAATGTTTTCTGACGTTTATGAATGCTTTTTTTCAGCAGCTCCGGCAGCTGTTCAAGTTGAGTTATGTTCAGAAACATCCCTTACTCAGTGGTACAATCTTGGCGCTCCACTTAGCACTACTGGATACAGCAAGATCCGCATTTCAACCGACTCATACAAACTTCCTGTCATTGCTGTATGCATAGGAATATTTTCTTAAAACTGTTTCAATTTTTATCTTTGTTTTTTTATGGGCTGGATTTCTTTCCTTTTTGAAAATGCTTTTCAGGTGCGCCTTTATTTCAAAAAACCGCCAGATTCTACAAATTTATCCTTATCACAAATACTGTTATTGGGGATGAATTTCACTGCTTCATTATCACATACATGTTCAAAAAATATGGATTTGTAAGCATTATTCATTAATCAGGGTATTAATATCATGGATTCTTGCAATCTAATTGAATGTAGAGAGAAAGCTAAATTTAAATCACTGCTGCTGTCTATTCAATTATTCAAAATAGCTATGCAATGTATGACCAACTGAGTGAATATAAAATCTAGGGGGAAATCGAACTTCATCAAACTGTTCAGGGTTTCCTTACTTTCATCGGTCAGTTAACTCTTTAGTTTGCTTATAACTTACGGATATTATTCAGCCGTTTAAATCATTTATACGAGGTAAGTATTTGCTACTCATTCGTAACTACTTCACATTTATCATTTAGGGATTTTATAATCAGAAACTAAAATTATAGTGTTCAGTGGCTTTCCATTATGGTACAACTATGTTATCTTGAAAAATATTGCGTTTGGCAATATGCTCCGGAACTTCCACGTGCTGTCGTAGCGCTCTTTTTGGGTCGACCACTATCCAGTCTAGTTTATCAGCGCATTTCAGAATTCTGTTGTCAGATCGATAATGAACGGACAAAGCCTTATTCGATTGTTGAATTGATTTTTCAATATATAGGTTCATTTTAATTCACATTTCTCGTTGTTCAGTGTCCGAACTTTTAATTAAATTTATGTGTGTTCAAAAAATTCTGTTATGTTCCTAGTATTAAAAGTAATCTGGATATTTTTGGTTGCAGAGCAAGGCAGTACTGTTACCAACGAATCCTTAGAATGGCTCCCGAATCTAATTTTTACTTTGTGTGCACAAAAGGAGCATCAAATTTGTATCATAAAACAGTGTCAAGTGCTTCGTGGTGTTACTTCCTTAATCACTTCAGGGAATTATAAGAAGCCACTTCGGGTTTGTTCCGCTTTTTGAATTTTGATATATTAGCAATCCACTTAGAATTTGTTTCCTCTTATTACATCATGTCTTTAAAAAATAATAAATTTTTGTTATGAGATCTCTATACGTGAATAATATGAATCCAAAAAATATATGCGCGATAGAAGCATAAATAAAAATACTGCATGCCTAACATAAATGGACATTATTTATGCTTTCCAGGCATGAGCATAATTTTTTAAACATGATTTAATAAAAGAAAATAAATTGTAAGTGATTGGTGAGGGAAATTGAATTTGATTAGATCAAATTTACTAACGAGTTTCATCAAGTTCATAGTTTTATACGAACTTTTTTTATGAAGTCACGGTTACTAGATATACGACGCACGTCCGTATTGAGCTTTTTACCTCAACCGCTTATTATTTTATATCATCTATTTTATATCATATTATTTTATATCAATTTATATTATTTTATATCATCTGCTGAATTGTTCCATTAATTATCTTGAACTCTTTAAGATGCTTATCAGTTGGGAACTGTACGATCACAGTGTAAGAAAACTAACTTTTGTATTTTCACTACATTGTCTGTTTACGTAAATTGGAAGATAAAGGAGAGAAACTTCTATATGTTCTGCAGTTTAGTGTAATATAGTTTAGTAACAGGATGCTATAATGAGAAATTATATAGATGAGCAGCAAATGATCCGAACTGATAGGAGTGTGTGTGTGCTTTTTTGTAGAAGAAAGGCTGCAGTGGAACGAAATTTTCACGCAAAAATTTCCAAGAAATAAGTGTTAAAATGGTTGATTTAAGTTCTTTCAGACACATTAATTCAATGTAGAAAAAAACTTACGTCAGTTTAAATCCCTTTACCGGCCGTGTTATAATTGTTACAGTTTTTGCTCATTGTTCTGTTGAGTTTTTCTGTAGATGTTAAATTATATTTCACTTTCCAATAATTACTGGGATTATAAGGTATATTTGTTCATTTTGTTTTTTTCATGAATAATAATGAGAAAAAGTATGTTTTTGATTGTTTCGTTTTAAAGGTCAGTAATCTTTCTCTTTACCTCTTCAGCAGAAGACAACTACTTTGTATGAGATGAAATCTTGTTCAATAAAATTTCTTCTAAAGGACATAGTCGGCAAATTCTGAAATACATAGCTCTAATATTGTTTGGAAAAGAAGGTTGAGGACTAAATGCTAAAATGTATTATAAGAAAGTTTTTAGGATGTTGCTGCTGTTCTGATATGGACTGCCTCTTGTATTATATGGCATAATATCAATGTGGAAGAGCGACATTTCGATACATTAGCGTTGTGCATAAATCTAACACCACAGCTCCTTCCGTTTGTTTTTTTAATTTTGTAAATTCTGAATATTGTAGGTTTACTTTTTAATTTAACAAGTTTATTCGGCGACTAGAGTTTAATATTGCAAATATCACGATATATGAAGTATCAGTCTTTCTAAAACGATATAGTCCGATTATTGCACAAGTTTGCATGGCAGTAAAGGAATTGCTAATTAATAAATCAGATACGGCATAACATCAGCTAAAGTCAGATTGATCATAGTTGCATAGTTTTTTGAGATTAGGTATCTACGAAGTAGTTTTTTAAGATTTCTATGTAAAATGGCAGTGGATGTAAGTGAACAATGCAATGATACATTAGCGAAATCGGCGTCTTGGTTATTGTGCTCTTTGATGCGTGGTGCACCAAATCTTCTACGTAATGCATTGAAAGAAATCGGATTATTAGATATGAACGATAAGCGTCAGTTTCTTTCCCATAAATTATATTATCTGTTACTATCATACTGTTAACCAAGAATTTCAATTGAACAATTAAAATATGTGCTTGAGTCATAAAAATAAGTGAAGTGTATTCTAAATATTTTTTCAATAGAAAAAAAGGGATAAACGATACTGTATGAATGCTCTTAAATGTGGGCTGACAGAAAGCATGCTGCTATGAAGTGAAAGATTATTGTAAAGTCTCACTGCATTAAATATGTACACAAAATGTATATTTAATGAAATGCGACTTCATGTAAAGAGAGTTTGTCGCTGTTTAGTTGCTGTGTGAGATATATTATTAAACTAAAAGGACAGGTGGTTAAATTGTAGCGAAAAGAGATGTCCCCCAGAGTGCATTTACTGTTGTGCAACGAATGTGTCAGTCAAGGACAAGCATATTGCACCTTCATTCCCTCGGTCTTCTACAATACTGGGTCGAATTGATTATCACTTATTCCGAAGGTTTGTTATCTTTCTTTCAAGAATGTTTAGCTGGTAAATTTAATTTTTTCTTATTGGATGCTTTGTTGATATACATCTTGATAATAATTAGACCTTTTAAGTATTTTGAATCATTAATTATGAACTGGAACTGAATATCACTAACACAGAAGCTCAAAATCTAAAGATTTCGTAGTGGCTTAATAAATGTGAAACTTTAGAAACAAACATGGAGCATATGTCATTGTTAATTAGCATAGTTCGATGCTTGGCATCGCTTTGTTGTATCGAGGATGTTGTCAAATTTCTGGATTTCATGGGTGGTTCTCGTTTTTTTAACTCTCTCATAAAATGTGTCGTTCGATGTGCTGCTTCACCTGGAGATATGATTCGTCCATCTGGTAAACAAAGCATCAAATTAGAGAACGCTACAATCACTTTGCTTTCACAGTACGTTTTCCAGGATTTCATAAAGGATTCAATTGTTGCAGTTTGGGAAATGCTGAATTAAATCTAGGATTATTGGCTTAGGAAACCTAGAGACTAGAGGGAATAAATGCTGAAATTGTTATAAATATGAATATGTTTTAAAAATTTGTGAAATTGTAGCGAGGTCGAATAATTTCAGGACTCTCGAAATTTCGAGTTATTTCATTTCTCCGAATTAACCGTTTCAGATGTGTTACTGTTGGTGGCTCACATCGTCAACGCATAGCTCACGTTTTATGTTCCTTGTTAAAAAGTACCGGTAGCTTCAATGGTGCAATTCAGCAGATGATACTGAAATGTATTTTTGATGATGAGATGATTCCTGTGAAAGCAGTCGATGAAGACACTTCAATCTGCTTCCCGTCGCTTGACATTCCAAGTTTCTTTTTCAATTTTTTTAGTTTTTTTTATTTATAAAGAGGTTAAATAAGAAGTCTAAAAGAAGAGTAAAGCTGGGTTCTTTTTGAAGTGTTAGAATTTATTTCTGTTACAGATCGTATTTTGCATCCATTTTTTGGTTGTACACGGAGGGAACGTTTCTTAAAAGTATCTTTATATACTTCTATGGATGAGATTTCTGCTTTGCATAAAAGCGCAAGTGACTTTCGACAGCTGACAAAAATTAGGGTAAGTGTTACACTTTTCTGGAATTCATTTATCCACTTAATCAACAGAACCAGATTCTTACATTCATGATACAGAAATAAAAATCACAGATTTATGCGTAGCTCTTGAATAAATCTTTAATAAAGTCCTTTATAACTTTTAACTTCTTAGTATGAATTTGTTTCACTTCAAAAGACTGATTATACATGCAGTAGAATAAAGAATCATGTTGGATTTATTATGTAATCAATTGCTGACTTGAGTAAGCAGAACTTTCCTTAATTTAATAATCAATAAATAATCAATAGCGAATTGATATGAAAAGTTTTTTACTAAGCCAGGTCATTTTTTTCAGGCACCTATGGATGAGTCGCAGTTTTTTTCATCTCTTGTTACAAACCAAGGTATAATTTTCAATGATTTTGATGGGTAGTTTTATATCCATTATTACAGTCGTTATAATTTGAATGAATAAATACGTCTTTAATTCAGACCTGATGACAGCTATTCCTTCGCGTCTAATGATTCGAAGTTGTGTCAGTTTAGTTGAAATAATGGGTGATTGGAAGATTGGACAGTTGGTAGGAGATTTATTTGTTTCTGGACGCTTAACTTCTTCGGCGTGGTAAAATTTTAATTTTTTACTACAATTGCTTGGTAAACAAATGAAACTTATTTTTGTTGAAATATTTTTGGTACGGTATAATGCATTCATGCTTTTCAGTTGGGAAGTTTTGAACTAAATTTTAGTGATGTATGGAAATGAGATAAACATTTTCTGTAGTGGAGCATGTAACAAATATCCAGGTATACTGACCGACGGATTATGGAAATGTCGATATAAATTTATTTAGTATACTTTGCAGGAGAAAAATTTATTGATCTACTTTTTTTTTTTCTTAGCGTTTTTCGATATTTCATTTCTGTTTCGATTTCCTAATTCATATGTTTTGCAGGAAAGGAAAAATGGCCGGTGGAGATATACCAAAAATAGCAGTTGAAGATAGTGCTGATGGCTATTACACAGTTGCGCTTTCATTTGTTCAGCGCTCAAGTTAGTCTTCAGCAGTTTTTTAGCTGGAGAAATAAAATTCATTCCGTCGGTGTTTTGATTGGTTGATTAAAACAAATAAAGCAAATGGTGTTGTTAGTTGCTCAAGAAAGGCTAGTAACATAGTTCTATCGGACTGTATCTGTTTCATCGACCGTAAACAATAAATTAGTATAAGGAAAATAAACAAATAAGTTAAATAAATATGTTGTTTGAATGAAAGATGGATTGATGTTCACTCTACATTTTTGAGTCACTTTTTCATTTTTCTTAAAATCTAAGGACCGTGCAAGTCATTTTTGCCAACAGGTTTGTGCATCAAATATATTTCATATCTTTGCGGCTTTAATTTTTTTTCTTTTTTGCTAAAAATGGTCCCGGTATCATGTCGCTTATTGGGAATTAAAATATGGTTATTTGAATGGAAGATAAATTTAATAGTTTCAGATCTGAAAGATAGTACTAGCGTCATGTCAGATCAAAAGCTGGATACAATGCTCACAGAACAGACATCAACCCTACAATACTTTGCACGCGCAAATGGTCTCGCACTTTTAGCGCTGCATTTGCAAGTACATTATCCAACGTTTAACTCTTCTGCTATCATTCCATCATTCAGGTTTTCTTTTTTTTGTATTTATATTTATTTATTTATTTTTTTCTTTTTGTATTGGTGAAAAATGAAAGATGAACCAAAACGATGCAGCAAATTGCAGTTGTTTAATAAAAATGTTCATTGCTTCACATCTAACGAGTGAGGATAACTTCTGTAGCACATTACATTTCTAATGCAGGAGTGAAGTGCTGTAGCTGTTTCCTGAGACCCCATTGTCTACATTAATGTACTTGTGAAGGGTGTATTTAAGATACATGAAAAATAAACAAAAGCGTTTATTCTTAATGCATTTACATTACTCCTGAGTAATATCATGAACTTTACCTCTACAGAAGCGAGAGTAAACTAATAATTTAATAAAAAGGGTAAGAACTCAGGTCAGGGAATTTAAAAAAAATTAAAAATAACGAAATAAAAAGATTTTCTGCATACAGCGTCTTTTATATATTTCTCGTTAAACAATGCTTGTTAATTAAAATGTTATGTTAGATTTTGTATCTATAACTGTCATTGAAATTTGAAGAAATGTGAAAATCGGATTTGATTCTGTTTAAATTAGGCCGAAATTAGATTTAATCTTGTCTAATTAGTTTCAGGGACTCAAAACGGAAATCAGTTGAGCAGCGATGGTTAATAGATTCATCAGAAACGATAGCTATGAATGAAATATTTCCATCGGGTTATGCCTGTCCAACATCAATTTTCTCTTCGTCTGATCTACCAGCCGGAGAACCAGTATACAGTACCTTATATGTACCCGTTTTTGGTGGCGAAGCAGATTCAGGTCCAGGTTACGAAGACTTCGAGTACATCGACTCTGTTGCTTCGGGAGAAATGAAAGGATGGACATATTATCCCTTATTCTCTCAGACAGATAATTCGGGAAGTCATGCAGCAGTCAGTCCTATTTTTTAACATTTGAGTTTCACTTTTTTAGCATTTCAGTTTTGATTTGTTCATGCTTCACTGAAGCTTCTACAGAAATGAGACTATTACTCAAACATCTAATCGAAGTAATGACATGTACTGATGCTTGTAAGATCTCTTCAGCCCAAAAAACTACAAAAAATTGGTCCACAGCCGTCAAATCAAGCACTTTCAATAGGTTTATCGCCACATGTTGTCGTCGCTTTCAGTATATTCTTAAGATTGGAGGGTTATGCCGAATTACTGGTAACATACGATCGTAAACGTGCTAAACGCCTTTTGAGGCTTGCAATGGGCGTTATCACTACTGAAAGTAATAATCTTTTTTGTTTTCCTTTTTCTGTAAGAAAAATTCTTTGTGCATTTTAATCGTAATACTGAGGTCTTATGTTGCCTTGGTCTATTATTTGTAATGCGTTATTTTTGAGAAAGTTCGTTCACTGAAATTTATTCTAAAGCACTGCAACTTTATTAGATTGCACACAAAACTACGAGAGAATATTCTAAATAATTCTGTACTAATATGAATAAATTCTTGTTCATATTTTGGAGTGTAGAAAATAGATGTGAAGTTTGAAACGACGACTTGTTGCGAAATTAAAATTTCACCCGATATGTTGTTATAATGGATATTTTTCTGAACTATAGCATCGCTTGTAAACAAACCACAAATGTTTAAATCGGGTGTATTCAAAGCCACTCAGCCACAGTCCCAGTCAAAACAGAAATCGGAATACGAAAATCTTGGTTCACTGCCTTTTGTTGTTCTAGAAGAATTATTCAATAAGTACTTGCCCTATACATCTGTTGGAAGGTAAGTTATGCTACATCATTTTATTATTCCCCTTATTATTGTACTAAATCGAGCCAAGTTAAAAATTAAGCAGAAGCAGTAACAAAAGAATAATCAGCATTCTTAATATTGCTATTTCTTGTTATTTCAGGCCAGTTTTTTTTTTTTTTTTTTACCTTCTGCTTCCCTTCTTTGACTTTTGACTCATAAATATTGTTTGCACTTTTAGCAAATGTTACGAACAGGGAATTCAGGTGAAAGTAAAGGAAGAAAAATAAAGTTAGAAATCCTTTTGGATGAATTCGATAAATTACGGAGAAGGAGAAGCTAACATTAAAAGCAGTAAAGAGATGGAAAGAGAAAATAGATTTAAAAAATGAATGTTACCACCATATACTGCATCCTGTTGGTCGACAAGCAAAGTTGTTAGGATTATTAGAACAAAAATTATTAGAACATTGTTATCATTATTATTCAACGTTATAATCATTTTTTATACTGAAGGTAACTTTCAAGAAATTGTTTATTACAGAAGCAATTAAGAAACATTGCTTATAAATTTTAACAGTGTGGGATGTTTAAAAATGGATGTTGTATACACTAATGTATATGCTGCAGGTCCTTACGGGAAGCTGCAGTGACCAGTGGTGTTTTGGACGTTTTGTTGGATTGTTTGGCTCATTATAGCCATCAAAAACACAGGGAAAAGTCCATTCGACCATCGTGCCTTCCACCAGCTCCTGAGACCGTAAGTGCGTTTTTGTGCAGAGTGTAATTGTTCATTTGTGTATTTATGCATAACTCTTGGGCAGGCTGTTTTGGTTGAGCGCTTGTTGCGGGGCTGGATGGAATCAGAACAATCATCCTATGAAAGAGCCAGCTGTGGCACGACGACAGATGAGCGTATAAATAGTTCTGGAAATGCTGCACCAGCAATGAGCTCTGCTTCAACCGTTACCCAGCAACATAATTTTTGGGCCAAGGGTACTGGTTTTGGCAGTGGAACTACACAGCAACAGTGGAATGTTGATTTGCATGTCCTGAAACGAAAACAGGACGAACAGAATGTGACTCATTTGTTAAAAGTATATTTTGTTGCTTTTATGAAGAAGTGCAGTGAATTTCCCACTTCTTTTTCTATGTGAAAAAAATCTATTCATTTAGACGTGTAACTATTAATTCTGTCATGTGAAAGAAAAATAATGAGAATTACAAAATCTCTAGACAAGATGATTTGCTGATTACTTGTTGTGAGGAAACCTGTTCTCGTTTTACTGTTCTGTTGGTGTTATAACAATCTGGAGATTTTGTAACTCATTATTTCATCCAAGTTTCAGGTACTTTCAAGCTTTTTATATCCGAAAGTTAAAGACTATCTGAAAGTGGAAAATAATTGGACAGTTGATATCAGTGGACATAATGCAGTTGCTCCGCTGACATCCTTGCATCCGGAATATACTGAAACGCATGGTAGAAGTCAAAATATCTCATTAATCTCTGTGCCAGGTAGTACTTTAATTACTGTGCAACTCTGCTATTGTAACTTTCTTCAAGGGATACTTTGTTCTGTTCAACTGAAATAGGACCCTATTTTTTCAGATTCATCAATGCCAGGACCTTCATCTGGGCATCAATCACTTCTTTCAGTTATTTCATCAACTTCTTTGCAGTGGTCTTTGAGCTCAGCCGTAGTTAAAATGCTATCCCGCTCCTGTTTATTGCCAGCTATTTGGGCATATCTTAGGAATGATTCTGGTTTGACTCATTCCATATTGTGATGATATAGTAATCCTTATGGTCTTAGTCATATTTTCTTGATGCAGTTTTTGATTATTTTTTTTATCTTTCTTATCTCTTAAACATTACACTTTTCGGGTTCGTTACAGTCTTGGATATATCTCAGCATGTGGAATTATATGAAGCAGTTATGTATATGGTAGCTGCGTTAGCATTGAGTCCAGAATCAACAGATAGCAGAAGGGAAGAAGAGGATGAGATCACTGTATTGCTTTCGGGACCGGAATCAGGTTGCTCAATGCATGCGATGCTAAACAAACTATTTGACTGCGTTTCTGCGTATCTTACTAGACTTGCTGTTGAATCAAACGAAACCAGATTGCAAAAGTAAGGATTTTATTAACAAAGGTTTAATAATAATAATAATAATAACTCTAGAAAAGACAGATTGGTAAGGTTTTGCATGTCTTTTTTTTTTTTTTTCGTTAAATTTCTTCTTGTTCGATTGTTATTGAAAGATTTTTTGACTTTGACAAATACATTAAATAAGGTCCCGAATTCCTATACATCGAAGTCCTGCAGATTTATTTCAGTAATATTACTATGATTGAATACTAAAAAACATACGTGACTAATGATGATAATAGTGATGGTGATGGTTGCATCTCTGATGGACTGGAGAAGTTAACTTCTGTACTATAAAGTTTACAGATGACCGGAAGAGTCGTTGAAAATTTAGATTTTTTTTTAAATATCTAATGAGCTGTGAGTTAAGCGTAATAATAAATATGCGATAATTCACTTCTCATTGAATAACGGAGAGTACTGGAATAGTCAGGATGTTAAGATGTGATTGTTTTTCTGCGGCAAAGATTTCCAGCGATGTTGAAAAAAGTTTTTAAATGACTTATGCTGGTTCAGAAACTTGAATTGGTTGAATTGGTTGCTTTTTTAGTCTAAATATCCAACAAAATGCAGAAAATAATGACGAATCAGCACAAAGTCGCGAAGAAGGTCTCATGCGACTTGCACCACTAATCACCGCAGTTTGTGTCGTCCTTTCGAGACGTAAATTTTTATATCCTTTGATATCATTTTTATTCTTTTAGCCGTAATGTAAATTTCCATTCTGGTTTATGGCTTTTTCAGGAGTGAAAGAGTTACCTCTGAAGTCAGAAAATAATGAGAAGGATGCAGTTACTGAAGAGGAAAAATATGTGAAAGTTATGAAGGCTTTACAGTTTGGTTAGCGATTCATTTTTTTAATCAATTTACACCAATTCCACGTGTACCAATTCATATCATATGGAGAATTCCACAGTTAGTCGTTTTTCAGATACAGTATCATTCTTTACGGAGGGTTCATTCATTCCATATCATTACGAAAGTTCACTTTCCTCTGTTGGTACTAGCAGTTCGATGGGAAAACGAACGAGACGTTTGGCGCAAGAAATTGTTACACTTAGTAATTCACTACCATTGAGTTCAAGTAGTTCTGTCTTTGTTCGTGCTTGTGAAGAACGACTGGATGTCATGAAGGTAGATGTTGATTTTTGTTTTCTCAAAAATTCTGGACTGGAATTTCTGATTTTCTTACATTAGTCATTTTTCGATCAACAATATAATATTTCTCAAAAAGTAGAAACTACAAAAATAATTGTATGAATAAAAATACAAATAAATAAAACACTGCCATGACGCATGTTTTTGAATAGTATTTCTCGGATTTTAATTGAAATTTATTGTTTGATTTCTACCTTTGTAATTTCGAGTATTCTTTTTATAGGTGTTGATTACGGGTCCAGCAGATACTCCATATATGAATGGATGTTTTGAATTTGATGTTTGGTTTCCAACTGACTACCCAAATTCACCTATGCATGTAAATCTTGAAACGACTGGCAATCATACTGTTAGTTTTGTTGATGATTTCTGACTGTACAGTGATTATTTCGTTAGAACTGTTTGCAAAAATATCTATATTTTTTATTTTATTAGATTTGACGCTCAGAAATATTACTAGCACATTTAGAATGCATTATAGGTTAGATTTAATCCTAACCTGTACAATGATGGGAAAGTATGTTTGTCGGTACTGAACACATGGGATGGTCGACCTGAAGAACGATGGAATCCGGAAACTAGTAGTTTGTTACAGGTATAAAATTAATTTGTATATTATGCTTTCTTTTAATACGCTCATTTGTTATATAATTCGATGTCTATCGGTATCTGATAATTTTTTCACTAACATATATAATTAAACATAGCAAGGAGAAGAAGCTGTTGTGTTTACTTACTTAAAAACTTTTACTTATCTATTCTTTTCTTATCTTTGAGGTCATTGTAAGTGTGCAGTCTTTAATCTTAGTAGCGGAACCGTATTTTAACGAGCCGGGATACGAACGATCAAAATGTACTCAGGCGGGACAACAAGTGTGTAATGGCTTTAATTTTGTTGATATTTTTTTATTAATAAAACTTGTTCTCTGTAGATTCTTTTCATATTCCTGATTTTTCCACCTAATTTTCTCGATTTTCAATCTTTTGATATGCTAAATTTTCATTATTGCCGTGAAACCAACTTAGGCATCGCGAGATTATGATGCTAACATTCGTCAAGCAGTAGTAAAGTGGGCTATGCTTGAAATGATGCGACATCCCCCACCAGCTTTCGCAGATATCGTGAAGAAGCATTTTTGGTTGAAACGAAAGGAAATTTTGTCACAGGTTTCATAATTTTCGAGAAATCCGGCATCCTAGATCTAATTTTTGTTGAATCTATGGGATCAAGTATCTCACGAACCGAATTTGAATTTGCTTAATAAGTTAACCTCGCCCATTTAAATGTTGAGAACTCCGCAATAGGTGACCTTGCAAAGGTTTCTTTTTTGAGGTGTCAAAATGGATTGCTGAGATGGAGCAACTAGTGAAGCAACAACGTGGTAGTGGACGGAGCACCCACGGTCACCTTGCTTCTTTAAAGGTGTTTTCTAACATTTCGATTTCTTTAGTTTGTTTTACCAACTGGCAATCTTTTTTAGATATGCAAATTTTGTGGCAAACTACTTAGACCCTACATATCAGTTCATGGATAGCTCGAAAATTTAATTATCACTGAAATCTTTCAGCGACACGCCACTGCATTGGAGGATGAATATCGACGGATGGAGTGTCCCACAGATCTTCAAGATGTAAATGTGTCATGCACTCAACAAACAAGCATCTCTGAAAACATGCAGCAAGCAAATCTAACGATAAGTGAGCAACAGTTACAAAGTTTGAATGGTTCAGGACAAGTACCTCACAATTTGAAGAACCTCTCAGTAATGGAAATCCTCAAACTATGAAAGCTTTTTTTTTTCTGAGAAATCTTTCAATTTTAGAAGTAACGGAGCGAATGCTTCCTGAGAATTTTCCACTGTAATAAACTTCTGGAAATTTATGTAGTACATAAAGCAGATCAAGTGAATTACATGCTTCATTGGTTTATTGCTTTGCGCATGTCACACGTCTTCTCTAGACACTTTAACAAGCTGTCTTGAAAACAAGATTTATCCACTTTGTTCTTCACCTCTTTGGCTCCTCTACGTAGTAGTTCTGTTACGCTGATCTTCAGAATTTGATTGACATGTAAATATTAAACAAAGAACCGAACGCGATGCGATGCGTGTTAAGCACCAACAAGGGATGCCATGTTAAGGCATCATTCTTTCTGACCTTGTTTCATGAGAAAATGCATGTCATTATGTGCAAAATTTGCTTTTATTGTAAAGATCTTTTTTTGGAAATTACTGCAAAAATAGTATTTTTAAATGTTTTTTGTTTACTACTTGGCACACGTCGAGAGCTCTCCCATTTAAAAGTCGATGCAATGTACCATATATGCATCTTTAATACTGGTCGGTCTCCGGACTAATTACCATCGATATATTGGATGCTGAGGTGGCCACTCACGGCCACGACCTCTGACACGCAAAGGAACTAATTCTGGATATGGTTCATATCGCAGGGAATGTCTAACAGGCATTGGTGATTGTGGTATCCTTCTATGCTCGTAAAAATTTCGACGTCGTCTCGGGTTTCCACACCATTCCCCACTCACTTGCCTTCCTTCACGAAACCTAGAAAGGTAGCAGTTAAACTTAAAAAGTTTCCAGAATTGCTTATATGATTTTTTAGGAAATTTGGGATTTAAGATCAAATAACTTATTTCAAACTAATTTGTTTAGTGCCGACTGCCTTATAAAAGCAGTTTTAAACTGCGAGATGAGAACTAACTGGTTTGCGGACGACGGACAGACGGGTACGCGGTTGTCTACATAGGGCTCTGCTGGAGCCCAGCATGATTGATACAATCTATTGGAGGGACCTGTCTGATATGGTTCAAAAAGTGGTCTAGGGCTATGGTAAATGCTATGTTCAACCATTCTTCGTCCCGCATCAGTTAATCCATGTCGTGGTATTTCGCGCAAAAACCCTATTTGTGGTCGATAGGGCTGAAATAATAAGAAAAGTCTAGAACCAAATAATCAAACAAGCATGAAACTAAAAAAAACTAAAACGGAGATTTAAAGAAGCTTTTAATTAAATACAGAGGAGTTTTTACACACTACTGCTTCTATGATTGTCTTACTCACTTCTCTGCGATCTAGATTCGTGTCTTTCAAAGTTCGTGGTACGTCAACAGCTCCCGGCAAACGTTTTGCAGCAAATACATAACCTTTTTCAAACTGTGGATCTTTGTAAATCATCATAATAGCCTTATTTTTCTATAATACAAAGTATTGATAATTATATCATGACATAAGAAACACAGAATTTTAACATACGAAGACGTAATGCTAGGAATACGAAAAAAGGTTTTGGAAATTCAGAGAAGTACAACTCACGGCTATATCCGTAAATTCGTCAACTGAAAGTGGTGATTTATAATTTTGTCCTTTCATTACAGCTTTTGCATCTACACCAACAGTGCCAGCCATTCCGAATGTCAACGAAGTGTCAATTGCTAAGTCGGTCGAGTCTAAAATTTGGAAATAATTATCTCTCACTTCTATCCTATCTCCAGGTTGGTTTTAAATTTTTTCAGCCCCTTCTTAATAACGTAATGAAATACTGACAAAGTAATGAAATATTTTGACTTTTAAAGGACTTTATGCTATACATATTTTAACACTGTATAAAATGCATGAACACATGGTTTTTGTTGCCCCTATTTTTCTTTTTATCCAAATAATATTGAAAACTAATTAATATACTAAAAAACACACTGCTTCTAATTACATAAACAAACCGAATACAGAGATATACCTTTTCTACTGTTTTCATACAGCGTTTCCGCAAAGTTGTAGAAAGGATGTGAAGGTCCAACAAACAACCGATCAGGACCTCTGGAATTTCTTTCCTTTTCAAAAGCGTCCAATTTATCTTCCATCTTCAAAGTATTACCAACATTCATAAAACTATAGCATCAACCGTATCTCGTGTCAAAAAGATAATAGAAACAATAATCATTGTTTCTATTAACAGACAAGGTACTAATCAATTTATAAACTATACTAAGTTACAATTAAGTAAACCAGCCCTAAGCATATTGATGAAGGTTCAACTGTTTCCGATTTAATTTAAATGTAAGCCTATCCCTCTCAATGTTCGCTCTTTTTCTTAAAAATTTCAATTTTATTGTATAACTGAAACCTCAAATTTAAGAGGAAGATTTTACTATTCTACTGGTAACTGACAAAAAAAAAGGAACCGGATTCAGAACTTCTAAAAGTCGTTTCTCATCTACAAATGGTAGTAACGCAACTCCTTGCCATGCACATTTTTTACCATTTAAATCGATAACAAAATTATCAGGATAAAAATCGATTATTGGCGAGACCGGTGATATCATTAGTTCCTGCCAAGCTTCTGGCAAGTGCATCCTAAACTTGACCATTCCGATGAATTAAATATTACTTTTTTGTCTTTTACTGGATATAAAGCAAAATCAATAACAGCTCGTCAATCACCACTATATTACATTACAAAAATACTTTCCACAAATGCAGAATAACTGCATGCAATTAGAATAAAAAAAGGTTCGCTGTTAATATATCAGGGCATCTAGTATCTTTAATTCCCCTTAAAAACTAAAAAATTTAAGCCGCAACCCCCTTCCTCTTGTTCATCCATCTTCTCTCTATTTTTTATAAGATTACCTTCTCTTTTCTTACTAAACATACCTGCTTGCGGCTGGAAAGACACTCATCAGCTGCTGTAGCGGCTTAAAAGGTTCGGTATATGCACTGAAATCAGGCTTGAATTGAGAAACTGCATCAAAATCTGATGCGAACGGCGCGTAATGAAACGGATAGTACCAATCCCAACTCGCGCAACCCTGAATTTGAAGATTTGCTAAAATGCAAATTTAAACATGGATTATTTATAAAAAGTGCAGATGATGCTTCACTATCACTAACCTGATAATAATAGTGTAATACCCAGCAAAGGCCTTCTACATACGCCAGAGCAACTTTACGTCTGAATACAATATCTTTGCCATCTACTTGGAATTTGCTTTTATAATACCGATCTTTCCACCCATCTTCCCACAATCTGACTTCATCAAAGACTTCGTCCTCTGAGCTGGAATTATTTTTCTGAAAACAATACATATGAAGTAGAAGAGGTGAAATGGCACATAAATATATAAAATATTAAAAACGAAAAGTCACTTCACATATTTTTAGAAAATTGCAATACTCGATTCAGTTATGAAACAAAAGAAGAAAAAGTTCTAACCAATTCCTGTTTGTGGTCATCTTTTTCTGATATATTAATAGCTGGGACATGAAAAGTAGCATTATTCATTGCGCGAGTGTGCACTGTTTCGGTGAAATCAAGTGCCTCAAGTATGCCAGATTAAATGGCTTATAACTGACAATGCAAACTATAAAAACAAATTAAGCATGATCATCTATGTAACAAAATGAAGTAACGTAATTAGACATACAATTTTACTAGACAAAAAATCAATAAAATAACCCCGCTGCAGTTAATAAAAAATATTCCTCACTACCTCTAATCGAGCAGTACGCGCCATTGTTCTCGTACTCGATCCACTGAGATACATCGGTCCATTAGTTTGTGGTGAAAGAAGAGAACCTCGAGATGGGATGTATGACGGTGTCGCAAGGGCTTGTTCACGCCATTTCTTTTCTTTGTTTCTCCTTTTAAATTGTTGCTCTCTTTCCTTAATGGTAATAGTTTAAAAAACGGAAAAAAAAAATGAAGTATGAAAACTGATAAAAAATAAAAAAATGAAACCAACTACATTCGCAAAATAATTACGGAAAATACTGCCGAACTGATTATGCTTAGTTGATAAAATATAAACGTGGGAACCAACGAACCAACCTGTCTTGACTTGAATATTTCATCTTCTACTTCACCTAATTTATCAAGTATGATTTGAGCCCTTTCAATATGGACGATACCAGAATCAGTGAGGTGCCTGAAAAGGCAATTGAGAAAAAGTGAAAATTACAGGAAAGGTAAGTCAAGAATGCTTCGCTAGAAATAAACTGACATTGAATGAAGAAAAAATATTCAAGCTTTGCTGTATTGACTCTTAATCGACAACAGTTAAATATAAAAGATGATAAAACAATACCCTTTCATCTCACAAACCATATCTTTGTACAACTTCACAAGTCTATCAATAGCATTCTCCCGAATTTCTAATGAAGGTAAATGAGGTAGAAAATCATTGCCAACAAAAAAGCACATGAATACCTGAAGAATTAAGTCCAAAAACTACAACGTAGAAAAGACAGTACTAACGTATAATAAAGTGAAGCAAACTATTTGTCAATAAACATTGCAAATTCTCTTTTTAAGTTCTTCATTTTCAAAATATTCAACATTATCACCCACTCCACTCAACACAGTGTATTTTTTATATCTTACAAAATGTTCAAATTACTGACCCAGTCATCGATCGCTCGTTCTAGATCGAAAGGAATGGAGCAATTAGGTATGTGAAGTTCACGTTCGAGATATTCACGAAGCACAGGCAAACGAATGAATATGAAATTTGTTTCTTTTTGCAATGGAGTTGATTGACACTCTGAATTATCGTCACTTGCTAATCTGGAACATTAAATTTGAATATCAAGATTTCAACATGAAATTGAATCTAAACAAAAGTAAAACTGACGAGATAGTTTACTCTGATTTAAATCTCCTACTAAAGTGTCTTTTCTCCACATAAATACAAAGCAGAAAAGGTAACCCTTTGCAGTCATTTAAACCATGACCGTATTGTCCACAAAGGTCACATGGTCTCTGCTGATTCGGTACAAATTCCTCTCTTATAATGTTGAAATTAGGCTCATGAGTAGCCAATCCCAACATAATCAAGTCCGCATCTGCTCCACACAAACAATGTACGGTATTAGGATCATGAGATGGAGATGCTCTTTGTCGTCGTATAAAATCCATGATTTTGTGCTCACCTTCACCCGGTACATTTGCATCTGATAGAATAACCTTAAACTTGATTATTTAATCTGCTGAAAAACACAAAAACAGAAACCACCTCTTTTATCTTCAAAGTTTTTTGAAGACCCTACCAATTCTCAATCCCACAATAAATTCAAATGACCAATTTCATAAGAAAAAAAAAAAAAGACATAACAAACTTTACCGCAATTTTTCTCCAGCCTGGGTCGCTATTCAATCGTTGATGGACATAATAACGAAGAGCAACAGCTAGCCTGCAAATAAAAATAAACCGCTTGAACTAAATAAAACTTAAAGAATAGTTACAGAATTTCTAAAATTCTGTAAAGTTACAAACTCTAAGTAAGCTTACCGTGCCATAAACGGTGTGCCCGGTGTTATACAGTTGCTGTCGAAATGCTCGGTTTTTTTTTCAGGAGGTAGTGGATAACCTTCACTTTCTAGTCGTAATCTTGTTTCAGCGATTTGTTCAACTTTCTCGATAGCCTCTTTCGAGGCACGAAAACGTCGACTGCGTTGTTGGTTCATCTGAACCGTACCTTTGCTAACTTGTGAAAAGACGTTTGACAGTTTTTTCTGATCCAACAGAATATGGAATAAACAATGATAATGCACAGCTGTATTCAAAAAATTTATATAAATTAATATTCCCATACAAATGCAAAATGTCATTTGCATCCTGAAACAATAACCTTCGCTCTTGGGGCCACACCATCAACTGCCATATAGAGAAGTTTGCGAGGACGAACGATTGCAAACAATCTATCTATATACTCGAAAATTAGCATCTGAAAGGGGTTATATATAATCAAGGAGAATGTAAATATAATTGGATGTATCTAATAAATGAAGTGAAAACGAAAAAATGAAGAAAATTAGTACATTATTAATGATGAGATAGAGATAAGCAGACAAAATGTTAAATTGCATTTCGATAAATATAGAAAAATTATTTCATCTAAAGCACTAACAAACATTTCCTCTTCCGTTTTGGGGCAGGGTCGATCTTCTGGATGGGTGCATGGATGAATAATACCATTCATGTCCAGATACAAGTTATCAAATTCCTGAAATAAATTTTACTGCTATATTATCCATATTTTTGGAATCAGATAGGCCCTGTGTCTGAAAAGATCTATACATCGGATCACGCAATGAACATTCTGCTGGAGTACCTGGAAATTAGGGTTTGGATCGACAGTATTAACCGGAACTCGAATTCCATTCAGGTCACGTGGCTTCTCCTCTACAGCATCTACAACCACTGATGGATATTTTCGGGTTAACCATCGAAAAAATGCTGGAACGCCCATAGTAATACGTTTTTCTATCCTAAAACCCTTTGCAAGATCATGAAACTTTAAAATGACAAAAGTTAAACGTTTCGTCAGCCGCGAACTCTGCAGAACATTCTATAATGTAATTCATAGGTCCAAAACACGGACACCACACCCAAATACGTCACGTTTGGAGGATTGATGCGAAAATCGTGATCCCAAAGCCTAGACATGGAAATTCTAGTATCTTATTTTAGTTTACTTTTCTTGGGGTAGATTTGGGCAAATCACTCACCTGTTCAGACAGTTTGATGCATAAATATTATGAACGAGAAAGAAATAGTATCAAAGTATTAACTTACTTTCGTAGAAGTGATGACATTTTAAAAATAATGAAATAAAATCGAAGGGGAATTATCCGTTATGTTACTGATTTTAAGATTATTGAAAGCTCTATGCTGCTTAAAATGATAGCTGAAAACATTGCTGACATGTAGATTAAATTCTGCTATACCCGCTTATCTTATCAATCTTCCAGTTGCTATTAGCGATATCACTAACGACAACACTTATGGCAACTAGTATCGCAAAAAGTGAAAATTAAAAGCAAAATCTACAATGGTCAAAATAGATTTGCAAAGGACAGAAATATTCTCAAAAAAGGAGTATATGCAAATTAGATACCAAAAAATACTGCTATATTTTCTTACTAGTAAATTATTGAAAGATTTGTGGAAGTGTCTATTGAAAATAGAATAATATAATACAACAATAACGTGTTACAAATTTTCTTGCGTCAGCAAATGAAACGGAGAAGACCAGATGATAGATATGGAGGGTGTTAATTCAGGTTGCGTAAGCTAAGCTATTGTTTAAGGTCAAAAAATATCTTTAGTAAGTTGGACTAGCTTGGAATTGTTTAATCCCTCTTCCTCATTAACCCCCGCATCATCTGTCCCTTCTGGTGCAAGCATTCGTATGGTGGGCACCCCGCGGTGCTCTTTTCAAGGATCTTCTAGAAGACCACCTGCCTGTCTGCCCGTCCACTGCTACTTTCTTCACTGTTCTCTTGAAATACCCAGCTAGAAGCTTTTTACCTTCTGGCATCAGTGTGTGAAGTGGATAAGGAATACCGATTAGTGGCCACTGCACAGGTCAGTTATTGGTGCAGGGACCACTTCAGTGACGATAATCCTCTTTACAGCAACAACAGCGATAGATAGCAACGGCATCAATATAGTTCTGCTGATGATCTGATAATTGCATTTACACACTTTTTATTCATTCATATACTTGTTGCTTCCACACACACACAGACAGATAGCAATTAAATGACTCTATTAATTATGAACAGTTTTTTTGTAGCTGAATGACTGATAAGATACTCTCAGTTGAATAACATTGAGAGAAGAAATAAATTAATGAAAATACCCTTGATTGAAGCAAATTGGGAATTGAATAAAAGCAGAATAGAAAAATGGATCAGTTCGCTCTTCTACGATTGGTAATAGACAGTATATTTGACCTTTATTCCAACTTTTTCTGTTCACTTCTGTAGTTTTCCTACATTAGGTGCTGATAATATCTTTTCTTGCAATGTTGTCATTAGTCACTGATTCGATCATTTCTCAAACATTCAGAGAGTTTTATTTCATACTTTGTTTCTTTCTAGTATCTATCTACACTTCTAGTGAGTTTAATCTCGATGTTTTATAAAAGTTGATAAATATATATGTGCCTGTTTATTGTCATCATTTAGCGCAGTGAACAAAATGATCCAAACAGTTTCGCATAGCATTTAATATGCAAATGAGGTAACGATGAAGGGTAACTATTAAACATGGAACTGTAAATCGTTCAGCAGGCAGTTATGAAAAGATTGATTGCTGTGACACTTGACAATGAAGATACCAATACAATTACTTTTCACTGCATTCGGTACTTTTTACAAAATTTTTTCTGAATAATTTTAGTGGATAGTAAGTAGATAAAATGCTCAGGGGATGAAGATTAAGTAATGAAGTTTTTAGGTCAGGAACTGTATTACTATATTACGATTATATCCATATGAAAAAGGATGTAAAAGTGGAAGGGAAGAAGGTTACTGGAAGAATTTCATAGCTATTTGATCTGATCTACTGGTATATAAAGAATATTTTATTTCGAGGTGACGTTTAATTACATGATCATATTACTAGAGCGGTAAATGTATGTCTTGTTGGTAGCTGGTGATAGACATCAAATAGCTTATAAAAACTGCTCTTTCTTCAGAAATTCATATAGCTGCCTTTTTAATGGAAAATTATGATATACATTGGTTTATAAAAAGTAGGAAACAAACAAGTAATTGCTCCTTTATCGCTTTATTTGTCACAACCACTTGTATCATAACTAGTAGGATTTATGAACCTCATTGTTCTTCATGAGCCAGTCTGTTTGCAATGATGAAGAAGACTAGGAGAATACATGTAAAATAATTAAGAGCGGTAAAATTAATTTCTGGAAGCTTAGTTGTCCGAACACCTCATTTCAACCAAAAGTCTGGCAACATGGAATGAAGGCCTTATTTATCATATGAGCTATTTCTAGATAACCTACCACTATCTACTATGCATGTACAATATCTTATAATTTTTTATAGAACAGTTGGTTGGGGGATACAAGAGATGCACTACTGAAGATGTGTTAATTGGTAGGTTGCTAAGAGCAAATTGCGAATTACTTCCTCATTTTCCAGACCTCTTTATTGGGGTCATCATCAGCTTCTCATATTTCCGCAATGTGTTTGCTATTTTCGGATTAATTCCGGATTATTCGAAAAATCATTTCTTAATTTCAAGCTAATTTAACACTAACAACGGACGAGAAAATAATAATTCATCAAAATTACGTTATGATTGATGCCTATCTTTAATATGTTATCAGTTTAGACAGTCTTACCTACTTATTACATATATTTTAAAGTAACAAGAAATTGTAAAAAGACAATAAGTGGATGATGTCCAAAACTAAGTATATTCATAAATTCGATCACAGCCACAATAATTTTTTATTTTAGTTTTCAAGTTAGAATTTCTAATCTATCTCCAGTAATAATTTATTTTCAAATCATGAGCTAAGTAAATTATTTATCTTTGTGGAAATTTTTTGTTAAACCGGTATTTGTAATCAAACAATTGACACAGAAGCAAAAGCCGTTAATAGATTTAACACATGGTTGTACCGGTACTGGTACGGATACAGGTACCGAAAGCCTAAGAAGGCTTTTTTGTGTCGTTTCGGGTACCAATTTGAATGGTAAAGATGGAGGTGACTGCTTAAAAAGCTCAATTGGCGCTAATGCACTTGGCGACTCCGAATGAGGTGAAGACGTAGAAGTTGCTTGGAGAACTGCTGTGGCATTTCCTTGGCTACGGTTTCCAAGGTCATCCAATTTCCGTCGCAGTTCATTATTTGCGTTTGTTAGGTGTTTGATCCTGAATGAACATCTTAATTTAGTAATTTATGTTTAGGCTAAGACCAACTCTATCTCGGATGTTTTTTATAAAAGTAAAGTTGGAAAATAAGTGAAGATCAACTGATATTTGACATTAGAAGCACTGAGCATCTAAACAAAACCTTCGTTAGAAGGGTGCATAGAACTATTCTGGATTATTTTATTTCCATTTTATTGACAGCTGCTAATTACAAAATTTATACCTACCAGCTACTAGCTAGAAGCAATGTATTGATTTTGGACATTTTTCTAGATCCGGCACGATGCGAATATGGTAAGCATTGTCGGAGCTCATCAAGTGCATCATTTAGATCGTGCATCCTTTTCCGTTCCCTTGAATTAATACTCATACGCAAGACTGCCTGTTCCTGAAAAGGAAATTTCAGGAAGAATTTGATTCCTACAATCAACCATAAGCTAAGAAGTGGTTAGAGAAATTTTGTGGAATTGAAATAAAATCATAGCTGGAAATGAGTACCTCTTCGTTAAGACCTTGCAACTTATTCGATTTCCCAGAATTCATTCTTTTTCGCCTAACATATGGCTCGATTTCTTCCATACTTAACAAACTACTCTAAAATAAGAAATCGAATAAACGGCACGGTATGTATTTTCACTTCAACAGTGTGTCACAAAAGGCAAAATCAGCATTAACTTGAAATCTTTATTGTCATTTTATTAAATTAATTTCAATTTTTGAAATTCAACTTTATTGTACTTTTTTCATGTTCAATGCTTTCCGTTTTGGAATTCAGCTAACATCCAATTTCATAAGCTGATTACTGAGCACTAGAAATACCGCATTAGTTTTAACTTGTTAAGCATGTTATTAAAAAGTTCAGCTTTTGTTTAATATTGCAATTCGTTTTTAAGGAGGTTTCTGATCAGAAAGCTATATAAAGAGTCTCACGAAGGTGTACATTAGGCTATTTCATCTGATTACGTTGCCAATGGTCACAACAGCTCAGTGTTAAATTTATTATATTAGATGGATGTTATAATAATTAAGCATTAGATCTTTTTATACTTCAAATAAAGTGAGAATTTGTCATGTTGTAAGACCATAACATTCTAATAAACAAAATTATGTGTATATTAAAAAGTAAGTTCGATGAAGGTTGAATAAATTACATTTAATAAGATGCAATCTTCGATTCAAACATTTCTGAGACAGAATTATCGAATGATGTATCAAATTCTATTGTCACATCAACTAACTTTATTGTTTATATGGCAGTGTAACATATGATTCGGGAGTGAAGCGTTATTTTTCCATCTAAATATCACAGTATGGAATTGGGATAATAATGCTGCGCTGATAAATTGTGCAAAGATGCAAATGTTGTAAGTAAATAAATAAGTAAGTAATGAATAATAGCAGGAATCTTACCGTTCTTGGCGAATCCTCCGAGTCGCTCATGACGTGTGTGTCCAGTGCTGCAGGAGGACAGCAAGCAGTTCAATAAGATGACCCTTCTTGTTTGCTTTTTGAATTTCCCAACACTCCAAGACCATTTCCAACGGTGTGCACCATCTCGCACATATAATCGAAGGAGGTGGCGAATCTTCTTCCGGCCAAAGTGCACAAGAACGTCCACCAATAGGGCGGTCCTCCATGCTCATTTGCAGTGTGCTGGTAAGGTAACTACCGTAAACGGAAGAATGGAAAGAACAGACAGAGATGCACAGACTGCAGTGCACCCCGCAGTGCATACTGTTTGTAACATACATACAGTACCGTACTCGTTCTCAGCTGTCTCATTTAGAGATGCATATTATATTCAAATGTTTCTTGGCGAAATTATTGTCTCCTAGGAGTGATAGTACTGCATCCAATCAATTCATAGAACGTTACATTGTCGTCCCATTCGCTGTCATATATTTTGCAGGAAAAAAAAAATCAGTTATTCGAGATGTGACAACCGTTCGTCTTGATTTAGATAATTTTCCTGACGATGTTAAACACACTATTCTACCACATCAGCATTTGGCTAGTTCAGTTTTCTATGTAGGAAGGAAATGACTAAGAAATAGTACTGGATAAAAGTTTAACTAACACTTCATGTTGGACTACAGACAATGGTCGTTGGACCTCATATTCCAGACTCAACTGAGAAAAATTCCCTATTCTGAGTTATCTTTGACAGTGTCTTCCATATATAAAATCAATTATTCGTTTGAACTTGATCATTTTAAACAAAATTTTTATTTAATCATTAATAATAAGTAAACAAAATGTTTAACAGTATAAAATAATTGATTCCAAGATAAGGAAGTAATTAGTATAAATAATCGTTTTTTACGACAAGTCTTGGGCAGTTTAGAATAGTTTCACAACACAGTCTGTTCCAGGATATTCGGGAAGACTTAGATGGTATTTCAAAGCGAGAGCTTTCGGTACAAATCGACCACCGATATAGTGCGCTCGACCATGAAAGTGTTTTGCACAAAGTTTTGGTACTGTTAAAGATATTAAGACATCAGGATTGAATGAGAGTTGTTCTTCAAGTGGACCTTTTTCGACATCCCATCCTGAAATACGATATATTAAGTACTCGAATCTGACTGAGTAAACAACATAGAACGTCTTAATTTCATGATAAAACAAATTTATAGAAATCGAAAAGACTGAAACGCGACTGGAATTCACGGGAGCATGATCAAAAGGATCAGAGGCAATTTCACCAGCAGGGAGCTGGCAAAATGGCGGCATGCAGAAAATATCAGTAGAAATCACATTAACGACATTGACGAGAGGAATAAGGTGTGAAAAAGGAGAACTGGAGTACTCTTTGAATACACAATTCTTTCATCAACAAAGCAATGCGATCTTCCCATATCATACAGCATCTATCCAATTTACTAATTACTTTTTATTGCTTATAATGAGAAGCGTCTTAAAATTTTCTAACACTAATGACACGGAAAATGGAAGGAAGGGATGGAAAAGAGAAAACCCGCCTTCATTATTCACTACTGTGACCATATCTTGAGTGTGTTGTACAAATAGTCATCTAAAAGAAATACTGTATTTTCAAATGATGATAAAATCGCTTTAAATTATAAACTGTTTAAAGTATTACCATCGAATTAACTTCAGCTATTTAACGCATTTTTGCAATTAAAAACAAAATATTCCTAGTGTTGCTTTTAGTTTTTTGAACCCTATTTTTTAATGAATTCTTCGAATTCTCTACAGTCATTCTTCAAATCTTTCGTAAAAATAAATAGCTATTGAAAGCTCTATTTAAAAGCAGTTATTCTCTCAAATTATTTTACTTGACAATAGAGCATGAAATTTTGAAGTATCTAGGAATGTACACATTGTGAAAACTAATTTACATAATTTAAGCAGTCATTAATCAAATAACAATCAAAAAAGATGAAGCAGAAAAATGATGCATAAATATCTATATTCACTTCGAAAACACTTGAATAAATTCATTTACCTGAAGGTATATCGATTGACACCACTGGTAGGGAGCTTTTATTGACTGCCTCGATTATTTGATCAAACGGCTGTCTTAATGGTGGTTTGAAACTAAATCCAAATAAAGCATCCACAACCAATGTGAACTTATTTTTCATATCAGACGGATTTTTGAAAACACTGTCATCGATATGTGGTATACCCACTTTTTTTGTCTGCTTCACAAGACGTTCCATCAGTTCTGATTTTGACTGTTTTGGATAGAAAATAAATGGTTCGAAACCCTATGAATGCGTTTTATTAATCTCATTGAGAGGAAATCAAAATTACCTTTCATTTTAGATATATTAGTATTTCCGACAAAATAATCATCAACAGCCCATCTTAACGCTCTATATAGTTGCATGCCACAGGATTTGTTGTGCTGATGTTTTGGAGATTGTTAACTGTTCAGTGAAAATTTCAGAACACACAGTTCATAGAGTAGCTTACTTCAAGTATAGCGTCATAGCTTAATTTAATATTCCAAAGCAAATCGCCTGGCTATTCCTGAAACAGAAACTGACGTGTTTTCGCATGCTTACGAGAAATGTTAGATGGCGTGCACATACGAAACCATCGCCGCCATTATTTCCTGGCCCGCAAATGATGAGAATTTTTCCTCTATCGCAACTGCGTGCTATTGCATGAGCGCAACTTAGACCTGCAAGTTCCATTAGCTGATCGACATTGAATGCATACGTGCTGAAGAGCTCGCGGTCCAGTGCAATCGCGTCATACTGACTGAAAATAACATAACATGAGTAAAAAATGATGCAATATTAGAAAAACAGTACAAAAGATTTTAAAAAAAAAGTCGATCCAACTTCTGTATTTTACAGATAATGGTTTTGTGTAAGCGATTAGTCAATTTTCCAATTGGTAATTGAGTATTACACTTGCTATTAAATCATATTCGTGAAAGCATGCTAAAAATCTCTAGTAATGCCAAGAGAAAATTGAGTTACATGCCACTTTGGCAGAAAAAAGTACTGGACATAAAAAGTTGAAACCATATGAAAGATACTATAAGGACAATTCCGATACCTTTGTTATTCGTAATTTTGAAGATGCCCTCATTTGAATATTATGAAAATGTTAATAGCGAAGAAAAGTCATTTATTTTATTGATTTCGAATGCATGAAAAACAAAAAAGAAACGCAGTTATCAATAAATGTTCTAGGACTTCTTGGCGATATCAAGTACGTTAACGCACAACAATATTAACTGGAAAGGTAAAACAGTGAATCTTGACATATTAAAGAATAAAAAAGAATATTGGAAGAAGGAATTGCGAAGAATGCTATATTTAATGATTTGTTTGGAATAACGACATACAACATACTGCAGAAGAAAAGAATTCAACATGAATACTTGACAAGAATTAGAAAAATACTGGATTATTATTTAGTAAAGACAGTAAAATGAATACTAAACAGATACTGTTTGCAAATGTTAGAGAAATGCTTGTGTAATGTTAGGAGAGTCCTGAAACATAGAGAAATGATCAGGAAGAACAAAGAGATGAGCAACTGCAAAAACACTGTTTTATTAGAAATACCATCGTGAATTACAATCTAAATAAAAGATTACACCTGGGAAAGGCTAATTACAGAAGTTATCTAAAATGCTATCGCCAAAAATGAAGCAAACCTGATGAAAGAGACGTCGTTCACATTAGTCATCGTAACAATACCTCTGGGTTCCATTTTGTTTATCAAAAGAGCAAACAAGTGTCGTCTTGCACTGCAAAAAGCATAATCAAACAGCATGTCTGCAATGAGACATCGTTGTCAGTAATTTCAAGATTAAAAAGTGATTTTGTTTGCAGCAGTTAGGAAAGCATCAATTCGCAACACAATTAAACCCATTAAAATTGTTAAATGAATGATATAAATGATAAAGGCAAGACAGAATAACTCGGCAACTATCAGACATCTATTTATCGTAACTTCCTGATTACAGCAATCCTTTAATACATAAAACAACGAAAGACTGATAATTCCAAGTCATGACTGAAAATAGAGAGTGAGAATAAAAACATAATAAGCTCCCACCCCACGAATAAGGAAGTGAAAACATTGTAAATATGAATAGCTACTGGGACGGGGAGAGAAGATGATCTACACATCAATCCATCATTAAAAACGAACGGGCCGCAAGGCCTCCTTCCGTTTAGTTTGAGCATTTCCAGACTGGTGTAGGAGGTGTTGGCTTTTGCTGGGTGAATGTATCTGCTCGGGTTAGTAGTGTGGATAGCAAGCCGTAGGTTTTGAGCATCAGTTGAGGAGGTTTACAAGAGAAGATACTTCAGTATAGTTTGTGGTTCATTATTAACAGAGCTAACTGGCCTTATTCTTGCTAATGTTTCATTACGAGATGCCTTTTTGTATGCAAGTAAGTATTGTTATTTAATTGAATCACGATATTTTGTCATTTGTCACAGATGTAGTGAGGAAAGAAAGATACCACCACTGCCATTCGTAATTTCAATTTAGTTTTCATTTGCGTTGAATGCATCTTTGGAAGCAAGAGTTACACTAAAATGATTGATTAGGATTCAATTTGACGGTATCAGCTTATTATGTTTGCTTTAGTTTTGTTCAGTTTATAAATTAGGTTTGCTAAACTCGAACCTTGCGCACGTTTCCCCTGAGTTTATTTGGGTTCTTTTTGTAGATTTTACTGGGTCAAGAGACTGGGTGGTGATGCTGGATTGATTTATATGAATAAACATTTACCGCTCTGAAGACACAAAATCGTCACACTCACATATTGTTCTAATGACTACAGTTGTTGCTTCACCAGGGCAGGAACCTGATCGGCAGATAGAAGTGCAGTACTCAGATACTAAGGTTACTTTTCTCTATTTCATTTCAAGATTAAGCGAATTAATTTTGGTTATGGTATTTGGCATACTTTATTTCCAATTTGAAACTAGTCTGAGAATTTGTCCATAGGTTTTTCTTCGATTCTATATTTAATTTTTCCATCATCAGTTCGAAATTTTGAGACCACATCGAAATCAGATTATTAGATACAAAAATCAATCTTAATATAAGTCTCTCTCAAAATTTCGGTTTGATTACAGGTAGTTGGTAGTGGTTCCTTTGGTGTCGTCTATTTAGCTGAATTGATCGACACAGGTGAAAAAATTGCAATCAAGAAGGTACTCCAGGATAAGCGGTTCAAGAATCGCGAATTACAAATAATGAGAAAGTTAAATCATAAGAATGTTGTGCAACTCAAATACTTCTTTTATTCAGGGGGTGAAAAGAAGGACGAACTCTATTTGAATCTGATTTTAGAGTAAGTCTCATATTTGCAGTTTATTTCTGTTTCATTTTTCAATTCCATTTCTTTCATTTTTTTATTACCTTTTTTACTAATATTTTTCATTAGAATGAATATTTTTTGGATCTAATACCAAATGATGCGTACTGCAAAGTAGTAAATTCTAAACTTCTAGTTTTCATTTTTACGAATAGATTTGTGCCGAAGACAGTTTACCGTGTGGCCAGACATTACTCCAAGTTGCGACAAACGGTACCTATTATATACGTCAAGTTGTACATGTTCCAGTTGTTTCGAGCTCTGGCATACATCCATCGACTTGGTAAGATTTTCTTGATCATTTGATTACATATCCATTTCCAGATATAGAAAATAAGTTCATTTTTTTTATCGACTATAAATAAATATGGAACTAATGGGATAAACAGTGATCTACTGTCGACTTTAAAAATATTTTTTGATCGACTCTATTCACTTGTTCTACACTACTCAGGAAATCGTAGAGAATTTTTTGATTTAGCAGTGACAATAAGTGCTGTACAGCTTAAGCATTTATTTTGGGTTTTGGGTTCTTTCAGGAATTTGCCACAGAGATATCAAACCACAGAACTTGCTCATCGATACTGAAACTGCTGTGCTTAAACTTTGTGACTTCGGTTCAGCCAAATATCTTATTCAAGATGAGCCAAATGTTTCCTATATTTGTTCTCGTTATTATCGTGCTCCAGAGCTTATTTTCGGTGCCACCAATTATACGAACAGGTATTAAGTGAAGTTACGCCAACTGTTTGTCAACAGTGAATAAAGTTCCTTTCAACCTGGTTAGAGCGTATTTAAAGTTTAACTTTATTTTTCCGAACTTTTTAATCTCATATTTCCTCGAAAAATAGTTGGGTTTTTTTTTCCCAAGCACCAGCTATTGCATTGCTGAAGTGAATCCCACAACATCATGAAATATGTGAAATATTTAATCACTTTTTGCAGCATCGATATGTGGTCAGCAGGAACGGTTCTAGCAGAACTTTTGTTGGGACAACCGATATTTCCTGGTGATTCTGGAGTTGATCAGCTTGTCGAAATTATCAAAGTTCTTGGTACTCCGTCAAAAACACATATTCATGAGATGAACCCTGATTATAAGGAACGCACTTTCCCACCTATCAAAGTAAATATTGAATAGTCAATTGTTTATATGTAGATGTATTTACGATTTTCTGATGATTTATATTTCGTTATGAAATATTAACTGTGAAAAGTTTATGGAGAATAATAATAGTATTGTTGCGATAGACAGTAATTCATCAACTTGGATCATTCCATTCTCTTCTATTTCTTTTTTAATTTCAGCTCACTACTTTTTTCATTTTTATTGATCGCATCTAAATATTTCCGCTATATTCTATTCCCCAATCAACAATTTGCAGCCGCGCCCGTGGATACGTGTTTTCCGTTCAAATACAAATCTGGAAGCAATCGATCTTGTATCACTTGTACTTGTTTATTCACCACATCAACGACCTAGCCCACTAGAAGCTTGCGCACATTTGTTTTTCGATGTGTTGCGCAATCCAGGAACAAAGTTACCAAACGGACGTGTTATTCCTTCATGTACAGATTTTACTTCTGAAGAACTATACTGTACTCCCGCAATTGCATCGTTGCTTTGTGCTACTCAGGTTTGTTTTTAAAACATTCTTTCTGCAGTATCTGTTTTTTTTACTGCTAGTTGTGTTACCAATAAAGCAGCTAAGATTATTTGATTTTATTACTTCTATCTGGAGATGGAACGATTATGATTCCCGATTTCATACTGTTGCAAAGCAGGCATAAGGTAGTTCAACATAATGTTTTTTTACATATGGTAGCTAAACAATCAAATACAAATATGAATTGACTTTAATCAAACATAATTGTTGATTCCACATTTTGCTGGAGAAGCTAAGAATCTTGTATTAAGGCACCTTGCATTTGCTTTTCTGTCCAATATTGTACAAAAAGCCCAATACATATGAATTTTGCAGTTTTGAAATCATTGTATATATTTATATCAGCTGACCTCTGCAAATTTTTTGATGCGGTCAATATTTGAATTAAAAAGTTAATCTTTCTTGTGAAAACTTAAATAACTTGAAGGAGAGGAAAGTGCGTCTGGTGGATAATGACGAAACAATAAATAGTTTGTGAGCAGCTAAATAAGGGGAGATTGATCTCTGGCTCTGGAAGCTTCGAGTGGTTGCATTTTCGCATGCCGGCAAAATTTCAACCGTCATCTTTCCTTGTGTATTTTTGTAGAACATCAATATTGTTTTATTTTTCCCTCTTACATTTCTAGAAGTGTGCAGATTAACAGAAGGATTTTCATATGCTTTTTAACTTAGAAATGCTCGTAATTTGAAGCAAATATACATTTCCACTTTTGTAGCTGTCAATGTTTAAATCATTTTGTCTCAAGAATTTTTATTTCTACAGGAATAATGGTATCATAACGTCATTCGTGAGATGGACTGCATATAATCAGTCCCAAGCGTAAAATGCTTCGTCTGTTGATTTAGGATTTGTAGGCTCTATGAGTTGTTTCAACTTTGATTTGTTATTAGGTACAAGAAATAACTTCTGTCGGCTATAAATATTATATGACACATGAAAACGAATGAATTCAATATTTGCGCATATGGAGGCAAAACACAATGTTCTCAAGTCGAATCATAGGGGGATTTCTTTTGTACATTCCTATGATTTGTGGAGTGGAACATGAGGAATGCTTGGTCATGAAATCTGCGTTTAGAAACTTGTACATCAAACTTGAGGCTGTTTCACGGAGAACAGGTCGGCTCTATCAGTTATTGCCCATTCTTTAGTGTTGAATTTATTTTAAAAAGGTAAAGGATGTGCAATTCCACACTTCAGTATTGGAATTGTGTAGAGAAGTGATAAATGCAACAATTTCTAGTACTTGAACTCATCCTGGCATGAGTTGCAGGTGTATCACCCTCGCATGCATTGCAGGCGCATTTCGTCCAGATAAATTGGTTTGGCAATGAAACCAGTGCACACGAATAATGAGAATTTGGCTTAACCTTGCGATTGTTTAAAAATCTAGTTTGGAATTATGTGGAAAAGTGATGAAATGGTTTAAGCTTACTTGGGACTGTAAAGGAATGCTAGCGCACTGTCCTGGGAAACTTATGGTAATTCCACTGTTATCAAGTTATTCATATTTCTCTCGTATGATAACACTACGATAATCAGGAAACATTTTCATTTCAAAATAAACTATCCATACAGTTCAGTAAATGAAAACCATGTGCATTTGACGGAAGAAATCATAAGAGGAAAGAACATTGATGAAGAAAACATTCTTTTAACAACACGATTTTTTATACACATTCGCTGAGCAAAAAAACCGAGTACAACATATCTTGAAAAAATAATCGAATGATAAGAATTAAACATAAGATATTTCTTTTCAATTGCGTGATGCAAGCCGCCAAACTGTTCACATGAAGTTGATTACCAGTATGCATTTTTAGAAGTGACGAAAGGCAAAAGTGCCTCTGCACATTTTCACACGTATGGTAATCTCGTTACATGAGTATTTCCATAAGTCAGGATTGTGCCGACTGAGTGGTAGCCGGAGGTGAAGATACTGCACCACTGTTATTCAAAAGCGGAGTTCCCAGTGGTGCACTCAGATTGCCTGGTGTTCCAGCTATAAAACAAAATGTAACAAAGATTCAGAAATATTTGCTTTTCTAAAAAAAATTTTATGGTTAGATTTAGTGCAAAATCCAATTGCAAAATAAAAAACAGATGTAACTTCCACCTTTCCTCTTTCCTTTCCTTCACATACCTTGTGTTCGAAGTGAAACTTACAATTAGCAACAGACGCATTAAGATCTTGCTTACTGCGCTGCTCATTTTCAACAACAGGGTAAAAGTACGGGTGTTGCATAGCTTCTTTCGCAGTGAGTCGTTCCTGGTGATCATAGCGAAGCAACTTATCCAGAAAATCTACTGATTCTGTAGAAACCAGATGCTGATTTTCACTATGCACAAAACGCTCCCATCGTTTCTTGGAATGCCTAAACAAACTTTAGAAAAGTATCCATCAGTGGGAAGAATAATTATACGAATAATTATATTAAAAAAAAAAAAAAAATTTGTTACTATAAAAATAAAATTTTTTACTAATTAAAACTAACCGGCCGAGAATATCATTAAATCGAGGATCTAAATCAATCTGATATTTGTCTATATATTCAAACAGTTCTTCAGTGCCCAAAACTTTTGCAATTCGCACTAGCTGAAAAGTATGAAAAACTCATCAAAAGTCAAAAAATTAAGGAAGAAAGAAACTGAAGCCAAATGTTACAAACCTGATCATAGTTGTCATGACCGTGAAAGAATGGTTCCTTCCTAAAAATCATACTCGCAAGCATGCAGCCTAAACTCCACATGTCGAGTGAATAATCATAACACTAAAAAATAGTAAATTAAAACTTCATAGAAAAAAGCTTCAAAACTTGAAATTTAAGAAACAAAATATAATCAACTTCACCTGATAATCAACTAGAAGTTCGGGACCTTTGAAATAACGCGATGCAACACGCACATTATATTCTTGACGCGGATGATAAAACTCAGCCAATCCCCAATCAATAAGTCTTAACTAAAAATATATAGATTAACTCTAATTCTTCTCCCTTTCATGAAACAAAGAAAAATAAATTCGAAATAGGGAGTAGTTCTTTAAATATTTTTCAGCTTAAAAAATCAAAAAAAATTCAGTGAACATACTTTTTTATAAGACTTTATAAGACTGCAGATCGTGGCAGTTTTCAAATAAATTAATGAGATTGCATAATATACTAACTGTTCGTTTTTCATGGTCGATCATAACATTGTGTGGCTTAACATCCCGATGCATTATGCCCTGCGAGTGACAGTAGTCAAGGGCTTTCAACAATTCGTATAAATAATAACGGATATCGTAATCAGTCAGAGTTTGATAAAGCTGCTGAAGCATATATAATTAGGGAAATTTAAAACGTATAATCTGTGAAAAAAAATACATCCACTAACCACTGTTGCTACACTAACTGTCATTAAAACTATGTAAGTGCCGCATGAAACTGTCATTAAAACTAAGATTACTTACTATGCAATCCCACATCTCCAGCATTACCGTAACATTTGTCGAAGAATTAACAAAAAATTAAAGGGGTAATTTCACTTGTAAGCAAAATTAATAATGATTATGTGATAATGCAGCGATAACTATGTAAAGGCTTTCATAAAGAAATTAACATCCCCGGTTTCAAATCATTCCATCAAGTTCATGCGGCACTTACAATATTTGATGATTATCAAGTATCAAGATTAAAAATTGTCTTTTTAAAACAACTTTGCAATTATAACATGCTGTAACATGCAAGTTCCAGTTGTACAATTATAATAACCACTTCTTCAGCTTGGAGACTACTACCTCTACACAAATAATCCCACTAGAATATTTTGGTACTTTCATCCACTTTGTTCATAACAAAAAATGTTGATCAAACCTCGGTAATACTCGACAGTATTCGTCAATTACAAAAAATAACCTTGAAATCAGTATTATTGACATATTCGAAAACAAGTGCTGGAGTACGAGAAATAGGATCCTTCACGACATCCAGCAGTGTGATAATATTTGTTCCTCCTCTTAAATTCTCCAAAATCTTGATTTCACGCTTTATTTTCTTCTTTTTAACAGGCTGAAATATGAGATTCGCTTTTTTCCTACTAAAAACGGTCGTGTTCCTTAAAAGAGAAAAAAGGAAATCGGCATCACCATAATTCGTATCTTCTCAAAAGAAAGAGACGGAAAATAAATGCCACTTTTTGTTTAAATCTTTCTAAGATCAACATAAAGTTGTTCCATTATTGTTACTGTATATACTAGTGAGGTGTTCTATCACGTGTTCTTACTTTTTAAAAAAAATTTTTTTTTAATATTAATAAAAACAAGCCTTAAGAATTTTGATAACACATTTTTCATCTAACGGTGATTTGACACCCTCGAAAACTTCGCTATACTTGCCACGTCCTAATTTCCTGATTAACTGATAATCGTCTATATTACCCCATTCTATCATGTGACATTCATAGTCCCAATATTCACGAGGTTTCTGCTGATTGACCTGAAAAAAGGTATCTCTAGATTCGTGACCACAGCGGTTTGCACACGTTAAAGCAATAACAAACATTTGAATGAAAGAGATTAATGAATGCTTCTCTTTTTTCCATCAAACATAGAGTTGAATTGCAGAATTACAATAAAGCTTTAGTGCACGCCATTTTTGATACTGGCGTCATGTTACTGAGATCGGTTAGATAATAATATATTGGAATATTTATTTCTTTAGTTCTAGTTTTGGTCCAGGTAAATGATACTGGAAGAATCACAAGAGCGACAACTGACCTCGGCGTAGACGCTTGCACGACTCGGTATTGGCATACTCCTCCCGGGTTGCTCCTCTTCTACACTTACATCCATCCACACCTCATCGAGAAGACACACACGCAAGACAACCTCACTCCAGATATCACTTTAGATACGATATCTCGCATTTCCTCCTGAGACCTTCCATCACTATTACAGCGCTGGAGTGCTTATCTAACTCTTATTATCTCTTATTAATATTTCTTATTATTAATCTAGCTCTTATTAATTAGTGAGTTGCTAGTGTTGCTGTTGTCGTTTGGTTGTAAGTTGTAAATGAGCACTTGTGTTCACATTTTCCTCAGAGGATCGAGAAAAATTTCGAAAGCAGAGAAAATTGTTCTGTACGACTTAGTGAACTTTCGTCCTTTGGAATATTTGCTTTATTATTCCTATAAACATGTCTCCCTTCTCATCCTTCGCAAGACACCAGACTTTTTTCCCTCTTCCCATTTATCTATCATAACTGAGTGTAATGCTATTGAAGTAAACTAAAAGTGAAATGCCGCAATCATTGTTTATTAAATTCTTGATCTTTGCTTGTTACATGTATATCCACTCCGTCATGAGTGTATTTATTAGAATAGGGAAACTGAATGTTTGAATCGCAGTTTCTTGCTATTAGTATAGATATTGCTGTACCATTCATATATCGATGTCAGTAAGTCCATAACGGTTCAATTTTAGGTAAACTAATGTTCATAACGACAGTTACTGGTTGGCCAAAATCTGTAGCTACTGCTATTATCGCTGGGAGATGGTATGCAGTTCGTAGGATGGCAGCGAAGGCATCACAAAATTCACATCTAAAACCTTTGTATTTGGATGTGCAAGCAACTACACCGATGGTTACTGCTTGTTTCATTTTTTCCATAGAAAGTAATAGGTTGCCAATTGCAGAAAATGAGCCACTATTTTAGGTGATTTAAATTAATAGTAATTAAATATTGAAATACTTATAACCATTTTTGATTCGCACAAAATTTTGTTTTAAGGACCCACGCGTGGTGGACGCTATGATACCATATATGGTGAGCTCATATGGTAATCCTCATAGTAAAACTCATTTTTATGGATGGGAAGCTGAAGAAGCAGTTGAAAAAGCCCGCTTACAGGTAGTAGTACGGTAAATTACATTGGTACTGAAGATTACTGTGTATTATTACACCTTCTCTTTCGTCATCTACTTCGCTGTTCAGGTAGCGAAATTAATTGGTGCAGATTCACGTGAAGTTATTTTCACGTCTGGTGCTACAGAATCGAATAATATTGCCATCAAAGGAGTAGCCAGTTTTTACAGGGAAACTGGAAAGAATCACTTGATCACAGTGCAGACGGTTAGAAACTGTATTTCAAATTGCCTCAGTTTTGTGAAGTGTTGTATATGCGACTTCTCTCCAATTCATACGTAAATGAATGCAAGAATATTTTTTAAATTGTCATTCTCGTATTATACTTACTCTATTATGCGTATTATATTTGTTGTATAAACTGATAACATTTAATTTGTTTAGGAGCATAAATGCGTATTGGATTCTTATCGCCACTTGTCAACGAAAGGCTTCAAAGTAACCTA